CATCATCAACGGTGAAAGAGTTCGCAAAGGACTAACGGCCATAAAAAGAGTGGCACTAAACAACGACTATCGAGTTGCGGAAAAAGAACGATGGGAAACCATGTCGAAACAGGTTTTTAGTGAGTACAAAACGACCAACAGAATCTACTGATGACGTTCTACACGGACTTTGTCGCTCAGTTGGATAACGACGAAGCCATAAAGCAAAAAATCATGGCATGCTCCAGAAGGCACTTCAATTTCGCAAAATCCATAATACACACAGAAAATAGTAAGGTAAGCACTTCTTCATTTTAAAAGCTCTACACCAGAATATGAATAAATGGATTTGATCAAAATAAAAGATTAGCTTTTACCACTTATCATTTCAAAATTCGGGGAGTTAAATAGAACAATAAAAATACTACAATGTAACGTGCAGAGTCTTGAAAAAAATAATGCAGAAATACACAGAGTCCTGTTCGGTGAAGGTTTCAATATAGCTCTCCTATCGGAGACATGGACTAATTCAGTACTAGAAACCACAAGGAAATATAATATCACTGGATATCACCTAATTCCATGCTCAAGAGACGACGCGTACGGAGGGACGGCGATCCTGTTGCGAAACGAGAACAGCTATTCCAAAATAGATATACCTGTGTTATCTACTAAAACACAAGTAGCAGCAATATTAATATTTTCTATAAATCTAGTAAATTTTTCCCGTGTATGTGAGTCCTTCAATAAGCATAGTAAGCAAATTTTAAGAATGACATTCAAGTCCTGTTTGACAAAGTCCGACAATTCGACAACGTTATCGTTGGAGGTGAGTTCAACGCACACCATGGCGATTGGGGAGATCAAACGATGGACAGAAAAGACGAAATTTTGGCTGAAGTGATCAATGACTCGAACTGCCACCTGTTGAATGATGGATCCATAACCTTTGTACCTTTGAGATTAGGATGTAGGTCATTTGCTATTGATTCAACCATGTGCTCAACACAGCTACTGTCAAGGGCCCAATGGCGGACATTATCATACGGCATTGGTAGTCATCACTTAGCAATTGAAATTACCATAGACAGCTATAAAAATGAACGTCCCAAGTACTGCTACGACAACAAGAAAATTAGGACCACAATATCAAGGTTAAAACCGTTCGAAATCGGTAATGTAGAAGACCTAGCAACAGCAGTAAAGAAAATCCGGAAGAGTAACAGAAGGAAGGACACCAAAACACCAAAATTTTGGTGGTCTGACACCGTGGACCAGGCATGGAAAGAGAAGACGGAGGCAAGACGAGCTTTCAACAGGGAATCCAGTATGCAAAATCTCATTAATTTCAAACGTAAGGCGGCCATCTTCCAAAACCTAAAACGTGTTGAAATCCGAAAGAAGTTTGAGGAGTTCTCGGACGAAATAGGACCACACACTAGCTCTAAATAACTGTGGAACAAAGTCGGCAGGTTTACTGGAAAGAAAGTAAAAAGTGTCGATACAACACCATGCTAGATGACGCAATACAGCGGGGAGTTTTCTAGATAAACACTTCGGACCAAATGATTTGGAACCATGGATCGATCCGGGGCCAGTTGCCTCGCCAATTGTATCATACAAATTGCTAGATTTGGCAAAGTGGACAGCTATCATCGGTAAGGAAAAGAAAAGGTCTGCACCAGGGGAAGATGGCGTATCATATGAAGTTCTTCGTTTACTTTCTCCAGAAGTATCAACAAATTTGGTAGAGGATCTCAATCGAATGTGGTTCCGGGGCACCCCCACAGATAATTCCAAGACTATCAAAGAAGTAGCCATACCTAAGACAGGTAGCGACCAATCAACTCCAAACGGAAAAAAGGCCAATCTCTCTAGTTCCTACCTTGACCAAAATCATGAATACGGCTGTATTGGATATGCTACAGAACCATCTATACCATAATAAAATCCTTGCAGAAATCGTTTGGTTTCAGAAAGGCACTTCAACATCTACAGCAATTGCATACGTCATAAATGAAATAAAAAGGAACAAAAGAGATAACCAAGTAACAGCATTAATATGTGTTGACTTGACGAACGCCTTTAATACTGTTCACGGATACTCTGGTAGATACGTTCTCGAATGGGCTACCGCAAGGAGATGTATTGTCACCAACGTTATTTAATATGAACACTGCTGAACTACATAACATACATGTTGATGGAGTCGTATTGGTTCAATATGCTGACGACTTTGATATAATCTTAACAGCTATCAACTGGGAAACCCTAAACGTTAAAGCGCAGGAATATATGGGCAAGTTCATGGGAGCCTGTGAAAAACTGAATTTATCGATAAACGCCGAGAAATCCAGTGTGATGAAGATGAACTTCAGTACACGTACAACTTTAAATATCATGGTCAAGGGAAAGACACTTGAATCGGCGATATAATAACGATACCTTGGAGTAACCATATACCGATCATTAACATTTGCAGTACATGTACAATCAGTTCGGGAGAAAGTCCAGGAAAGACTATGCATGCTGAAAGTTTTATACGGCGCAAAAAAGGAGCACATCCAGACACGATGCTTAACGTGTATCAAGGTCTCATTAGAAGTATTGTCGAGTATGGCTGCTCAGTACATAACAATGCCAGTAAATCATCAAGAAGAGTCCTAGAAGTGATAAACAACCAGAGTTTAAGGAATGTTACTGGTAGCCAGTGCTAAGATTTGTCATTGTCATTGACAGACTTTCGCGCGATATTGACAAAATTGTTCGTCACATAGTCACTGACAGACTTGATCCTCAAAAAAACCTTCGTCAAAATCTCATTCATTTTTTCGTCAATGACAAAGATTCACCTGGTAACAAAAAGTGTAATTTAGTACATTCTGTGTCACATTATTGTTATCCAAGTAGCTCAGGACGTAGATACTTGTTCATTAAAATATATCCATGTAATTGTGTTGCTCAAGTCATTTTATTTCGTTACAAATTTAGCTAATAAACAAATCTGCACATGTTCGTCACTGACACCATTGTCATTGACAATTGACATGGTTTGCCTTGACTATGACTGTTAGCTCAAATGAGTGACCAAAGCAGAATTGTCAATATCACCGTGTACTGTCGAGATTTTGCAGCACTGCTGGTAGCACAAAATCTACTCCACTAAATACACTGGCTGCGATTAGTGGACAAGCACCAATACAATACCGACAAGAAATGGTAGCATGCCGTGAAATCGCAAGATGCATTTCGAGGAAAAATGTTTTAGGGAGATAATTGATGCAAATATCGCTTGAAGAATAGAATCAGGAAAAATATTCATACATTGAACAACTCTATTGGAAACATAAGGCAAGCTACGCCATACTGATGCGGAATGAACGGATTGAAAATTTTGAGCAAGTGAAGATATATACATGTTTATGTAAACAAACTCTCAAAAAGGACCAAGTTATTCAGATCAAGTTGAAGCAACTAACACTCGGTATGATGCATGGGAAATATAAAGGCAGAGGGAGAATATGGACGGATGCATCGAAGTACGAAAATACTTGTGGAATCGGAATGTTTGTAGAAGGCAATAAGAGGCGGCACTACTACAGGCTACAACACGACACTAGCATTACATCTGCAGAGCTCACGGCTATTTGGGTAGCTTTACAAATAGTTGAGGAAAACCAGCTATTGCACTACGTTGTGTTAACTGACTCACGGTCATCCTGTCAAATACTGGAAGGTGCCATCCAAAGGGGAGAAGGAGAAACGATGATTGCAGAAATACCACAGATGGCGAAGAAATGGAAAACTACTATTCAATTGGTACCTAGCCACATACAGATTGCCGGGAATGATGTTGCAGACATGTTGGCGAAAGAAGGTACTAAGCATGATGCACCAACACTAGCAAATAGACTGTTCATCAAGGATCTATTCCTGAAGTTTACCAAGGAGTTAGAAGAAACCCAATGCTGTCAGACGACAGCTCAAATACAAAGAAGAAGAATAAAAAGAAGCAGATTCGTAGAATAATTTTCAATCGATTGGCTTGTTTAGAATTAAAATCCATCCACTATTGACAGAGTTATAAGTGGTCAAAACCTGACCACTTTTCGTAGCGCGGTCGGTTTTGGTTTTTTGAAATTGCACCCCCAATATGTTGCCGAAAGACGTAATCTTACGTCAAAAATACAATTCAACAGCAGGGTTTTGTATGTAAATTAACTTTAGGAGGGAGGGTTAAATCCATGGTCCATACAAATTCTAAAACCACGTATGCAGGATAGTCCACGCAAGGCACGGGAGGGACCTGTGGACAGCCATTTACAGTTAAATCAATCATAAACAAGACCAAAGTGAAAGGATGTTGTAATGAGCGGCAATTGGTACTCATCAAGTTTGCAGTGTACCAAAAACCGCTCAGTTTATTTTGATTAAGAAACAAATGAAAGCACTGTGGTTCTCAAGAGGTTGTTTGAAGTATGCATACTACATTCAAATTTACCCATCTGTGCTAATTTTAGCCAAAAAAGCACGAAACAACGTAGATTTAGCTTAAATTTCAAAAGCCGACACTTTAGACAAAACAACGTGTAAGTATGTATACAAATGTATATACCTATTTAAATAGATTCGAAAAATAGCACTTTTTTTCAAAAGTGAGCTGTGTACGAGGGGGGCGACACATCTAAATCTCAAGTTTAGATGCTTAACAAATTTCACACTAGCGAATCAATCTTCGAAAAATCTTCTTTCATTTGTCGCATCTACTTGCATCGCTCATCATCTTTTTGCAGGAAATCTTCAGAATCGTCATCAATCTTCTTTCTATCTGCTCAGCGTGCGCGCAGCTAGCCACAGCAAAACACAATCTTTTTTGCATCGTAGATAGAGTCGTCCCCCTCGGCTGTATATAGGGCATCAGCGGAGACTTAATTCATTGATGGTACGACAGTTTCCATATTCATGTTCAAACATGTTTGCGATAAATTGTAATACAAAAAAGCATATGCATTCGTACTTACCATGTTCTTGCGTAGGCCATATGTATTCTATAAACGATCCATGTACTCCTAATGGTACCAATAGTAGGTAACTTATCATCAATAACCTAAAAGCGACATTTATTAACTCAAATATTCCACCTATTAATATAAATTAACACAACCACTCACCGAATTCTCCCCATCCTGATATGACCCATATTCGGCACACGCGTACCATTGGTGTATTCCGACCCAAGTGGGAGGTGGGCAGTGCGTTTGTTTTGATTGCGCTACGAATGGATTTAAAAATAGACCCCCCCTCGACTGCGTTCGATGCGCGAACTATTACTTCTGCCACTGCTAGTTGGTACTTAAAGCCTCATAGGGAGAAAAATAAAGAACCTTGAATCTATTTCGACACATCCTTTCGCGCAGTACAAAACTTAGCACTTCATTATCACTAAAATCACTGCATTAATTCGTCAGAACTGATTCTACACCAAAGAAATACAAACTGAACCGAACCAAGAAACTAAATGAAGCGAAAAAGTTTTGCGCGGAAATCTTCTGGCTGGCGAAAATCTATCGCTCTGGTCGTTGCTTCATCATGTTTTGATTATTAGTTCTCTCGCAATAATGGAACTGCCGAGCGGAGCTCAGATTTTGACAGCATCTCTTTGCGCGAGGAAAACAATAACAAACCATCATTTTTGGCTGGAGCGAAAGTGAGGATACGCAAGTGTGCGAGTTATAAACGTCAGAAAAGGGCAATACAAACCTACAATCAGCTGGTTTCTTCTGAAAGAACCGTAGTGAGTACCGTTAGCCGGCGGGGATCTCTACCGTGTGTCGGAGCTCACGGAATCGATAATATGAGAATGAGGGGAACAGTAGAGAATGTATATGCAGTACCATAACGTGACGCAGCACATGAAGAGGAAGTTCTTGAGAAAAACTGTACCCTATGAGCATAGCAAACAAATACCGATCAACGGAATTTAAGCTGATGTATGAAATATTGATGTAATGACAAAAAGCAGATATTCACAAATGTACATAGGGGAAACAATCCTATTGTTGCGATACGTTAGAAGCATTAGGAGCCTATTGTTGTGTATGGAGACCTCCATACACAGCAATAGGCTTCTAACGCTGCTAACGTACCGCAACAATAGGGCTGTTTCCCCTATGTGTAATTATAGTACAATGCAATATTGCATCGCGATTGAATGACCAATGAGCAGCTGTTTCCATGTAATATTCAACAACTTTATATACTATGTATGTAAGATGTATAACCTATAGAACAGATATATTTGTCATTAATTTCTTCTTTTACAGTAAATTTAATTTACTAATTTGACCATGAAATCAGTTTTGTAAGAAAAACATAATCTAGAAGACCGTTCCTAAACCTATCAATAACCAAGCTGCTCCATCGAATTTGAAAACTCAATAATAATTGGTTACCTAAGGTGCAGGGCTGTCTTGCATCAACGTAGAGAGAGCAAAGTCAGTGATTAAAAATATTGTATTACTATCTTCGTCACACTCCAAGCAGTCCTTTTTCCTTTAAGCTGGGTTTAGATTAGGCAAGTCAAATGATCAACTCAGTTGAATTCAATTGGCTTGAAAAGTTGAGCCTGGTTCAACTTTTTTCAATTCAAGTGAGTTGATCAAGTCAGTTGAATGGCATGGTTTACACGTTCAATTCGCGTTCAAGTCAGTTGAATTCAACTGACTTGATCAATTGACTTGCCCTGTCTAAACCCAGCTTTACGTCGTGAAAAAAAACTAGCTCAGTACGTTCTCTCTCTCTCTCTCTCAGATCTGTCGGTTACTCGGAGAGGATTAAAAACTACACGTTTTAGTCAGCCGTTCCATATTGTTCAACAAAAAAAAGGATGATTGTTGGAAGCAACACAACAAACTTAAAATGGGTACAAAACGGATTCGAATCAGCAACGTTGAGATTAACAGACTTGTGACTTTACCACTGGTCTATCAACGCTTTGGAGAATAGAAAGGCTAAAGGAAAACAAGAAGCGCTCATAGTGTGGTAAGTTACTACTGGTAACTAGTCTGCTCACATGCACGTTCGACGGTATTTACTTTTTTTTTGTCCATACATGATAGAAAAAAGAGGAGTTAAGGTAAAAGATACGATACACACCCATTTTTTATGGCTAAAAACCAGCAACATCTTGCTGTATTTTGCCGAGCTGACAGTCCAGCAATCCATCCAGCAAAGTGTTTTTGCTGAACAACCAGCAAATTGATCCAGTGCCTATTTGACAGCACTTAACTGTTAAATCAGCAATGTTTATTGTTTCAGATTTCACGGAAAGTGAATCATTTTGCGGGAAGGATAGCAATTTTAGATTGTTTATACATATGTTTTAATAGTTTAAAAAACACATTTCATTACATATGCACTGTTTCATGTTTTCATAATACTCTATGCTTCTCTTCGTCAATGACGAAGGATGTATGGAAATGATGGTTTTTGTACCGCGACCATTTATTTTTGGTTTTCGTCAAACGTCACTGACCAAACTGACCGTTACCAACTCTGCTAAGGTGGTACACATCCCATGTAACAAGTTTGGTATTATGAGGATTCTGTGACGATACGATTGGCAGCATGGCGGATGATTTCAAGCAAGCCATCAAGTCCCTTGTGGAGTCGCAGGAACGTTTCATGAATGCAAAAGCTGTAGTATCAACAAACCTCAACGAGTTAGCTATCCAGCAACGTCCCAAGCAGGATCCTTGTCAGGTTTGAACGTGCAACCACCCAAGCGTGACCCGAATACGAATTCACGGCTACCGGTTTCCCCTTTTTTTAACTCTTTATTTGTTTCAAATTCAAAATAAAAATAACATTTCATTTTAACCTAGGTGCTCCAGTTACTACAGTAACTTACCAGCCTTAATTGTTATGATATATAGCTAAGTGTTTTTACATTGTTCCTGTCTTGGCAATTCAGTATTTTAAACAGGTTTTTTAAACCTGCATGTCAGTATAACAATTGAAATCTTAAAACTAAATCTTATCTAAGTATAAAGGGAATTAATCGTTGCAATTGAGGATTACAAAGATTTTTGCCTGAAATTATTAATTATTTTGTTCATTTGTTCTAAAGTCTCAACATTCGAAATTATATGTACTTCGGTAGTACCATAGAGGTAACTCTAAGACCAGAAGGTCCCGAAGAAACTTGCTCAGCTTTTTGGCTCAGCTCTGGTACCATAGAGGTAACTCTAAGACCACTGGGTCCCGAAGAAAATCATTATTATTTTTGGCTCACTCAGTACCAGAACAACGGTCCCAAGCAGTCCCAAGCTATTTCACTCACCCCTGCATGTTCTGCATGAATCCACACACCCCTGATGTTATCTGTCAAACTTTCATAGCGAATCAAAACAAACATAGTGTAGTAATAGAATTTCAACTAGAATAGGGTACGTTAATCGTTTGCTTGGGACCAATAGGCTACTAAAGTGGTGAGCCAATTTAAAATCGTTAGTTTCGTATTGATTGTTGCTGGTACTCTCTTCGGTCCCTAGTTAATCGATGCACCCCTCGAAACATAGGAAAATCCACGAACCCCTCATTTTATCTGTCAAACTTTAATAGCGAATCAAAACAAACATGGTGTAGTACTAGAATATCGACTAGAATGGGGTACGTTAATCGATTCTAGTCAAGTAGTGAGCCAATTTTAAATCGTTAGTTTCCAACCGGTGGTAGTACTGTACCAGGAAGGCAACTTCAAAATCATCTTCAGAACTTTGTTCTGAATCCTTTGAAGTGTTGACATGTAGTCAAAGTACCTTTGAAGTGGTATTTTCCTGGTAGTGCAACAACTAGACCATATTGGCACAGCTTAAAACATGGCTTGCAAAACTTGTTTAAATATTAGAAGTTTATTTGTCAGGCAAAGATTGGTTTTTCTGTTTATAAGAGGATACAAACATTTAATATATTTGTTACATTTGGCTTCAATGCCCTCAATGTGATATTTAAAAGTTAATTTTTGGTCAAGTACTAATCCAAGATATTTCACTTGGTTTGACCAGGAAATTGGAACTCCGTTCATAGTGACTATGTGACTACTACTAGGTTTCAAAAAGGAAGCTCTAGGCTAGGCTTATGTGGAAATATTATAAGTTGAGTTTTGGAAGCGTTGGGAGAAATCTTCCATTTTTGTAAATAAGAAGAAAAAATATCTAAACTTTTCAGCAGTCCGCTGCAAATAACACGAAGACTTCTTCCTTTAGCGGAAATGCCTGTGTCATCAGCGAACGAAGACTTATGGCAACCCTGAGGCAAATCAGGGAGGTCCATGAAAATGGTATACAATATAGGCCCAAAAATGATACCCTGAGGAACTCCTGCTCTAACAGGTAGTCGATCAGATTTGGAATTTTGATAATTTACCTGCAGAGTTCTGGTAGTTCAATAATTTTGAACTAATTTCATCATATAATCAAAAACTTTTTGTCGACTATACTGGGGTGCAAATCAAAAAATATGTGTGGTGAAGTAGTGTTAGGTTTTGAACGCTTGTAACTTTGTCATTTATAGATGAAATTAAAATCCAAATACAATCGACAGGATATTCCTTAACAAATCTGCTAAAATAAATACTTTCCCATTTTTAATCAAAACACTTTTGAAACATGCACTAATGCTAATTTTAACGCTGTTTTCATGAACTAAACGTTTTTCCCAACTTATTGGACGGTAGCTAGAAGCTTCAGCTGGATTTTTATCCGGCTTCAAAATTGGAACAACTTTTGCATTTTTCCATTTATCAGGAAAGTATGCCAAATGGAAACATCTGTTAAATAATTTTACCAAGAAAGACAAGGTACTCTCTGTGAGTTTTTTGATGAGGATATAGAAAATTCCATCATCACCTGGAGCTTTCATATTTTGAAACTTTTTAGTTATAGACCTCGTCCAAATCAGTCCCCCAGGAATCATCAAAAATATTTTCCCGAGAGAAAATATTCAGATAATCCCGAGCATCCTGATTCTCAATAGGACTAGTAAGACCCAACCTGAAATTATGGGAAATCTCGAATTACTTAGCAAGTTTCTGAGCTTTTTTACAAATTTGTGATCAAAATTTTACCACCTTCTTTAAGCGCTGGAATAGGCTTTTGAGGTTTTTTCAAATTTTTTGTGAGTTTCCAAAAGGGCTTGGAACTCGGGTGTAATTTAGAAACATTATTTTCAAATGTTTTGTTCATCAGGGCAGAGAATCGCTTTTTAATTTGTTTTTGCAAATCCCTCCAGATAACTTTCATGGCAGTATCGCGTTTTCTTTGAAATTGTCTCCTACGGACATTTTTAAGACGGATCAAGAGCTGAAGATCATCGTCTATTATAATTGAATCGAATTTAACCTCGCATTTTGGTACTGAGGCAGCTCTTGCTTCAACTATAGAAGTAGTCAGAGATTCAAGAGCATAATTAATTTCATCTTTGGTTTGCAAAGGAATGTTTGGATCGAAGTTATATTCCATAAATGTTCGATATTGCTCCCAATCAGCTCTATGGTAATTGAAAGTAGAGCTGTTGGGATTAGAAATTATTTCTTGGGAAATTTCAAAAGTTACTGGAAGGTGATCAGAACCGAAGTCAGCATGGGTAACCAATTGGCTACAAAGTTGACATGAATCAGTTAAGACCAAATCAATAGTTGAGGGATTTCTTGCTGAAGAAAAGCATGTTGGGCTGTTTGGATATTGAATAGTGTAATAACCTGCAGAACAATCATCAAACAGAATATTCCATTGGAATTTCTTTGAGCATTATTCCATGAGCGATGTTTAGCATTAATACCGGTTTCCTCTATTCCTGTTTTTCGAGACGAAAGGAAGGAATGGAGAGCCTTTAAGGATCTTTTTGAGACAGGAATTCATAAACGAGAGGAAATTGTGCTTTGAAACTGCAGTACCTGCTGACGTTCGTCGATGGGGGAAAGCAAAAATTCTTGTGAATGTTTTTCCGATGCCAACTACGAACATGCGTGGACAAAGCTTAAGGAACATTACGATAAGAAAAAGTACATCGTGTATTCTCTCGTGAGAGAGTTCTGCGAATAGCCGAACGTAGACAATGCTGCTACAGAATTGTTAAAGCTGGTATCCACGTCGGACGAAATTGTGAGGCAGCTGCAAGCGCCGGGACAGGAGCACGAGTCCAGGGATCCGGAGCTAATCCAATTACTGATGGAAAACGATCGTTCTGAGCACAGAAAGTGATTTCGATTGAAAATCCAAATTTCAACGATTTCTTGATGTTCCTTCAGGATAGATGTGACGCTCTCGAAACGTTTTCGGCGTTCACGGAGAAAGCTTCCGGAGCTGATGGAGTGAGGAAGGATGCGAAGAAGGAACATTTGAAGGCAACAACTACGAAGGAGAAGTTAACCCAGAGCTTTCCAGTGAGCACCGAGGAATCATTCCATCTAAGGGAAAACAGCCCATTATGCACCCCTGGGGTAAAATGCCCACTTATAGAAAAACAGCGATAACTTATCCCCAGATGCATTTTCCGGGTAACGGATTGTGTTTATTTTAAACTGGAGGCTTCAAAAAATAATATGTAGGGGAAATGGCTCTTATGTTGGCCTCCACACATAGAAAATAATACCGAACTCGGATTAATTTTCTACCGAACCTCTTAGGTTACCAACGAGAAACCAAATCAATGGTTTAAAAATATTTTTTCAGGTTTTTTTTTATCGAAGCAGACCCGAATTTCGGTAAAATAGTATAAATTTGACAGATAGAAATGCAGACTGAACCGTAAAGTACGGTAAAGTATCGACATTTACGAATTCGCTACGTGAAAACCAAGAAACTCGGTAAACTGAACCGAATATTCGCTAAAACGCGTTGAACGTCAAACGTTCCACTTGCGCTCAACTTCGCGACGGAAATTTTAACCGAAAATTCGTTCTCTAAGATGAGTCTAAAATTAGCCAGCCATTTTTTCTTGCGTGTGCACGTCGGACGTGTGCAAAACTTTAGTAAAAATGGAAAAAGTTCTGGAGCAGCTGCAACAGGAGGATGCATGAATAAAATCTTTTGAATGAAATCGTTTGAATGAAATCTTTTGTAATTATTTGAAACTAACTGTATGATTTTATGTGCAGGCATCTTGTGCCATAGTTTATTTCTACTGCCGTGAAAATGTACATGGTTATGGCTTGCAAAGGCATTTTAAAAACCATTTAAATAAAAATGACTTCAAGTTAGTGATATTTTTTTGACTGTGCTTTTTCACGCAGTTACTCACGTTCCGGAAGTTTTTATTCGCCAAAACAAATTAAATAAATATATTTCATACATTTCTTTGACAAAACTGGTTTTATTTTTATGAAAATTCGAAGCAACGTATCTTTAATCGAAATTCAAAGCAGTATTTGAAGTGAAAACCGAGCGCTGCCCAAGAGAACCAAATTCCGTAACTACAACAGGTGGGTCGGTTCGTTTGACAGTGTTCGGTAATTCTTGAGTAAACCGATGTTCGGTTATTTCTGCTTAAATTTATTTTTCGTCAACCGAGATTTTAACAAAAAGAACTAATGACAGCTCGTTTATTCCTCTTTGAACCGAACAGACTACCGAGCGTTCAGCAGATAAAAACTCGGTTGAAATCAAACCGAGTTCGGTAATATTTTCTAAGTGTGTATGGATCAAAGATTGGGCCCATGGCTAAAAATCTGCCGTTTATCAATTTTATCTACACGGTTAGAAAAAAGTACCCAAAATTAAGTTCTTTTCACTCATCTCGGCACTATAGTGCAGGAACCCAATAGTAGGTAAAGCGGGTCAAAGTAATTTTGATTTACTTGTGTGCAGTTCGTATAGAATTTTCCACTAGCTTTTTAACCAAAAGTAAGTTAGTTGTACCCAACAGTAGGTAAATATGATTATACCCAACGTTGGGTTCCCACACTTTACTACCCCTGTTGGGTGGTTTTGCTCCTTCTTTTTTGACAACATTAGAAGGAGAAAATGAGACAAACTAGTCAAAAGTAGGTAAAAGTGAACTGGCCGTTGGGTACTTTTTTCTTACCGTGTAGATGACCGCGTCCTAGGAGCTGCATGAAAGGTGACGCACAAGGAAGAAGTATTAGTTTGTTTACTAAAATGAATTTGCTATAAGAAATGCTCAAATCCAGAACAACATGTGAAAAGGGCATACAAGCTTTTTGTAAACAAACCTTTGTAGGCCCTTTTCTCACCAACCGAGGGTCGCCCACGCAAACCAGCAATATCATCGAGAAGGGGAAAGTGTTCCCTACCCGGTGATGTTAAAGGTTTGCGTTGGTGTCATATGGGTGGCGAGAAAAGGGCATAAGAATGTTTGTTTACAAAAAGCTTGTATGCCCTTTTCACATGTTGTTCTGGAAATCAGAAATCAGTTTGGCACGGCATGTGTGACCAACATACACCTTCCGGTCGTATGAAACAGGTAAAAAACCATCCAAATCCACGCATATTTTTTTTTGTTTTGAATTTCTGTATGACACTGGGAGACCGTGAGTTCCTGCCCACCTGTCATAAAACATCTCGCACCCTGGGGGGAGGGGGGACGTGCTGTCAAATCAGCCTACTGATCATTCTTGTATGAAACTGGTTCCAAACGTAAACAAACGCTGTAGGTTTCTTATGGCTTGTTTACTTTTGGAACCAGTTATACGCTGGGGGGGGGGGGAGACGTGCTGTCAAATCAGCCTGCTGATCATTCTCGCGTCACTTTTCAAATAGACCAATGTAACATATCCACCATTTTGAGAAAATCGAAATTGAAGTTCGACAGATTATTATTTTAACTGTTTAAAAACAGTACATTTTGCAATACTATTTTTAATGTAGTCAGTGTATAATAACGTTGAAAATTCAGAAGAAACGGTAAAATCACAATTTTACTTTGAATTTCATGCTACAACATAGAAAAAAAACCACATAGGACGTTTTGACAAGTCGAGTTGTACATCGGACATGTTACATTGGACGATTTTTCTCAATGACATAATCAATGAGTGTTACATTGGACGTTTTGTCAACATGATACTAGATTCCCTTTCACAGATTTCAGAGTATAGTACCTAACTTTAGATTGACCCCACCTTTGAAAAATGAGCACCAGTAACAATCATTTCAAACTGTACATTGGACAATTTTTGATCAATGATTATCTTAAATAAATGAAAGTTTTTGTATCACATACAATGATAGAAGAGCAATAGTTTGTATCGCTTAACTTGATTTGTTTACATTTGTTACATTGGTCTATTTGAAAAGTGACGCGAGCATTCTTGTATGAAACTGGTTCCAAACGTAAACAAACGCTGTAGGTTTCTTATGGCTTGTTTACTTTTGGAACCAGTTATGCGAGGTAGGCGACGATTGTTCGTATTTGACAGCCACCTCCCCCCCCCTCCCTTGCTCGCACCGTGTCATTGGGACGCTATTAATGGATATTTTTCGTCGCTTTTGAAAATTTAGTCCATTGCTGAATTTATCACCGACATTACATAGGGATTTCCCCTATCACATAAAAATTCAGACGCAGACCAACATATCTGAAATTAATTTCCTTTTCTTCCCTCAATGCAGACTTCAGCATTTGTCCAGTAATAAAATACGTAAGAAGAGTCGGATCTCACTATATGTGGATAAATTCAGTTTTTTTTTCAAGATTTGATCCTTCCTCGAATGTGTTCAAACGACCATATGTCTCCATCATACTGACCACTGCGAGGTAACATGTTGGTTAGCTGTAAGCTAAATATGGATCTATTTAAACTTTTTCGAACCATAATTGCATAAACAGCTCTAGTGATAATTCAGACAAAAATGTAATGCATTTCATCAACGAACGATATTTCAAAAATAATCGCAAAAGTACTCAAATGATCCATTCCATGCATGTCTATCGCAAAGGAACATATTCAAATTCGTCGTGTATAACGCCAGGCAGTGAGTGACGTTGGTCACTCAACATGATGTTGTGTGTTATCAAAAAATGTCTACATCCCGCCTGATAGGTCACACGACGACGACGAGTCAAGTAATGACTCTCCACACAGAGATAGATCGACAGAGTGTTATTTACCAGCCGAAAACCAAAACAATTAGTATTAGAAGAAAGACGACCACTCTGCGGGGCTATTCAAATTCAATGCCAAGCCAAGTGTTGCCTATTCACTGTGCATTTCTATCGAGTATTGTACTAGGAAAGCTATGGTGGTGATGTTTTACGTCGAATATTCCGATATTGGCGGAAAAATAGTGTTATGGTAAGTCCCAATGTTTGTGGAAATTGGTTTTGTTCAATTAATTAGCGTGTTTGATTTGTAGATGGTACATATTTGAAATTTAAATTGAACTGAATTCTCATCAGTGGAAGTAATAGAGTAACGGAGGGAGAAAGAGAGAATGGACATCCTCATCGAGCCCGATTGCTTCAAGGCCTGTCGCATTTGTATGGAGAACTGCGAGGATGACTTTGTGTGCGTGTACGACGAGTTCGAGGATAACATCCTGATGGACGTGATCACCGAGTGTGCCCGCGTTGAGGTAGGTTTTCATTTTTGGTAGCCATCGTGTCATTTCCATTAGACAATGCTATGTTGTCTGCAAAGATGGTGAACTGAATGACTAATCCATTTTCTTATCGCAATGTTGTTTTTTTTTGTCTTTCCGTTCGCCTAAAACCGGTACTACATTTGACGACATGCTGTACTTTCCACCTTCTCTTGGCAACAAAAACAACAACAACAACGACGACGACGACGACGATTACTACGACAGATAAGAAAAGACGATGCACTGCCCCGGAACGCCTGTCGGAATTGTGCTGAGTATATGATAATTGCCTACCACATCATCCAGAAGTGTCGTGACTCGGATCACACGTTGAGGTCGATCTTCAAGCATGAGATCGAACTACGGAGCCGAAAGGACGAGGAGAAGATCTTCAGTGCGACCGATCTGCACGAGGAGGACCTCAATCCGGAAGAGTACGAATTTCTTCTCTCGGAGGCGTACGACAACATGATACTGGACAATGTGGAAGATCTGATTGCCGAGCAGGCTGATGACCTGCCGAGTGACTTTCCAGATTTGGGTCAGGTAGATGAAAACACTCCCCCATTGGAGAGTAACGTAAAGCTAGAACAAACACAAGTGGCAAATGCTTCAGATAGACAACTGCAAGTACAAGTGGAGCAACCACCTGTTGAGGCCCCCGAAAGGAAGAGATGCTGTGGTTGTAAGAAAGAGTTTGATAATGAGGCCGAGCTTAAAACCCACGGCAATTCGGTTCACTTTAATGAGCGTGGCAATTTTATTGATCCTACTAGGCCATTCCAGTGCCAGATCTGCTTCAAATCGTTCGTCACCTTGCAGCATATGAAGGAGCATCAGCGAATTTCGGTTCGCCGATTCTTCTGTCGGCAGTGCGGAAAAGGTAAGGCTTCAAACGACTTCACATCACAGGATGAATTCAACACAGGCCATTTCTCCCGGACAGGTTTCATGACCCAGGTAAATCTAGAGAACCACCACAAATGTCACTACACATCGGCCGAAACAAAGAAATGCTGTGGTTGCCGAAGGGAATTTCAAACGGAAGAAGCACTCGCAGTTCACTCCCTTCAGGCGCATAAACCCGAGCAACTGTTTGATCCGAGACGACCATTTGAGTGTGCGATTTGCTACCGGCGTTATCCCACGCGAAAATCCCTGGTCAGTCACAAGCGACTGAACCAGCAGCATCAATGTGTGCATTGCGGAGAAATCTTCGCCAAAAGACTCTTCCTCACGATTCACGAGCGCACCTTTCATGCGGATGTGCCCAAGGAGGAAGACCCCAAGCGGCGATGCTGTGGATGTTACCTGGAGTTCCCGAACATGGAACAACTGCAGCAGCACGCCTCTACCACACACAAGCTCCAGCGCAATCAGATAGCCGATGAAACGAAACCTTTCGAATGCGACATCTGCTGCAAACGGTTCATCTCCAAGTACAGCTTGCACCACCATCAGAAAAAGGCCAACCAAGGGCGGCGATACGTGTGCGAAGTCTGCGGTCGGTCGTTCAACCGGGCCTTCGACAAGGCCAACCATGCCACCACACACTCGACTGAGATGCCCTTCGCGTGCGACATCTGTGGCCGCCGCTTCAAGAACCGACTTTACCTCAAGAATCACCTGAAACTGCACGCTAGCGGCGAAACGAAGGAATTCGTCTGCCCCGAATGTGGCAAGTGCTTCCGTACCAAGGATCTCCTGAAAACTCATTCCATCACGCACAGCGAAGAACGACGCTTCGTGTGCAGTCTCTGTTCGGCCACGTTCAAGCGGATGCAGTGCCTTAGAATCCACCTGAAGATACACAACAAGGAGAAACCGTACGGGTGTACTCTGTGCGACCGCCGGTACACTCAATCGTCGGACTTGAAGCGGCACATGTTGACCCACAGCACCGGGGACGAAGCGCGGCCGTACCAGTGCGAGTACTGCCTGAAGCGCTATCCCCGGAAGGATTATCTGAAGATTCACGTCCGCAAGCAGCACCTCGAGAAGGCCGATCTGACGCTGATCGAGGAGATGGCATTTGAACTGGGGGACAACGGGGACGATAGTGATTTTTTACTGATTTGAAATGTTAAAGTTAGGGTAATTGAAGAATAATGTGGCAATAAAATGCGGAATTTTTCACACGGTTAGGCGGGGGTGGTTGATCGGAAGGAATCCCAATGGAAGGTACAAGGGGGCTGCCGAAGTAAAGTCTTGTCCGAAGTTTCGTAGAAAGCCTGGCTCGAAGCAAGTCTGTTCCGAAGATGTAATTGTCCAGAGTAAGTCAGGTCCGAAGAAATTTTGGTCCCAAGAAAGTCTGGTTCGAAGAAAGCATTGATATAGATTATTAACTAATGTATACTGCTAACCAAGTCGATCGGTCGGCAAAGGTATATTTAGACATTTCCATAGAGCAAATGTCAGGGTTGTTACGAGAACTTGCTAATTTGCCTGGCTTTTAGCTTTTATCAACAAATCCCGTCTTCAGATCAATGTTCATGCTATTTACGATCCAATCCTTTGTTCGGCTTGATATCTCATCCACACTGTAAATTTGGAAGATGGGTCTTTATTTGACTTTCCAGCATTTCCTGAACTTCCACGTTATCAGTCCCATATGGCATTGATAAAATGGCATACCAGGTATTCCCTAACCCCGGAACTGATACCAAGAATCAGAATGCCATAAAAATCGCCTCGAATAGTCTGCATTTTCCAAATCGCATTCGTGCTTTCATGATTTGACTTGCTGCATTATTATTTTACTTCAAATTTGACTATGGCCTAAAGGAACAGATTTCGAGACCCCAGGAACCGATGCCAATATGGCCATATGTCCTTTGGTTTGTTTTTTTCCGTCGATCTTGTTTTCCGTGCTGAGCACCAATGCTACCGACGTGCCAGGAAGGCAGCTCCCACACCTGGACCCTACCTATCGACCCATCAACTCATGAACCGGGGACCAACGGCTTTACTTCCCATCCGAAGGAAGGCGTGTTCAGAGATATGTTATGCCTCAGAACATCCCGGCGGCGCCGACTGGGATTCAACCCAGGCCTGCTGGGGTGAGAGGTAATCACGCTTACCACTACACCACCGGCGCCGTTAATATGGCCATATGTCATCGTATACGCCATACACTGATTTCAATGATCCTAATTTGTCAGTTTGACATGATTATTTTGCCTTGAATATTACGATGGCCTATAGAACCAGATTCTGGGACCCCTGGAACCGATGCCAATGCGGTCATATGTCACCGACACACCCAGGACGCACTATGGACTACATTTTGGAAGCTCCTGGTTCCTATAGTCCAGTACAGCTGATTCCTGCCAGCGCTCATTATAGGGTTAATTACCCCCTTTCCGGCCTATTAAGCACAACTCGCACTTAGCATTTCTTAATCTAGCGCAGTTTAGCACCAAACGGAATGTTATTATCTCTGATGGCTTCCAAATTTATTTACCTTTCCGTACGCACCGTAAGATTTGATAAAAATAAATCAATCGTTGAGATATTGTCAAAAGTCTAACACTGCTTCTTGACGCCAAACTCGGCCTAACGCATTGAAACGCCAATGAATTCACTTCGGCCTATCGGATGAAGATAAAAATTGATTCGGTCGGAGCGCTTCTTTTGTTTTTGGGATTAATGGGTGCAAACCTTCATACCACACGTTCTCATTGACTTCGTTCGGTAGCTTATTAACTAAAGTATCGTACCAAACGCATAATTGACTTGTTAACTCTGAAATCATGGATTTATTTGAAGTTTTCTGCTCGATAGGCCCAAAATGGGCGAATAGGCCGAAGTAGTTCTCTACCCTAGTCGTCCCGGACCTGTGGCTAGATGTTTATCAGGGGTAAGTCACTCAACACATTGTGCCGTAATTAGATTCGGCATAGCTTGGGCATATCCATCGGTAAACCTTCTTCTTCTTCTTCTTATTCTTCTTCTTCTTCTTCATTCCTTTATTTAACGTCGGTCTCTGTTCCGCAATCTAGTGCCAATCACCGACGGACATCGATTGCCATCCATTGACGACAATCGAATGTGCATGCAGGAAGGCAGCTTCCACAGCTGCGTACACATTTAGATTTTTTGCCGAGATTGGCATCACCGAGCAGGCTCGGCATTTATTTTTACTCAGATCTCAGCAAAATTTATGTTTGTTAGCCGAGATCTCGGCAAAATTCCCGTTTGTTAACTGAATCTCGGCAAATTTTTCACTGAGTTCCAGCAAAATAAATTGCAGAGCTGCTCGGTGGTGCCCATCTCGGCAAAAAAATCTAAGTGTACACTCAAAGATAAATTAAATCAAAAAAGCTTAAAAAGTATGCAGATTCCCGCTTCACCTTATTGAGTCCGAGCCATGATTACTTCGGCAGTAGTCATGCATGATTAAATTCGAAATAATCTTTCCAGTATTAAATTTTATTCTTTTTCAATACTGATATATAATCAAAAAGATTAAAATTCAATCAAAAATTATTAAAATAGAATCAAAAATGAATAAAATTTATTCAAAAAAAGATAATCTACAATCTAATCAACCATGATTAAACTGGGATTAATATGAGATGCTTAATTTTTAGAAAGAGAGGATTAATTTCTAATCATTCGATATGATTGAACTGAGTTTAATTTCAAATTGATTAAATTTCAAGCAAAATGGGATTAGTTGAATTTATAAGTGTATAGGATATCGCACCCATTCTACACACATGGGCCTGGACCCAGGCGAGTAAGAGAGGTGCCACAGTCGGAAGAAGTATTAGTTTGTTTACTAAAATGAATCGCCCATTTTGTTATGGCAAGTTTTGCTATAAAAAATGCTCCTCATGTTTATTAGCGAAATTCACATCAAAGATTGATTAATTGCGTAGGAAATCAGTTTGGCACGGCATTTGTGACCAGCATACACCTTCCGGTCGTATGAAACAGGTCAAAAACTGTCCAAATCCACAGATAAAATTTTTTGTTTTGAATTTCTGTATAGCAAAATAGTGAACTTTTCGTGAACATTAACGGCAAAGAACTCACCAACACTGGGAGACCGTGAGTTCCTGCCCACCTGTCATCTCCCATCTCGGGCCTGGACCAACGGCTTTACTTCCCTTCCGAAGGAAGACGTGACCAGAGATTGTTATGCCTCAGAAAAATCCCACCGACATCATCTGGGATTGAACCCAGATCCATTGGGGTGAGAAAGCAGTCACGCTTACCACTACACCACCGGCGCCGGCTACCGGCAAACCTTCGGCACAATCTCGTACACTGAGGCAAATAGACTTAAGAATTTTATAAGGCTCGACTTATGAACGACACATATGAATTTCATAAGCCCGACACGACTTATGAAAATTTTTCATCTTATACATGAGGTAGCTCTTCTAGGCCATTAGTCATTCCATTTACCCCAGCATTGACAGAAACAGGACTCGTAATCTCAACGTCCATGATTCGGTTCCAGTCTGCTCAGTTTTATTATTGTTTTGTCGACATTATTGTTATTTTACAAACAATCGCAGCTTGCTCTATGACAGGCACAATCGGCACACCTGCGGCACACTGATAAAAAAAAGATGACCCGAAATTGGTGTGCGGAGTGACCTACCCCTTGATCAGGGGTCTTTCAGCTTGCTTCAACAGGCAAGTACAAATGTGATCAAGACAATTATTCGCCAGATATGCCTTCAAGTTACAGCACGTCTTGCATTTCCAATGTTGCTTATTCCTGCGTAGACAATTGCCCATACAAAATTTTTAAAATTTGTATGGGCCGTGGATAATTGTCAGACCCTCCCTAAAACTGTCTACGTACTTTATAAACAGCCCCTAGCGACAACGAGCATTTTGAAAAAAATCTCTTTTACACGGATATTCCTTGGGTTCTGTCCAATGGTGAGACATTTTCATGATTTTTTTTATTTCTAATGTGAACCTAGCACTTTTCGCAAATAATAACCGAATCGTATATATGTGACTTTATTGATCATGCACGATTTATTGCTATGTATACAGGAAATTATAGGTTTTCCAAATCGTCCAGGACATCAGTTGATTTGTTCTACTAGATCAACCAAGACTCCAATAAAGTCTGTAGCATCGAAAAATGTCCAATCAGATTCAAAGTGTCTATGTGGATCATGCATGATTTATTTTCGAGTAATCCAGATGTTCAAGGTTCTTCGAATCGCCCTGGAGTTCAGATAATTTGATCTACTAGATCAACCGAGATTGGGACAATGTCTTTACTATCGAAATATTTCACAGATGCACAGTGTCTATGTCGATCATGCATGAACTATTGTCATGTATACCAGATGTTTTAAGTTCTCCAAATCGTTCTGAAGTACAGATGATTTATTCTACTAGATCAACCATGACTGGGATAAAGTCTGTAGTAACGAAATATGTCCAAACAGATTCACAGTGTCTTTATGGATAATGTTTAATTATTTCCACGTATACCAGATGATCTAGGTTCTCCAAATCGTCCTGCAGTTCAGATGATTTGTTAACTAGATCAACAAATACTAGGATAATATCTGTAGTATCCAATTATCGATTTGGAAATCCTAGAACATTTGGCATACACGGAAATAGGTTGGCATGATCCACATAGACACTGCAAATTTGTTTGAGCATATTTCGATACTACAGATATTGAATTAGTCTTGGGTGATCTAGTAGAAAAATAATCTAATCTCCAGAATGATTTCAGAACTTATAACATCTTGTATACGTAGCAATAGGTCGGGTACAATCCACATAGACACTTTGAATCTGTTTGGACATTGATATAGTAGAACAAATCAACTTTTGTGAACATTGTACAAAACTATTTTAAGGTTGCACAGACACAGAGGTGAGTACATAATAAGACCACACCAAACGCAGCAACTGCCTTTGTCGGAGCATGATCCAAAAACATATGTCTATTGTGTTGAAAGGTTTGCCGGAGGCTCTTCAACCACTAGGAAATCCACATAGACCCTTTGAATCTGTTTGGACATGTTTCGATACTACAGACATTATTGGAGTCTTATAGTAGAACAAATCAACTGAACTCCAGGACGATTTGGAGAACCTTGAATATCCGGTATACATGGCAATTGCTCGCATATATACGATTCGTTTATGATGCTATCACAGAACAGAAGGGGAAGTGCAAACAAATCGGTGAATCAAAAAGTGCTCGTTTTTCTGCTCAACGAGCGATGTGTTGTGGTAGCGTTCCACACGGGCTTTCTATGTGCACTCACACTATCATAGCATGCTGCCTATCTTAACTGCAGGCCAAAGATGCCTTCTACCGCTAGGTGCGCTAGTGTTCGCAAATAACAAGTGGAGCACTTTCTGATTCGATGTTCCACTCCTGTGATGCTATGCTATGTTCATATTGGAAAAAAGGAAAATGTCTCACATTGGACAGACCTCAGGGAATTTCCGTATAAATCCGATGTGACTTATGGAATTGAGATCATTTCTCGATTATTTGTAGGGTGTTTGGTTTGAACCGGTAAAAAATTGAGAGTCAAATGAACAACAAAATTGATGACAGCAAAATAATCCGGGACGAAAACATTACAATGAATTGCACAATTTTTGTGACAGCACATCAGTCCCTTCGCGATTTTCGCGACATCATTTAATGTTTCCGCGATTTTCGCGACTGAAAATTCAAATCCGCGACAAATCCGCGAAATTCGCGCCTGTTGTAACAGCCCTGAAAATGCACTTAATTTTAGGCAACGATAATTCGTGTTCAACATGGTAAACAGCGCCTATGGCACAACAAAGATTAAAACAAATCCTTCCCGCCACTCGCGACAAACTTTCCTAACAACTTATCACGCATGAACAGCTTGCTTGCGAATATTTGCAGCAGCTGTCAAATTTTGACGTAAAATCGAACCAGAGAACCAGGATTTTTCCGCTTCACACAAAGTATATGGGAATGACATTCGTGTCATAGATCCGGCGTGATTTGAGATTTGGGGGTAAATGCTTTTGTAAACAAACACATCAATCGCCGATTTCTCGTCAATAAAAGCTCAATCTCGTAAACAAACTATACCAAATGATAGAGGAGTTTTCGAAATTGAGATTTTATTCGCGAGAAATCGGTGATTGACGTGTTTGTTTACGAATGCAATTACGCCCAAATCTCAAATCACTCCGGAGATGTGGTAGTATGTCGGCAAAGTCGGGCTATCTACGAAGGTATGTCTGTCTGCGAAGTCTATCTAGCTACCAAGCCTATCAGTCCATCTATCTGATCAAGTGGAATCTCCATCCTCAAGGCTTTCTTTCCTAACAGCACGCAGCCAACACGAATGTCATTTCCGTCGTATCTATTTCCCAGATGACAAAAACATAGCTATAGGTACAAAATCCTTACGCTTCCTCCAGTACATCGCACAAGTCCCTCACACTGACTTCCTCCTCGCCAACGAACGCGTCCTCCGATTCCACGAAATAGATCAACTCGCTCTGGTTCGGTTCCTCTTCCAGGATATGCTCCACCGCCTCCACCTCTTCCACATCGCAGCCCACATCAATGTCGGCCACATTCCTCCGGTGCGTTTTCTTGTGCTTCTTCAGCGCGGACGTCGTCACGTGAGCCGAACCACAGATGTCACACTTGTAGGGTTTCGTATTCGTGTGGATCCGTTCGTGCACGATCAGGTTCGACGAATGCGTGAACATTTTATCACAGTACCGGCACTGGCGGCTCTTGATTCCCTGGTGCATGTTCATGTGTTCCTTGAACTTGTGCTGATAGCCGAAGTCTTTCAGGCAAATTTCGCACCGGTACTTGCGGATCTTCTTGTGTATGACGTTGATGTGGTTCTTCAGAATGGTAGCGGTGGCAAACTTACGGTGGCAATCCTGACAATCGTACATTTTATAGTGATTCCGGTAGTGCGACCACATCAGCGGGTACGAGGGGGCTATGTATTTACAGTTTGGTTCCTCACAAGGCCGGGGGTAGCTGGAAGAATCTCTCAGTTTTGCCGGCAGTATATCAGTCTTGGTGTTGTACAACGGATCGTCCGGGAAGTGCTCTTTCATGTGATTGCGCAGATCAACCGCATTGGTAAAATGTGTCTCGCAAACCGTGCAAGGATAGCCATTCTGCACTTTCTGTTGCTGCTGAAGGTGGCGCATTTTATGTTGCTTGAAGTTAGATTCATGGTTGAAGGTTCGCTGGCAGAAAGGGCAAATGAACGAAGATTCCTTCTTGTGGATACCCTCGTGACGCCGTAGAATAGTACCGGTTTGGAACGTTTTACTACAGGTGGCACATTTGTACCGCTGAGAATCCCGGTTCCTGTGAGCCCGAACGTGCTTTTGGAATTTCCGAATCTCAACGAATATCTGACCACAAATGTCGCAGTTGAATCCTTCCTTCTGCTCGGTGTGGAAGTTTCGCGTATGATCGTACAGCGGTGGGTAAGACCGGAACCTCAACGGGCAGTACTCGCACACGTATTTGAATCCATGCGATTCAAAGTGTTTATTCAGTAGCACCAAAGTTTTAATTTCTACGGGAGCTTTTTGCGTACTACAATCTACGCACTTGTGCGGCAACATGTCATTATGAAGTACCAAGTGAACAGCGAACAGGTCTTCACTCTCGCACACCGTGCCGCAAACGTAGCATTTGTTCGGAATGGTTTCCACTATCTGCAACTTCGGAACCGTATTTTTGGCCTTGCGGATAGACCGTTTCATACCACTACCAACCGCCGTCAGTTTCACCGGAATTGGTTCATCAAATCCTCGAAACTCCTCTTCCTCCTCGCTGTGATCAGACGGTTCCAACTTCTCCACCAAGAATTCACTTTCCTCCACCTCCTCAACCGCTTCAATTTTAATATCAATTAACTGCTCTTCCACGGTCCGATCATCGTCAAAACCGACGGCTTCGATCTCTACATTCTCCACCGGTCGCATCTCTTCCCCTGCAGCATCCGCGCCAATTTCCTCCAGCTTTTCGACATCTTCGAAAATGCCATCACTGTAATGTTGGGGCCCTTCGTTGTCGATCAGCTGTTTGGCGGCCAGAAGGCTGGATGTTTCACGCAGAGGTTCCAGTAGCGCTTGACTCTTCATCAGTTCCAGATAGAAGTTGTACAGATAGTCCACCTTTTTCAGACAGAACTCACAGACGTGCTTCGGGTATGCGGCATTCTTGTCGAACTATAGAAAATCAGACCGTTTTAACCGTTAAATTTGCAAGAAATTCCATACTTTTTACCTCAATCCGGAAGACGACATAGACCAGTTCCGTGAGCAGTTTGTCGCCGATGTTGGCCTTGAACAGCGGGATCGAACCCGTCGAACGGCGCAGGCAAAGCCGGCATAAGTTGGGCAACATTTTTTTGTCGTATTTATGTCCCTACGCACATAGCGTTGACTAACAAGTTTATTGAATAAAGAGAAAATTATTAGCAAAAAAGGATAAACACGCGAAAAACTGAGGCACTCGCACTTACGAACGGGCGGGTTTGTTTACAAACTTCACGAAAACTTCAAAAATCTCAAAAATGCTTCGAACAGGATTGGGCGATCTTGAGATGCATCAAACGCTGACAGATTAGCAGAGATGCCGGATGAATAACTTTCCTCGAAATTTTCCGAAAATTTAAAAAATACATTCAAAGTGTTTTTATTTACTTCATACGCGAAGTTTGCGATTTTCAGAGTTGTTTGGAAATGCTATCTAACATGAAGCTTTAGTGCGATAATTTATTAACTAGAGAATGGCCTTAGAAGAGGGTAGGTAGATAGTTCCGGCAGTATATGAAAAATTAATAATGCGACAGTGCAACCCTAATAAAATTGTTATGGTTATTTTGCTTAACGACGTGTTCATCATCCAAACCATTTTTGGAATAGTTCCATCATTTAGGTTATCGTTCGGGTATGATATATTAACGCACGCACGCATTAAGTCAAACGCACACTCTTTGCTTAACCCGTACGATGTACGCGGAGATTTGAAGTATGTTTTTATAATTATAATTAAGCTTCATGTTAGATAGCATTTCCAAGCAACCCTAAAAAAAAATATTTATTATGTGTGTATTGAAATTATGAATGCACATAATATTTGTTTTTTTTTTTTTTTGGAATGGATAAAGTTTTATTATCAGTTTTTTTATAAATATTGGCCACCCTGTATGCTTTATGTAACTACCGGCCGTAAAAGCCGCGGCCGTCCTTAGTGGTATGCTGACCTCCAGAATTTGTATAGAATCAATCAGAAAATAATTATTATTTAATAACTATGACGTGCATGAATCACGTCCAGCGAGTACGAACATTGTACAAAACTATTCTAAGATTGCACAGAGGTGAGTACATACTAAGACCACACCAAACGCAGCAATTGCCTTTGTCGGAGCATGATCCAAAAACATATGTCTATTGTGTTGTAGGTTTGCCGGAGGCTCTTCAACCACTAGGAAACCAATACGTGAGGGACGAATTCCGTAGGCACAAAACCTGTGCCACTCAAGAAGCCTTTCTGTTCATGAACGAGTGGACGGTAATATATTATTGATCCACATAAGTTTCAAAGGTAACACTTTATTTGGATTCCCATTACTTACTGTCAGGACTACGCCATTACATTGGCCAATCAACTAGGAGTGAAAGGAAAACCGAAACCAATAGACTATCTGGGAAGCAACTTGGATGTTAGTAAATTAGGAGATTTCCGCGATGAACAAGTAGCACAGCTCTACGAACTGCTATTGGCATCTAAAGCAGTTAGCGATGAAAACCGGTAAGGATTCAGTATTTAAGAAACTTTAAAATATATTAATATTTATGAAGTGATCGCACCTTTCTTAAATCGTGAAATCCTTGAATCCTGACCTGAGTGATATTTAGTTTCTAAGAAAGAAGAGGACAAATGTGCATCCGCGCTCTACGAGCTCTCTAACAAGTACAAGACTGCCTTTATTGTTGATCAGTCTAAAATTCGATTTCTGTCTACATTTTAGCTCATACCTAGTACAAGTTATATTAAAAAAATAGCATGGAATTTTTAAAACTGGAATGAGTATAGCAATCAAAGACCATAATTATATCACTTGGAAACTTTTTCGTAAATGCGGTACTGATACTGGATTCCGTTTTCCTCCTGAATCTCTTCCGGGACGTCTTCATCATTCTTCACCAGTTGAAACTCGTCGGTGATTTCGGGGAAGAATGCATCACACTCGAAGGTTTTCTTAATTTCCGTGAGGTAGATCCGGTGGCATCTTGGAGATTGCATTGCTTCTTTATAAACAGCATTACCACCCACAATCCATATATTTTCGATTTCATCAACGAGCGGAGACTCATCCAGTTTGCTCACAGCTTCCTGCATACCGGTGCATACCATTACATCGGCCGGGTATGTGTTAGCACCGGGATCGCGAGTTAGTACGATGTTAAGTCTCTCCGGAAGTGGACGTTTCGATTCCGGTACACCGAAGTAAGTCTTCCGTCCCATGATAATGGCATTGCGTTTCGTAGCGTCTTGCAATTTCTTTGTCATCCTGGAGAAATATTTCAACTCTTGCCTGCAAGAAACAGAACGTTATCAGTATATCATCTCACCGGTTATGACACTGTATGCACTTACTTCAACCTCCAAGGCAAATCTCCTTTAATGCCAATTCCTCCATTAGCACATACTGCAACTATCAAACTAAATTTCTTCATTATAAACTAAAAGTACAAAAGAAAAGCAAATTAAAAAAATATTGATGTGGGAAGACAAGGTGAACTCAAAATCCGCGGGAGGAAAAATCGTTGAACACAGAGTGTTTAAGGTGATTCCTTGAAGAGTCCACAAATGGCCGTCATCAAGGCTGATATGCTCCATCACTCTGGAGCATAAATCTCAAACACTGTTGCGACATCGCTCATGAGATTGGAACTCCCAGTTTGCTAAACTGCAGCAAATGTAAAGTTCCAGTTTCAGTGTTGTTTGTTTTCTGAGAACTGATATTACTGCTCCTGAAATTTCGAAGTGATAGCAGAATCAATCAAAAGTAAGGTTTCCACTTCCGACTTTTCAGCCGCTATCTGTCCAGGGATGCCAGAATTTTTGATTTATACGATCCAACTAGTATATACACAGACCAGCAGACATAACACTCGCAAGATGTTCATCGAAATCGCTTTTAATGGTCAATTTAAATGTTTCTTATTTGGTAGTACCGTAGTACGGTAGTACCGCCAGCTGTTTAGTGTATTACCCATCACAGTGTACACAACAGAAATTTACTTCGAAAATAAATTAAAATGTTCGAAAATTCCTCTGTTGTTGATCGACCGATTTTCGAGCTCGTTTTCGAGTGGGTGTTTGTCAAAATGAATTTATTGTTTGTTAGAAATAAAGCAGGTTTATTTGAAAATTTTCCATCTGTCAAATTTAAGTGAAAATTCACCAAATGCAGGTCACTTCGACTCTCGCTGTAACTCGCGCCAAAACAAATTAAATAAATATATTTTATACATTTCTTTGACAAAGCTGGTATGATTTTTATGAAATTTGAAGCAACGTACATATCCTTAATCAAAATTTAAAGCAGGATTTGAAGTGAAAACCAAGCGCGGCCCAAAAAAACCGAATTCCGTAATTACGACAGGTGGGTCGGTTTGTTTGACAGCGTTCGGTAGTTCTTGAGTAAACCGATGTTCGGTTATTTCAGCTTAAATTTATTGTTCGTCGACCGAGATTTTCAGTAACTTTGACAGATTGTGGGTAAACAATAATTAACGACAGCTCGGTCATTCTTCTTTGAACCGAACAGACTACCGAGCGTTCAGCAGATAAAAACTCGATTGAAATCAAACCGAATTCGGTATTAATTTCTAATTGTGAGTTTAGGAACATGAAAACTTTTCACGTTTCCTAATCTTCTCCCTAATCTCCCCTCCATGTCTAGAATGGTGAACTTCAAATAAAACACTTTGAATTATGAAGAATTTTCTAAATTCAGGGTCATACAATTTTCTCATCATGAAATCTTTAAAAATCTACCCGAAAAAAAAATTACAGTGAAATTTTCAGTGGAAACAATGCTCTAACATTAATATTTATTGTCGACAATAAAAATGATTGTTATAATGTTGTACCCTTCCGAAAACGGCAAAACTGTTACCTAGCTGTACAATGAATGTACATAATAAAATGTTGTTACAATGATTTTTATTGTATTTTTCATTTATTTTATTGTTAACATGATTCGATCACGAACAATAATGAACAATTCTATTACAATAAAAAATGTTGTTACATTAAATATTGGTGTGTTTTCATTGTGGGTTACTTCACGAACAATAAAAATAAATCTGATTGAAGCATGCATACTATGAGAGGGTCAGCAACACTGCCAATGTAATCAAGATAGGTGCTGCTCGTATGGCTCTTGCTTTGACAGTTCGTTTGGCTCTATTCGTTGCCAAGTCAATTGAACGCCTACGACCAGATCGGTTTGAGTTGAACTCAACTCTCCTGCGTCATCTAAATCCCGCTTAATGCAGACCTTTTCCGTGCAGTCACTAATCATACAATAATAATAAAAAAATCCACCACTTGAAGATGTCAGGAAATCACTCTCAGGTGGAAGCATATTTTCATGGGCGATTCTCTCCAGTTGAATGCATTAACTTATCAACGACGTTCAACCACCAAGGAGACGTGACCTGAGAGATCGAGTGCAGGGGAGTTGGCTTCCATTTCTCACAAGTTCCGGATCGAATCTCAATCCATAACCAGTAAAAAAAGGACTCACCCGTAACAGACATTACCACCCCCTTCCCTCCCCGGGGCGATGTTTTATTTTTTCGATTTATTTTTAAAGTCGATAAAGTAGATCTGTCAAGCCAACACATACACTCTAAAGTACACTGTTATTTTTTTTAATCAATAAATTCGCCAACCAACAGTAAAATAACAATAATATATAATGTTATTGAAAAAAAATTATATGGGGAAATCACGAAAATTTCATTGTTAAGATACTTAACAACCCCCCTTTTTTATTGTAAATTTTCCATTTACCATGAAATTTACTGTTTTGTACAACATAAATCAAGGTAAATTTATTGTAGACGTAACAATATAAATCATTGTTAAGACAATAATTTTCGTCTTATTGTTACATTGTTTTTTATTATATTTTTGTTGTTATTTTTTTTCGGGTCGTCTACAACCGTGCATCGAGCCAAAAAACGAGCCGGACTATCGACTTACAAGAAGGTAGTGACTCCAAATCGCGATGATAAACAAAATACGACGGCCAAAGCGCGATCCCGGAGGCTGTACACGACGATGCTGACGAAGTTTGACTGCGTGGTAATGGACGACGAAACCTACGTCAAAGCCGACTACAAGCAGCTTCCGGGACAGGAGTTTTATACGGCAAAAGGAAGGGGAAAGGTAGCAGATGTTTTCAAGCACATGAAACTGTCAAAGTTCGCAAAGAAATATCTGGTTTGGCAAGCCATCTGTACCTGTGGCTTGAAAAGCAGCATTTTCATAGCTTCCGGGACTGTCAACCAAGAAATTTACGTGAAAGAGTGTTTGAATAAACGTCTGCTGCCTTTCCTGAAGAAACACGGTTGTTCCATAGAGGTAACTCTAAGACCACTGGGTCCCGAAGAAAATCATTATTATTTTTGGCTCACTCAGTACCAGAACAACGGTCCCAAGCAGTCCCAAGCTATTTCACTCACCCCTGCATGTTCTGCATGAATCCACACACCCCTGATGTTATCTGTCAAACTTTCATAGCGAATCAAAACAAACATAGTGTAGTAATAGAATTTCAACTAGAATAGGGTACGTTAATCGTTTGCTTGGGACCAATAGGCTACTAAAGTGGTGAGCCAATTTAAAATCGTTAGTTTCGTATTGATTGTTGGTTGTTCCGTACTGTTTTGGCCGGATTTGGCATCTTGCCATTACGGTAAAAAGGCCATGGAGTGGTACGCCGCCAACAACGTGCAGGTGGTTCCCAAGGACAAGAACCCTCCCAACACGCCAGAGCTCCGCCCAATTGAGAAATACTGGGCTATTGTCAAGCGGAACCTAAAGAAGACCAAAAAAACTGCTAAGGGCGAGCAGCAGTTCAAGCACAAACAGACGGAGCGGCTCGAAAACTTTGGTGACTAACCTGCTATTGCAATTTTTCAGTGTACCACATGGCAACACCACTACTACTGGATTGTACCACATGGCAACACTACTCTTAGATTGAACTAGCATTTTCACCAAATGTACTAGAATTTTTTGGTTCTATCTTTTTCACTCTACTCAAAACTGAAATGCATAAAAAAATGACAAAATGATACGCACTCTTTGCACACTGTCAAAGAATCATTGTACACAAAATCAACTTTGTTCAAATCAAAACAAAAAAACTAACTCATCTGGTGGATGATGGCACAAGCTTCAAAGAAAATTCTATTACAGTGAACCACATTATTTAAATGGATTTATTCGCCAGTTAGTCGTCTGTCACTTCGTTTGTGGTTCAAGGCAAACTGGCTTTCTGCGGCGAAGAAGGTGGACAAGGTGGCTGTACAAAATCTGATGGCAGGGGTCAAGCGTAAGGCCCGGCAATTCGGATTTGGAAAAGCGGAAGCCTAACTGAATATTTTTCCTGAATTTTATACTAATTGAACTTGAAAAAGAAATGTAATTTGATTTTTTAAATAAACGATTTCACCGATTTACACGCGTTTTCCCTTGACCAAATTTTGACCGTATCACCATAGAGGAGAACTTCAAGTGATTTTTACACGTTTTTTTTTCAGAGAAGTGCTAAGTAGAATTATTAATAATATCAGGAGCTTTGCAGAGTGAATTCTGAGAGTGTTCTGCAGAAGATGTTCAAGCGTATCATATAGAGGGAATTCGAGGGGGGCGACACATCTAAATCTCAAGTCTAGATGCTCAACAAATCTCACACTAGCGAATCAATCTTCGCAAAATCTTCTTTCATTTGTCGCATCTACTTGCATCGCGTATCATCTTTTTGCAAAAAATCTTCAGAATCGTCATCAATGAAGGTGCGTGAAAGAGTTCGGCACAATCGGTGTTGATGTTGGCTCTATTGCAACTTTTTTTTTTGTGTTTTCGAAAGAAATTGATCGAAAGTGTACCAAAAGTGCTTCTGAACGTGTTTCGCAGTTGGGAGTGGTGAAATTCGTAAATTCGCGGTTTATGTTCAGTGAAAATTCCGTATCACAAAATTGCCCACCGAGTTCCCTTTTTTTCCGTTCGACGACGACGGGCATGCGAGAAAAAAATAAGCATCGGGAATGTGCTCCCGGATGTATTAATTTGGTGAGTACGTTCCAGTTGAAGATTGTTCTTATACATATCTCGATTGCATTTTCGAGGGGACGTCCGGAGAGCTTTGAGATTTAGGCGTTGTTGCTTTTGCGGGCAGACGAGTTCGTCGCCGGTAAGGGCCAGTAAGTGCTGCCAGCAGATGAATCAAGAGGTATTCGAAACAAAATTGGTAAGAAATGTCCATTCAAATCGTTTTATTACAGTTAAACAAATTTCAAAACTATATACGTGCCAGATTTGGAAATAATATTTTTTGAATCTGGAAGTGTGTTTATGATACCATTATCCATTTGATAAAGGTAGAGTGAACATGTGGGGCTTATTGTAAGTAAAAGTGACCTCGGAGTGGTCGTGAATTACCAGGCATTCTGAAATGGGTCACTGGAGCTGCAATAGAGCTAACACCTTCTAATTCCCGGACTAAACCTGCTTTAATTTAAGGGTAATAAAAAGCAGTTTTCTTCCATAATAACACTGCCGGACAGTGGGGGTTGGATTGTACACACACACAAATCTTCAGAATCGTCATCAATCTTCTTCTGTCTACTAAGCGTGCGCGCAGCTAGCCACAGCATAACACAATCTTTTCTGCATCGTAGATAGAGTCGCCCCCCTCGCTGAAGGCCAAGGATGAAGTGATTTCTTGATTGGATTCCCGTGGGAGCTTAAATTAAAATAGATGACGGACCACTCGTCTATAATCGGTCGCGGGCGTTGATGTATTTGCGCATCATAGAGGAGACAAAAAAATGACAAATGAGAACATCTGAAATAAGAAGCAGTGAAAATCGTTAAACTGTTTATTTTTTAATCTGAATTTGAAAGAATTAATGAAACACACTCGATTCAGCCCGATGGAAATTTAAAGAATCAAAAAAATGAAACTGAACCCCAAATTTTCAAACGTTGAATGTGAAAATTCACAGATTTTGAGTGGTGCCAGTATTGCACGAGCCCGACGATACATTTCGCTCTCTCATTTGTGGAGAGTCAATCGAATATTATAGGACAGGTGTGGGATGAGCAGGATGACCAGTGAACCGGAAAATTGGGAAAAAGCCGGGAATTTCAATGACAAATCGGGGAAAAAATTACTTAATCTATTTTTCAGAAAATAAAATTGGGCTTTGAAAAGTTTTAAAATTCTTGAACCAGACTAAACTTTTTTGGAATTTTGAGTAGATTTTAGAATGAATGTCAGGGATAACAAGTTATTTCAGATGGTATTAAAGGTAGTTTTAAAAAGCGCTCTAAGAGATTTTAGAGTCACTCCAAGTCACTTTTGCGAGTTCAAATTCAGGGTAGAATTTTTAAGTTAATCGGTGGAGGATTGCAAATCGGTTGTGAAGATCATAGTGGCGTGACGGGACCGAGGTTTCCAGCCTCGGTAACGGCTACACGAATCCGCGATGCTGCCGCTTCTGCTGGCTTTCACAAATTTCGTTTGAGTGTTTAGAATTAAAGGTTTTTGCAGTTTCGTCGTGGAATCGATACATTCTATCAGTAGAGGGCTTTTGTAGTCCAGCTGTCACCATCCAAACATTATTTTTCACTTAGCATTGACTAAAATGGCAACTTCGATGTTTTTCTTTCGTACTGTTTCATTTCAGTTGCACGCATCCCCATGACAATTTAAAGCATGCTCGCATCCAATGCAATCCCATTAGGAATCCCATATATTTTTTTTATTCTTACTCTATTTTCGTTAAGACGACAAACTCAAAAAACTCTCTTCAGTTACATTACTTTTACAGGCAAGCATGGTAAAATAAAATTCATCTGAATAAGTATCGTTCCCCCTGCTCAAAACTCTTTTTAAATACTACTAAGAAAAATTATTATCAGTATAATTTTTCTTAAAAATTAAAACCTCAAATTAAATTTATTACATTCGTTCTATGCACCCTACTTTTTATTTATTTTGCTGGGTAGTTTGCTGATCTTTCAAGAAGTCTAAAGTCAGTAATATTTTGCTGCTTTATAGCGATTTAAATTTGGTGTGATGACTCGTAAAAAAAATTCAATAAATGATTTTCATTGTCATTGTGATGCCGCAGATACACTTGGATGACAAACTATGAGCATGATCATTATTTGTAAAATATATTATGAGCACATTCATGGTCGCACTTGTATAGTTTGTGTATAGTCGTATAGTGCTCATAATTATTATACAAATAATGCTCATGCTCATAATAGGTAATAGCATAGAGGTAACTAACTCTAAGACCAGAAGGTCCCGAAGAAACGAGCTCAACTTTTTGGCTCAGCTCTGGTACTATTTTCGGTCCCAAGCTAATCGATTCACCCCTCGAAACATAGGAAAAGCCACTAACCCCTCATTTTATCTGTCAAACTTTCATAGCGAATCAAAACAAACATAGTGTAGTACTGGAATTTATACTAGAATGGGGTACGTTAATCGATTTGCTTGGGACCAATAGGCTAGTCAAGTAGTGAGCCAATTTAAACTCGTTAGTTTCGTATTGATTGTTGGTCATAGTGTATCCGCGGCATAACTATGATAATTACTGTCAAAACATTGGACATTTTTGTCCATTACCATAAAATCACAACGAAATTCATGGTTCACAAGTTCACAACAGTGAAAATCATAGTATTTGAGAAATTTACAGTAAAAAAGGGGTTATTAAGCACTATAACTATTAAAAAAAAAGTTATTTTTCTCGAACAAATTTGATCTCATCACACTAATTTTCAATGTTTGAGCATTGTATCGTTAAAAATCGAAATTTTAACGGATCTCAAATTTCAGTCGGATTCAACCGATTCAACGCTGCCGTGTACGCTGTGGTTCTGGCAACCTTGCAAGTAGTGTAACGGTTTGAAACGTGTTTTGATTATTATGACGTTTTTTGTTTGCTATTTACAAACATCGTCCGTCTGTTTCAACCGAAAAATCTGGAATAGTTTCCATAGATAACACAAATTAGGTCCGTTTTACGGTTTTGAACTTTGGACCACAATGGTTTTCACTTGGTGCAGTGTTCCGCTATGCAGGAATTTGGGTAAGTATACAGAATCCAACAACTTGAATAGTTGTTCCAAAATTTTAATTGCAATTTCAGCGAGTTCTCACAAAGATCACCAGTTCTATCCGTTTCCGGAGAATCCACATCTCCGTTCCGTATGGATACAACGTACGCATTATACCGAGGAAATTGTCGGACGGGAAGCCGTTTGCTGTTTACACTTTGTGAAAAGCTCCTTCGAGTATTCCAAGCAAAGTTAGTCGGGTGATTGTTCCATTATCTGTTTGGACAACTTAATTGAAGCGCATTTTTTTTTCCAGCCAATTCCTATGTGCTGAAATCGGACGCAGTTCCCAATCAGTACTTGCCAAAGGCAGGCGAATCGGGAAGTTTCCCGTTTACACCGAACAAGGCCAGGATAACGAAGCAGGATGCGGGACTGCACTTTTCTGAACTGCTTCGGAAGTTGCGAGGATCAACGGTGACTACCATTACCCGACCGAAGCAACGTTATCTGTCGAAACAGGATATGGAGGTCAGGAAAAAGCTAAAGGATGATCCGTACATCCGGGAATACGTGCTGAAGCAAGCTTTTCCCAATTTGAACTACGAAGTTCTATCGTCGCTGCTAAAACAATTCTCAGATCCCAGTGGGACCGTGGCCATCAACCATAGCGTGGCAAGGCATGTTATTTCATTAACCTATCAAACGACAGCCGACCTGGAAGCAGCGGATGAGCTGAATCCGCGGAACATGGTACAACTGGCTGCAGATGAAAGCTACGCCTTGCGCATGACACCGCGGGAGCTGGCGGATGAGCTCGACTTTACCGGTCAGGTGAGTTATTCGGAAAAGTTTCCGAACATCTACCGGGACAACTTTTTCGACAATTGGCCAACGCAGCGTCGCAAGCGAGGTAGAACGGCCGTTGATCAGGATACCGATGCAGAGGTGGACCTATCAAAAGTTCCACCCTACATGGTGTGCGATAAATGCTGCAAGCTGATACCCAGCGAAATGGCCATGGCCTCAGCTCATCTGCAGTTGTGTGACTTCCGGATGTCACAGTGTACGACCTGTTTTGCTGGTTTTCTATCGCCAAAGGAGTTGCAGGAACACGTCCAAGGATCTCACCCAGAAGCACTGCATGAGCAGGCCAGCTTGGGACCGTTTCAGTGTGGAAAGTGCGGCAATACTTACCACAAGTTGGTCTTGTTGAAACAGCACATAGCTGAACACCAGGGCGGTAAGAAGGAGGCGAAATTCGAATGCGGATTGTGCACTTCAGTGCATCAGACAATCCAAGCCTTGGCAGTGCATTTCACCGAAAGTCACGGACTGAGGCAATCAAAAACGGCAAAAACAACGACGACGCCGGCAACGGCTTCAGAAGCAAAAGAATCACTTCCAGTTGCATACAAATGTGGTTTCTGTGGGGATGATTTTGCGCAGCCTCAACAGGTGGCTGACCATCTGAAGGAGAAGCACATGGGAGAATTGGCTAAGTATGCGATGGAGATTAAGGGAGGTATGATGAAGAGGTATATGATATTGTGAATTGCTATTTGCAGATCTACCACTGAGCAACAGCAGCTTCCGGTAGCGGTTTCCACCAAATCTGGGACCAAAAAGAAGACCCCAGTGCAGTTGACTGCAGCCGACATGGGTGGACCGGAGGGAACGTTCGATATTTTCCTGTGCAAGCAATGTCCGGCCCGTTACCGAACCCTGAATGATTTCCAGATTCACTCCAACCACAGTGGCCATCAGTTGCTACGCAATTGCACCTTCTGCGAGACCAGCTTCACCACTGAAGCCGCCTACAATCAGCACATCAATACACACAATCCGGACCTATTGTTTCGTTGCAATGGATGTGTAGGTCGAGGAAATAGCTTCCGTACCTTGGAGGATCTCATCGGACATCGTAAGCAAGTGCACCCCAAGGAACCGGCTCCGATTTTCAAGCTTTGTGAAATATGCAAAAAGGGCGTCTACACTCCCACGATGACACAGCATAGAGCTTACCATAGGTCCAATATGCAAGTGCAGTGTGCCAAATGCGATGCTATGATTCCCGCAATTGAACAGAAATCGCACGCCCAGCGACACAAAAACGAACAGAACATCCTTCGCAAATGTAGATTTTGTAATGTGTTCGAAGCCAGAGAAATGCTGTCGGAACACGAAGCCATATACCATCCAGAGGAGGACCCGTACAGCTGTGCACTCTGCAATACTAAATGCAATTCTCAGGAGCTGCTGAAGCGCCACGCCACCGCGTGCCACATTCCGAGCGAATTCAAATCGCTTGGGCCGTGTCTGTACAAAACCATCCAGGTCGAAGATGCCGAGTATTATGAATGTCGCATCTGTTTAATCGATTATATCTACCGGAGCGACATGGTGAAGCACATCCGGCTGGACCACTCGAATAAAATGCGTTGCACTACCTGCACGATCTGCGGTCGTATATTCCGAAGAGAGCGAACGCTGCTAACGCATCTGAAGAAAATGGAATGCCAACTCGGTCAGAATTTGCCACTGGTGAAGAAGCCGTGCTTGATTTGTAAAAAGTGGCTCCTGAAACGGGATCACGAGGCGCACTTTAAACAGGAACACCCGAGGCTGTTTCCGATGGAATGTGTCCTTTGCGGGCAGTGCTACAATCGGCAGAACCTATTGCAACAGCACGTAACCCAAGATCACAGCAGCGAGGAACGGGGCACGTTCATTTCACTGCAGAGGGGATTCCAGGTGTTCAACGACGGGAAGTATCAATACTTCGAGTGTAGATTGTGCGGGGCGGAGTACACTCACAAGGAAAGCTGCGAGGAGCACCTGCAGGCGCATTTGTTGGATGAGCAGCCGACGATCGAAGTTATGGATGTAGACGACACGAATCTGGTAGAAGAGGATGAGGTTTGATATCTGTAATTATGGTAGATTGGTTTACAGATAATATACAACAATACATCAAGAAACCAATCGATGCCGTTTCATTGCATTCCATCGCCTTTGGGGCCATACTTTAATTATTTTATTATGTCACGCTAAATTGAGAAAAAAATGGTAAACAAACTCGGTTGCTGTCCCATACAAAAATCCAACGTGGCTGCATCATGTTTAGAACACCTATATGTAGTCACCTTGATCCCTTCCCTTCATAGTTATAACATGTTATAACGGTTGTCAAATAAAACGCTGGCCAGCCTGAGCAGTTATAACAACAATCAATACGAAACTAACGATTTTAAATTGGCTCACCACTTTAGTAGCCTATTGGTCCCAAGCAAACGATTAACGTACCCTATTCTAGTTGAAATTCTATTACTACACTATGTTTGTTTTGATTCGCTATGAAAGTATGACAGATAACATCAGGGGTGTGTGGATTCATGCAGAACATGCAGGGGTGAGTGAAATAGCTTGGGACTGCTTGGGACCGTTGTTCTGGTACTGAGTGAGCCAAAAATAATAATGCTTTTCTTCGGGACTCAGTGGTCTTAGAGTTACCTCTATGCTTATAGTACGTTCAGACTACAGAGTTATAACATGTTATAGCGCTATCTTGATGGTGGTTTCTGTGTTGCAATTATTTGACAACCGTTATAACATGTTATAACCATAGAGGTAACTCTAAGACCACTGGGTCCCGAAGAAAATCATTATTATTTTTGGCTCACTCAGTACCAGAACAACGGTCCCAAGCAGTCCCAAGCTATTTCACTCACCCCTGCATGTTCTGCATGAATCCACACACCCCTGATGTTATCTGTCAAACTTTCATAGCGAATCAAAACAAACATAGTGTAGTAATAGAATTTCAACTAGAATGGGGTACGCCATAGAAGTACTTGGGACCAATAGGCTACTCAAGCAGTGAATCAATTTAAAATCGTTAGTTTCCACCCCCTGTTATAACTCTCCAGTCTGGCCAGCGTTTTATAGTACGTTCAGACTACAGAGTTATAACAACAATCAATACGAAACTAACGATTTTAAATTGGCTCACCACTTTAGTAGCCTATTGGTCCCAAGCAAACGATTAACGTACCCTATTCTAGTTGAAATTCTATTACTACACTATGTTTGTTTTGATTCGCTATGAAAGTTTGACAGATAACATCAGGGGTGTGTGGATTCATGCAGAACATGCAGGGGTGAGTGAAATAGCTTGGGACTGCTTGGGACCGTTGTTCTGGTACTGAGTGAGCCAAAAATAATAATGATTTTCTTCGGGACCCAGTGGTCTTAGAGTTACCTCTATGGTATTAGAGTGTATTCAATTCACCCCTAAAACGCTGGTCAGACTATACAGTTATAACATGTTATAACGGTTGTCAAATAATTGCAACACAGAAACCACCATCAAGATAGCGCTATAACATGTTATAACCATAGAGGTTTATAACTCTGTAGTCTGAACGTACTATAACAGGATTTCCTTCCGAATTATATGAAAGGGGCGGGGCGGAAAGTATCGTTTGTGCAGAATATGTAAAAAAGGAGGGACTTCAAGAGATTGAACTCGTGAGAGCTAATTTTCTCACAAATTTGATTTTATTGGCTTTCTGGGGACTGAATATACACCCAAAGCGAATTATTCCCACTTCTCTCAAATTCTATATGGATTTTTAACACTTCCTATCAGCGTGTTCTGGAAAATGGTCGGACGATGATTAATCTCACCAATACATTCGGGCCTACAATTCCACACCTTCTATAGAGACCAAGTTGAGCCTTGATAGCTAGCTGCTTTCGGGAACTGATGACCTTGACAAATTTCCAAATAATAATCTTAACAAATTTATGGTGGTCCTGAAAAGGACCGTTTTGTAGTGATGGTTGAGTAATGCTGAGCTGAGCACGACAAGCTACTGATTCCGATCCTAGCCTAGCGGTGGGACTCAGAGATGCCAGCTTTTTTTCTATGCAATTCCGTAGACTTATTAAAATCTACGGATTTCTACGGATTTTTTTTTAGTCGAAGGTGATATTTTTTTTTTTAGTTCTAAGGTGTTATTTTACGTTAAATGATAAATCGATGAAAGAACTTTTGAAAAACTACTAGGGACAGCCCTCTAGGGTTGTACGCAATGGTGACGTCGGACTACGTGGTCGTATATAATAAATGTTATTTGTTAACTGCAGCAGGACTTGTGTTTTGTGTAAGAATAGGAATTTGAGCGGGGTTCTCTCAGTTTATACTCTTTAGTATGACTATGATTGCCCTGAAAAGAAGTTTTTGATATGAATTTTAGTTGGGACATGTTCAGAAATTAAACTCTTCTGGAAAATCTTGGTGGCACTGAAAAGGGCCGATGGTAGTACAGGCACAGACAAACAGACATAACACATTGAATATTTCTCACCGTAAAACATCGTCGCTAAAACATTACCGCCATCTGTTGAGTACACTGTGGTGGGTAGTACGCTGAACAGGTGGCGGTAGTGTGTAAACGTCAAACTCAAGGGAAATGACTATGCGCGCCACAGGTGGCGGTACTACCAACTACGATACGTTTAAATTGACCGTTAAATGCTTGTTCGATGAACATCTTGCGAGTGTTATGTCTGTTTGTCTGTGGTACAGGCATTAATACCATGATACTGTTGCACCTGTAGTTTTTGGCATATTTTCACTGATTGCTTCCCGGGGATCCTTGTTAAGCCATAGCAAGATGTGTGCGTGAGGACTTCCACGGTGCTGAAATTCAATCGTGTCAACCAGCTTGATGAAGTACACACAGCACGTGACTGGATCATCGTTGACCTGAGTTGCTCTTTGTAGTGCAGTCAATTCCTGGATTGGATCTGTTAAGTCATTGCCATTGTGTCCTTCTGACAATCGATGTAGGAGATTCAACAAATGGGGCCACTTCATCTCATTTGCACTGAGTGGCTTTCCCAATTGTCGCATCATGGTGAACAAATTTCTCTTCCTTTGTTGCCAATACTGTACTGAATTCGGTATTGATTTGAGGAAGGATGGATTTCACTCAATGCACTGCTCCATGAATAAGGCGGTCCTTAAGGTTGACACGTGTGATGTTTATGGTCCCCGGGAACTTAAAAATGCATTACAAGCCATCGGAAACTCTAAGGCGAAGAACTTTCATTGTCATATACAACAAATGTTGTGGTTTGGCCACACGCCTGTCTTGACGACGAGTTTCACTGGATGCAATCATGAAATATGTCACCCGAACCCCTGGCTTGAATTTCCGTAGATGGCCGAAACATATGGCAGGAAAAGCTATCTCTTCGCTGTGCTCGTCATATATTAATGACAGAGGAACCCTGTTTTGCACGGGAGCGATCTCCAGGCATTTGTCCTCATTCCAAAGGAGCGTTTCCTGTTGCCCAAGCAGCAGATCTGTCTCATTATCCACGGCAATGGTTTCCAGCTCAATTTGAGGATCCACTGCAGGGGTTTCAAGACCATCTTTGGCGATCTGATCAATTGTGATCCCGTAGCGGTGGTACAGTGGTGTCGTAATCTAATAAGAAAGCCACGCTTTAACCGTAGTTTCCTTAATAAAGCCGGACAAGTACGACGACTTATGGATTACGTGCTTTTTGATAAACACGTTCAAGGCCTGATCATCATCGAGCTGACGGGGAAGAGAGCGTGACGGCCTTCGGCGACAGTGTCGTATGACAGAGCCTGTCGTATGACATTTTAGTTTTGTACTGTAATTTAAAAGCTTGTTCTGCAAGTGTCGGAAGCAAAGGCAGTCGATTATCACAGAAAGTGTGTCGACTACGGTGACCGCTTACAAGACTGGTCTCGACACGACTTTTATTTGCCTTCACACGGCACCGTCGAAAACTTTTCTCTTCAAGCAAAGATTGACAGTATATTATGGGAACTTTCGGCGGAGTGAAGAGATGCCATGTTTCACGCACAGTCTGACGTTTGCTTACGGGATATTTCATAGGAGGGAAGAGCTACAGAGTCACCGTCAACGCTAAATTATTCTATCAAAAAGCGGATAAGTGAGCAAGAAAACGGTTGACAAGTTGCAGGGGTATATATTTTACTTTATGCTGCTTTCCCTTCAGAATCGGATTATACTCGAGATTGTAAAATTCGATTCTGAAGGGCGACGTACACTGAAGAAAAAAATCCGTAGAAACTGTAGCGAATTCCGTAGATTTTGCCTACGGATCCGTATTTCCGCAAAAATTTGTAAAATCCGTAGATCTACGGAGATTTCCGTAGGTCTGGCATCTCTGGGGACTTCTTTCTCTATCTATATGGTTGCTCATATGAGCTCTGCAGCTTGCTGCTTGCAGGCAGCCTTTCGTTGTTGTTGTTGTTGAAAGCACTCCTGCTGCTGCTGCTGCTGCTACTACTGCTGCTGCTGGACTGGACACCACCACTTACGGTGATTGAATGAGCACCGTTCAGTGGGACCGCATCGAATTCGATTTTTAAGTCTGTGTTAGGGAATGCGCTGTTTTTTTAATTTTTTTGATCATCAAATCCTAGGGACCTCGGGACAAGTGCTAGTGCGAAGAATTCAGAAAACCTAGGCTGGAACCTTTATGGCTATTCTACAGGATTTTAAAGATAATCCTAAACTGGACCTCAAAAGCAAGTTGCTAAGAGCAAATTTTGAGAACTTACATACTTGCAGGCAAGCCGAGAACCGCAGGATCCTAGAAGTATTAACTATGGTTTCAAGGAAAAATATAATGTATTATCATTAAAAGAACATCCGCAGAATTCCCGGGGGCAAGTTCGGAAACTTCAATGAACTTCTTCAACTAGGCCGAAAGGATGTCCAAACATTCAATCATACTACACTGTATTCTGCTTAGCATAGAATTACTGAGAACTATTCCTCACGATGAAACAGTCATATCAATTAAAACAAGATGGAATAAAACTTACCTAACCTAACGGAGCATACTCCACCAATTCGTCGCCATCTTCCACATCGTCGACTTCGTCCTCTTCGCAGTACTCCTCATAGTCCTCCTCGTCGGGTTTGTTGTCGTCCTTTGACCCGTTCTCCTGTTCCTCCTGCGGGTCCTGCAACAGTTCCATCCCGGGATGCGTTTTCTCGTGCTTTTTCCGGCCGGACGAAGTGATGAACGCAGCCGGACATGCTCGGCACACGTACGGCCGCTCACCGGTGTGTATTCGCTCGTGGGCCACACAGTTAACCTTCTGCACAAAAGCTTTGTCGCAGAACTTGCACTTGTGCCGGCGGTTGTTCTCGTGAATGTCCACGTGCAGGCTTAGCTTCTGCTTGCAACCGAACATCTTCTGGCAGTACGGACAGGGAAGATTCTTCTCCGGGATCTTTCCCTCGTGTGCAACCTCGATGTGTTTGACCAGGGTGCACTTCATTGGGAAACGCTTCTCGCAGATCTCGCATTGGAACTTTTTCAAATGCATCGACCGGTGGTAGAAGAACGTCCGATACAGATCGGTTACGTAGTCGCAGTTTTCAAAATCGCAAATAAATTGCTTCATTCCGGTGGAATCCGTTCTCACCTTTACGTTGCCGTAGTCGGAGTTGTAGCGGGGTCGTGAGACAGACTGCTGAGCACGGTAACGTGGATCATCCGGGAAGTGCTCGGCCATGTGGTACCGCAGGGTGGTGCCATTGTGGAAGTTTTTGCTGCACTCCGTGCAGATGTAGGCTTTTTCGCCGATGTGCAGCCGTTTGTGGTTTTGGAAGTTGGCTTCATGGTTGAATCGTTTGCCACATTTCTTGCATTCGAACGGCTTCTCGCCCGTGTGAATCCGAACGTGTCGCCTGAGTAGAGCACTACAGCCGAATACTTTGCCGCAATGTTCGCATTTGTATTTTCCTGGTTAGGAGAGAGAAAAGTGATTAATTGTGATTCAGGTCAACTCTCGTGCAATACTCACCTTCCTCAAGGGCCCTGTGCTTGGCCAAGTGAATGTAGAACGCCCGTTTCCGATCGAAAAACTGACCGCAGTAATCGCACGTATAGCCATCCTTTTCGCCGCCTTCGTGCACACGCTTCATGTGGTCAACGTAGGAATGCTGTGTCAAAAACCGCAACGGACAGTAGTCACAAGGGTATGGATACAGATGAGTCTGGAGATGCTTGTTGAGGCCAACCAATGACTTGAGCACCTGGGGAACTTCTTCAGTGCTACATTGTTCGCACTTGTACGGAAGCGTGCTAACGTGCTGCTCAATGTGAGCTTCCAATGCGTCGGCATCGTCATGTGCAGTGTCACAGATGTAGCAGGTGTTGGGAACCAGTTTCGGTTTGGGGCGATATTCAAGGATTTTTCTATTCGTTGTTTTGACGGAGGGTTTCGGTTTGTATAATTCCTTCCAAGAAAATACATACTTTGGCGCAGTATTTTTCTCTGCTTCCGAATCCGATTCAATCTCAACCTTTAATTGATTGGCAGAGTTGTCATGCTCCACGAAAGGCGCACTCTTCTTCGGTGAGGGATCCTCAGCTGGTTGAGCTTCGGTTAAAATTAACTCATCTTCGTCATACAAATGTTCCTCTTCCAATTCTTCCAGTGCTTCGATCTCTATTTCGTCTTGAACTGCCACCGATGAATTTTTCGTTGAAGGTAGAACCGGTTCGTTCTTGAACGACCCCGCATTTTCCATCTTTTGAATTTGTACAACATTCTCATTCGAATTTAAAACCAGCACCGATTCTTCGACAATCTAAAACAAACACAAATTCAATCAATCCCCTCATATACTGTCCAATGAACCAACCTACCACTTCCTGTTTTACGTTACTCAACAAACTACTCAGGTAAGCTTCGTTCAAGCTTTTCGATTCGTATCGATGGTTGTCGTAGGATCTATAATGACACAGCAACTGCTGGCTTTGGCTCAAGTTCCTTAGAATTCGATCGTGATGCAGAAATTCCATCCGGACGTTGAATGCCAAATCGGCCTTCCCGACGCAAACGGCACAAATTTTGTTCGGTAGCTCGCCACCGATTTCGATTTTCAACCCAGAAATCGTGTAGATTATGTCTACCATGTTGGCATTGTGCAGCTTCGAGTTGAACGGTATTAACCCGTCTGCCTTCTTAAGACACATCCGGCAGAACAGCGAACGCAGCTGGAAATCATCCATCACCTCCCCTGCACCGCTGGCACTCTCCGAAGTCACCGTGCTCGGTTTACTTTTGGCCGAAGACGTCGACGGCTCCTCCGATATCATCACGTCATCTCGGTCCATCAGCTCATCATCATTTTCTTCATCCGGGGAGTACACCATTGGGACAGCTGTATAAGAAACCAAACATTAAAACCTTTGTACCACCCAAAACCAACCACCCCAAAACACTCACCCCCCTCGAGAAGCTTCTTCTGTCCATTGGCATCGAACAGTTCTAGCTGCATGAAATGCTCCGCACAGATGTACTTGGCCCTCCAGCGGAACTTGTCCGGATTACCGCCGACGAAATCGATCCATCTGTTCCGGAGCTCTGCATCCGTAGGGAACGGAAAGCAAGCGACCCCTCGGTCGGCTTTCGAATTGGGACAGATCGGGATGCAGCACAATTTTACCATTGTGCTGCGACGACACTTAGCAGGAAACGGAATTCGACTACGTACTAACGTGGGTTAGCGTTGATCTACTTTTAAGTTGGAAATATTCACCGGGAAGCTTTTTTTAAGCAGATTGATCAAAAAATAAGCACAAAATTTACAATTAACAAACGAACGCATCCGCGCATCAAAATTATGACAGTTCGATGAAATTTTTAAAACGTCAACAGACTTTTAAAAAAATAACATCGCGCACACACGGAAAAACGAGTTTATGCATTGATGACTATTTTTTTAACCACTTTTGGGAGCTTGTTCGAGCTGTCATAGAGTGGTTGAAATTTATAGCAAAAAAGTGTATAGAATTTAAACATTTCTAGAGAAAACCTTTTTTCAACAAAAGTGTTTAAATTTTATTCACTGGTGACTGAAAAAAAACTTGGAAACAATTATTTCCGAAAAGCAGCGGCCATCATTGGTCAACTTTTTGCAGGTAGATAGAATGTTTATAGTATTATTTATAATCTAGATACAATTTAATAGTAATTTTTAACTATCTTATTATTTCCAGGGAGCGGTAAGAACTTCTCTTCATAAGTTTTTCCGTAGGAGCTAGTGAGCTGCAGATTCAGCTGTTACAAGCGTTGTCCGGTAGGGTTGGCTTCCCATGACATATATTGCTGGACATGCCGACTGGAATATCCTGTCGCCGTGTGGGATCAGGCCAAAGAGATTACCGATGCTAATAGCACAAACGAAGTGACAGACGGAGCGGCTCGAAAACTTTGGTGACTAACCTGCTATTGCAATTTTTCAGTGTACCACATGGCAACACCACTACTACTGGATTGTACCACATGGCAACACTACTATTGGATTGAGCTAGCATTTTCACCAAATGTACTAGAATATTTTGGTTCTATCTCTTTCACTCTACTCAAAACTGAAATGCATAAAAAAATGACAAAATGATACGCACTCTTTGCACACTGTCAAAGAATCATTGTACACAAAATCAACTTTGTTCAAATCAAAACAAAAAAACTAATCCATCTGGTGGATGATGGCATAAGCTTCCAAGAATATTCTATTACAGTGAACCACATTATTTAAATGGATTTCTTCGCCAGTAAGTCGTCTGTCACTTCGTTTGTGCTAATAGTAAGTATATCTAACAAGGTAGGGGGAGGAGGGGCATAGTGAGCATCCCGCAGTTTGACCATGGATCTCTAGCTGCATGAAACAAATCAACTGGTAGTAGGTTCAATATCATTATGATACTGATCCTACCACCAATAAATTTGTTCCGAACGGCCGGAAGTCCAAGCTGGTGCACGGAATGCTCACTATGCCCCCCCTGTTCACTATGCCCCTCTTACCCCTACATTATTTTGTAACTTTTGATCCCCATTACAGAGGGCTTCAATCGGCAGCACGACGATCCGAATCGACTCTCATTATTTTGTAACATTTGATCTCCATTACAGGGCTGCAAACGGCAACACGACGATTCGGATCGAGTTCGCCGGGCAACGGAACGGAATGGTTGCCGAGCACGACACGGGAAGGTTGACGAAGGGATCGTGAAAAGAAACATCCGAGTTCCACCTGGCCGGGATGTCGAGCGATGACAAAGTGGCCGACATTGTACTGTCTTGAAAACTTAAGAGCTAAATAGTGTGATCTTGCTCTGCCACCTCTTAATTGTATAATTGAAATAAATATTACTTTTTATTGATTTTTATTTGAATGTAATTGTTTATATAATATGTTGAAAATACACGAAACCAACCGTTTAAAATCGTTCCGGTGTATACAATTTAACCACTTTTGAGAAAAACGTCTTTATTCATTAATGATTAAAATTTAATCACTTTCGAGAAAAACGCGTTTATTCACCCGATGAGTAAACAGCGTTTATTCATTTTATGAATATGTGCGGGTTTTCTCGAAACTGTTTAAAATTTAAACATTAATGCATACTTTTTTCTTAGCGTGCACACGCTAAGAAAAAAGCACAGACAAACAGACATAACACTCGCAAGTTGTTCATCGAACAAGCATTTAACGGTCAATTTAAAAATATCGTAGTTGGTAGTACCACCACCTGTGGCGCGCACAGTCAATTCCCTTGCGTTTGACGTTTACACACTACCGCCATCTGTTCAGCGTGCTACCCACCACAGTGTACTCAACAGATGGCGGTAATGTTTTTGCGACGATGTTTTACAGTGAGAAATATTCAATGTGTTATGTCTGTTTGTCTGTGAAAAAAGTATGCATTAATGTTTAAATTTTAAACAGTTTCGAGAAAACCCGCACATATTCATAAAATGAATAAACGCTGTTTACTCATCGGATGAATAAACGCGTTTTTCTTGGTAATGGTTATATCACAGACAAACAGACATAACACTCGCAAGTTGTTCACCGAACAAGCATTTAACGGTCAATTTAAAAGTATCGTAGTTGGTAGTATCGCCACCTGTAGCGCGTATAGTAATTTCCCTTGAGTTTGACGTTTACACACTACCGCCATCTGTTCAGCGTACTACCCACCACAGTGTACTCAACAGATGGCGGTAATGTTTTAGCGACGATGTTTTACAGTGAGAAATATTCAATGTGTTATGTCTGTTTGTCTGTGGTTATATTTTAATCATTAATGAATAAAGACGTTTTTCTCGAAAGTGGTTAGTACTTATACACTGGAATGTTTTGTGTGTTTTTCTTTTATTTTCAATATCTTAAACTAATAAAAAAATAAAAAAAAAGAAAATTAATAAATATTACATCCGATTTCATTGGCAAGCGCTGGGCAAGATTGTTGATGAATGCCGACAGGATGTTGGCCATATCGGATGTTGGCCATATCGGATGTTGGCCATATCGGATGTTGGTCACGTCGGATTGCTGTTAACCTGTGTTGTAAGAGCTGATTCATCGATTGCGATGGGGATGTATCTCGTTGGTTGTGTGATTCCGGAGGCGTCTGCGGGCTGCTGTGGAAGAGGTTGGATTATTTACAGGACTTGAACAATCTATAGATATACCTACCATCTTACCTTTCGCCATCATCTTCCGGTCCAACAAGTCGATTGATTGACAGCGGAGCATCTCCGGAACCAACCGATAAACTTCGTATTCTTCGTGTACTCGATGTAGTTCTTGGTGTCAATCGCCGGCACGACCTGCACTTGTCCGTAAGGAACTGGTGAACTGCTGATTGCGACATTTTCATTATCTACATAGTAAAATACAATACAAAAGGGAAATGCTTACGTTTATAATTGTTGTTGGTGGGCTACCGCACCATGAAAATGCTGTAAATAGAAAGAAAATTATAATTCTAAATTGTTTATTAACATTATTTGTCTATAATTACTATACATGTATTTTACCCTTGAACTAACCTGTGACGAAGTTTGTCAATGATAGCCGCCATGCTTGCAGAAAATAAATTGACAAGTGTTTTTTTCAGCCACTACACAGCAAAAAAAGTTGTTGAATATTACATCGAAACTGCTGCAACCAGGTCAATCCATCGGTTGTGTAATATCTCATTGTACGATGTACATCGATTTTGCGAACAAAATTACATCCATTGATGTAATATTGTATCTGCTCTTTGCTATTACATCATTATTTCATACATCAGCTTGAATTACGTTGATCGATATTACATTTTTTTTTGCTGTGTAGTGAATAAAATTAAGACACTTCTGCTGTTGAAGAATGGTTTTCTCAGAAAATGTCTAAATTGTATACACTTTCCTGCTATAGATTTTAACCACTTTATGACAGCTCGAACAACTTCTAAAAGTGGTTAAAAAAAAAGTCATTCATGCATAGACTCGTTTTTCCGTGTACCCCATAAAAAATCCTCGCGATTTTCCTTTCGACTAAATCGGTTCCCGTCGGTAAGATCGACCGACTATGAAACCGACGTATTTATAAATTGTTGCATCGACTCTTATGGGACTGCTTAAGGGGATCGGTAGTCGAAAACATAGGAAATCAGTCAACCAGAAGCTCAGCGTTGCCAGATTGTTTTCATGATTATCGGTATCAAATGATTTAAAAATCGCTATTTATCGGTATTCACTATTTCAATTAATTTTAAATTTTTAAAACTTTTGGACTTAAATTGAAAGATGTACTTTCCATGTAAGTCGGAAGAAAGTTCTGGGAAATATTTGAATTAGTCTCTTAATGGTACCGACGAAACTTCCAGATGAAGAATAAAGAAGATGTCGTGGAGGAAGTTTGAAGGAAGTTCTAAAAGATATCGAAAAAACATCCGATGGGGATCTTCCAAGACAAATATTGAGAAACTTCTGGCAATTTTTTTAGAAACTTTCGGAAAAAAATCCAGAAGCCAAACAAGTTTGGAAATCGGAAGCCAATCTCGGAGGTGCCATTTCCAGGGGAAGTTAGGAGAAGCTCGGAAAAACCTTCCAATAAGTCGGAAAAAAACCTAAGAGTGACTTATGGAGAAACTTCCCGAGGAAGACGAAAGAAACTTCTGGGAGAACTCGATAGAAACATCCGGTAGAACTTTAATTGAGCTTCCTGGAGAAGACGGAAGAGACTTCCTAAGGTAGATTGGAAGAAACTTCCTAAGGTAGATTGGAAGAAACTTCTGGAAAAAGTCGGACGCCAGATGGCTTACGGAACAGTCAAAAGATACTTCAAGGAGAAGGTGGGAAGAAAATATCTGGACGAAATAGATTTCTGGGGGCACAATATTCCCTGAAGTTCCTCACATGCTCTCAGCACAGACAAACAGACGTAACTCTTTGAAAAACTTGTTCTTGAAAACATAGTATCTCAAAACATATAACCTCAGTAACGACATCTATCTGGCTTCTCGCGGAAAACAAGCTTGCTCGCTAACTCGTAAACAATATTGCATAAAATTTCTATAGAATATATAGAAACGTCAAAGTGATCAGATGTCAGCGCTGCGGCGAGTAGTTCGCGGAACTGATAATATTCAAATCAACCGTTAAATGCATGAACGAAGATACACAATGAAGAGTTACGTCTGTTTGTCTGTGCTCTCAGTGTTGGCAAAATCAGAATTCAATTGATATTTTTCCGCTCTCATGCGCTCGCAATATTACGCGTGATATTGGAACAAAATATCATGCTTGATATTGATTTTACAAGCTCCTTTGATATTGCGAGACTATTCACAACGTGCAAACATCAAGCTGAGAGTTGATTCGTCACAAAAATGATTCCATTGCACACCATTTTCTTACACACAAAGAACAAAAATTGTTGTAATACAAATAATTCACTTTCAAATTGAAAATTCCTCAAACTTCATAGTTTCAACAACGAATATTTTCAAAACGAAAGCTATTTTTTTGGTTTGAAAGTTCTTCGTTCATTTATGACTCGTAATTTTAAAAGTACATTTTTTTTAAATGAAAATTGGTTTACTGTCAAAAATACCTCTAAACACCAACACTTTTGGCAGCACTGAAATTTTGCCGCTAAATTTTAAGATAAAACATGCAAAACAAAACAGAAGCAGCAGCAGTAGTGTCATATCAATCCACTTCCCAAACATAGATTCTGCCCGTCCCTAAAATTGGCTTCCGGTTTTAGATTTCCGTGAATGGTTTTGAAATGTTGGATCAAATCAAATAGGCCCTACTCGACGATCCAGTAAGTGTTTTTTTTTTTATATTTTTAAATAACCTTTATAAATGCTTACTACTTTCGCTGTTTACAGTATTACCTCAAAACGACCCAAAATGAACGTTTCTTGGTTCGCACCATCTGCTGGCCAAACTTGGCCTGGAACCGTTCATATTATCCCAAGATACCACGATCGAGTGCCGCACCGATTGAACTTTAGCAATCAATTACTGCCAAAATAAATGCGAAGCCCGAGGCCTTTGCCGGATTCGTTTCCCAGATTTAACTGTTCCTCGGACTGTACAATGTGCATCATATTTACTGTAGGTGTAATCTATTTTCTCAATGATTTTGAATTATAGACCCTTCAACATGTTCACAGGTTACAAGGATTATCAATCTTCAAGGAAACCAGGGAGCTGGCCTGGAGACAACTGGCAGAGATAAAAGCAATGCTTACAGTGTGCCAAATGCATGATATCTAACGATCCAAAACCGTTGATACATACTGTCTGAGTTCATCAGATCATCACGAGCCATGATTTGATATCATAATAAAAATAATATATATATAATTGAATAATAAAAAAAACTCTACATGTCATACTGACAATGCTGGTATTTAAAATGAAAATATTTTAATTGTTCAATTCAAAGTGAAAAAGATCGTTTGAATTAGACCACACTTTCATGATAAAAATTTGTTTTGAATTTAAAATAATCCACTTTTTATTCCAACACTGCCATGCTTTTGTTTTGACAGAAGTACAATTCGTTTTGAAAGTTTGAACTTTTAAAAGTAGGAGGCGGTTAACTTTTGAATTGATAGTAGGCGAAATTTTATTTTAAATTCTAAAGACTTTCTACCAAAAAGAACCAACGCAAACTTTTAATTCTACAAATGGTTTTTTTTAATTTTATTAACGATTATTTTTTGTGTGTAGAAAGAGAAAGCATAGTTTGCTATCTCTTTTTGATCTTCACCGATGGCAGACGCGAAGGGAATGCTGCAAGCCGTTATGGAAGTTTCGGTTGCATTCGGATGTAAAGCAAAAATCTTTAAACTCAATCTCACCACAGTTTGGTGAGATTTGCAGTTGGTGAATTCTGTTAGCTTGATATTCCGAGCTGCGATATCACAGCTTGCAAAATCAACCGCAGTAGTTTGCTTGTTGATTTTTGTCTACGAAAATCAAGCGTGATCTTGGGCGTTGGTGAGATTTGATTTTTTGATATTTTCCCAACACTGCATGCTCTATTGATCCAGCATTTTTCTGAGATTAATAAAACATCCCTGAAAATCCCACAATGTTCCTGAGGTTTTCGGAACATAACTTAAATTGCACTTCGGAATATCCCATAATTCCTCGGAACTCCTTGAAAGTTCTTGAAATTTTCCTAAAGTTAATGAGGCTGTTTTGAAGTTCTCTGATCATCCTCGAAGAACACGGAACTTCCCTGATTATTATGGAACTACCGGTAAATCTCTTATCTTCTTTAAAAGTCCCAGGATCTTCTTAAGCGCTTTCAATTATTTTTTAAATTAATGAACATCAGCATTAAAATTCTCTGATCTTCTGATTTCTTATTTTTTTTTAAGTTCTCGAAACTGCCGATAAAAAACACTGAGCTTCCTTTAAAATATTCTCACAATTTTCTTATGTTCATGTAACTTCCCTTACGTTTCCAACATTTTCATGAACATCTGGGAACTTAACTGAAGTTTTCGGAACTCATTTAAAGATTCAGAAATTTCCTTGAATTCATATGTCCTGATGTTCTCAGAGGTTCCCTAAAGTTATCTCAATTCTCTTGAAACAAATGGAACTATCCTGAAAACCATTAAATTTCTTTGAAGTTGGGCTTGTGAAGTTTCCAAAAATTTTCAGTTTTCTTATGTTAATTGAAGCTCTCTGGGCTTTCCTGAGATTGCCGAGTTCTCAAATTTGAGCAGAAGTTAATGAAACTGTCCGAACTATTCTTAAGTTTTAGATTTTCTGAAAAGTTCCTAAAGTTTTCCTGAAACTAATGAAAACTCTGGAAGCATTTCTGAAGTTCCGGGGTAGTTGAAAAAACTGACGGGAGGAGACGGAAGATGACCTTTCGAGCGAAGCCAGAAGAAGCTTCCAAGGGAAGTCGAAATAGCTTTCCGGAAGGAATTGGAAAATAACTTACAGGGCAGGGTAAGGTGGACGGAAATTCCAAGGGAAAGTTCGAAGAAACTTCAAAGGGAAGATTAAAAAAAATTCAGGAAGGTTAAAAAATTAACGTTTTTATTGGCCTATTTTTCCACTGAAATACAGTATTTCCCGATTTCCAGAAGTTATTGGGATGAACCATCAGCTGTTTCTCGGCTCCTTGGTTACCAAAAACGCGAGGAAATGAAATCCTTAGTCGAAAGAGTATCAAGCATAAGACATTTTTGAAGATGAAATTTGTTTAGAGCAGGCTCAAACATTTTAATTTTCAAGAAGATAAAAGTCTATCATAATAGTTTCCTCTGACAATTCAGTGCGGGCAGGCAGTAATCATTTTGATTATTAATAAAAAAAATCGGTATAAATCGGTACTAAAACTCAAAAATCGGTATTCTGAGAAACCTTATCTGTATATCGGTATCAAGTTTGAAAATCGGTATAAATACCGATAAATCGGTATATCTGGCAACGCTGCAGAAGCTACCAAATCGAACGATTAGTAGGATGACAGAGTTGCAGCAGGGATTCTATGAAACCAGACGAAATATACTGGTTGATCGGTTTATTAAATTGTTTCTACGATGGAAACAGATTAAGTCAATAAATAAATCAGCATACGAAATTGATGAAACCAAATGAAATAGAATGGTTAATCGGTTCATTCAGTTGTTTGTATGATGGAAAAGATTAAGTCAACTGTTAAATTGGCTTATGAAATTGATGAAACCAGATGAAATACACTAATTAATCGGTTAATTAAATTGGGTTCTTTAGGGGTATTGGGGTAATTGCATATTCGTAATCTGCATTACAAATGGAATCGAAATTCAAAATTTCATCAATTTTGAAGCACTGGAACTACTTTAAATAAGTGTGATGTGCAAAAATCACCATCTTAGCGTTCCTCGATGGTACTTCATATGGGAACGAGCTGTCAGTTTGTTAGTTTTGTGTCAAACAGTGAAGAAGTGATCATTTTGCTTCAATCAAGATTAAAAATTGAGATGGAAGTAAATGGGATCGAAAAAAAAAAATATCGTTGTGCTCAGAGAACATAATAATTACGCCAAGTACTCCACATTCTTGTCATTGTAAGATTAAAAAAAAAAACAAAACTATTAAGACCAACTTACCAGGTTGTAATGACATTTAATAATAAAGTTGCACTCACTTAGTCTAACTGCCACTCTTTTTTAATCACTAGCTTAACCGACATCGTCTGTATATTAATATGTACACTAAAATAAACACCGATTAAAAAACATACAATTGCCGGATTTTACAATAGATAAAATCTTTGGCTGTCGGTCCCGGCGATATTCGATTTAATACATTAACGAATATGTTGACAAAAATAACTACACGGATAGAAATCTCCTTATACCTTTTGGCAAATTTCTATTATTGATTATTCATAAAATGTATAAGTCAACTAATAAGCAGACACCTTGCAAAAAGTTAATGAAGACAATGTGTCAAATGAAATGTATAAGCGGTCACACATACCTTTTATGCATTCTTATAGGACCTATGTGGTTTGTCTTATGGAATGTAAAAGGCTGATGTTTGGCAAAAATGTATAAGTGAAACACATGAATAAAATAATTGATTTTCGTTTCGTGTAGTGTACTAATCCTGACGTTCTCGGTTTATTAATAGGCCTTTTTTGTAAACAACCGATTTCGCCGGTCGACAGTGCAATTCTCCATCTGTCAAATTTTTTATGGGGTAACAGGCTTATTGGTGTTAGTGAAATGTGCAAATTTTTAAACGTAAATCTCACTGTTCGCAGTATGGAATGCTATAATTACATATTATGGTAGAGTGACGTGTCACTTGAGTACTCAGCAATGTTGACCATATTTTTGCTTCTAACACCAGCAAGATGCCTGTTGACCCGGACCTGGAATATAAACAACATTGCGCTCTGGCTGCTGTGCGTTGTCTTTTTGCGTGTTTTTGTGACGAGCCGAATGTTTTGATTGAAATTTAATGTGCTGTGCAAAAGGGAGTGCCAAATAAACAGAAAAGTAATTTGATTTTGTTTTGCAACTAAAGTTGAGTATTGGACAATGCCTCAGGGCCGCAGGAAAGTTCCGTTCAGCGGAAAGCAAAAGAAACAGCAGCTTTTAGCTAAAAAGCATGCTAAATGTGAGTATTGCTTGGTGCACGAAATTTCCAGAACGTCACTCGGATGGCTACCCTGTGTCGGTGTTGGCATAATTTCGTAACAATTTTGTAAATATATACCTGTGGATATGTTTTCCAGCGAGCACCTCGCACAACATTATCCGGAAGTTGCGCGATGAGGAATCCAGCGACATTAGTGAGGACAGCGACTTTCCGAAGACGTTCCACGAGAATGTGGAGAAGATCAACCTCCAACCGTTGAAGGATCCCCGCAGCAAGGCCAACCGGTACGTGCTACAGTTCCATCGGGAGACGGGCAAAGAACTACGGGAAATGAAGGAGGAAGCTCTGAAGGCGCTGGTGCCATGTCGACCGGAGCAGCTGGAACTGGCCGACAACTATTTTGTGGGCTTCGAATTCCCCAAGCGACCCAAGTGGAACTACGAAATGTCCAAGGAGCAGTTGGATAGCAATGAGAATCGTTATTTTTTTGTGAGTCCGGTCCTTTCTTGAACGAACGTAATAAATTGAGTGCCATTTATATTGAATTTTGCAGAAGTACATCACATACATGGAGAAGAGCCATTACGATGATATGAAATCTCTGAGCTTCTGTGAGCTCAACTTGGAAACCTGGCGTCAGCTTTGGAGAGTGCTCGAGCTGTCCGACATTGTGCTAGTGATTGTAGATGCACGTTTTCCGGTGAGATTTGCTTATGATGCTTCCAAGAATATGATACCTCTAATTGTATTATTTTCAGACGTTGATGTTTCCTCCGTCGCTGTATCACTACGTGACGGAAGATCTCGGGAAGGGTATGATGCTGGTGATTAACAAGGTAGATCTAGTGGAACCGGAAATGATCCTTGCTTGGAAACGCTATTTCCAACAAACGTACAAAGACATAGAGGTTGTCCTGTTTACGTCCTATCCTTCGTACAACCTGCGAGGAAAGCAGGAAAGCAAGCATGGATTGAAGATCCGTAGACGCAAGGGTCGAATGCGTATGGCCGCCGAAGGAGCCCAACAGATCTACAACATTTGCCGGGAGTACACCGGAGATCAGGTAGATCTAAGCTCGTGGCAGCAGAAAATCCTCGAAGAACGAAGTGCCCCAATGGATGTGGACGGAGAAGATGATGAGTCTTTTGAAGCGGAAAGAACGCACGAGGAAGAGAAGGATTTCTCGTTCGAAGAGCACATTAAATTCAAAGACGGGGTGCTGACGATTGGCTGCATCGGATTTCCCAATGTGGGAAAGTCCTCCCTGCTCAACGCTGTGATGGGTAAAAAAGTGGTCTCGGTTAGTAGAACACCAGGCCACACAAAGCACTTTCAAACGATCTTCCTCACCAATACTGTCCGTCTCTGTGATTGTCCCGGTCTGGTATTTCCGTCAGCCGTCCCCCGGAAGCTTCAGGTTCTGATGGGAAGCTATCCGATCGCCCAGCTCCGTGAACCTTATGCCTCTATCAAGTTCCTAGCCGAACGTTTGGATCTGCCGGCGCTACTCTCGTTGAAGCATCCTTCAAATGATACCAACGAGGAATGGTCTGCCATCGACGTATGCGACGCTTGGGCCATCAAACGTGGCTTCCTGACTGCTAAAACTGCCCGTCCAGACACTTACCGCGCGGCTAATCACATCCTACGAATGACACTGGATGGTAAAATTACCCTCGCCCTCAAACCTCCCGGCTTCCACCAGATGCTGGAACAGCTACAATCGGATCCCGAACTAACGGCGGTCCGGGAAATTCAGGCTCTGACCGAGAACAGTGAGAAAGAGGACGACGATGACTACATATCGGACACGGACACGGAGGATTTCGCCGGTGCTGCTAGCAACGATGCCGACAACGAGGAGGACGAAGAAGGCAATTCAACGCTCTCCCCGGTCGGGTCCAAAATTTCCAATCCATTCTCGCTGCTCGGGACCGGGAGTCCGGAGTAACTAAATTGAATTCAATGTTATAGGATCGTTTTTGAACTACTTATATACGCTTTTTACTCTATACATATTTTACCGAGAAAGTCACTGAGATTAGCGAGAACGAGAGCAAGAGAAAGAGAAAGCGGATATGGAATAAGATTTGCACACGTGTTTGTTACGTATATTTATTGTTACTTCACGAAAGTCTCTAAATGCATTCTAAAAGAGAATACCTACTGTATTTTGCCCTTCGCAATAAAGAAGCTATGAAGCTGAAGACATGTTTTTAAAATGTTATCAAAAATGCCGTTTTGAAGAATATCATCCACTGACACAATTATCTTTGAAGATTCCAACAACTTGCCAATTGGTGACGTAAAAGGTAAACGAAATTTATGAAAATAAAAGGATTTTAATTCTGTTTAGGAACGCATGTTTGTTTCTAAATTCGGGATGTTTCATAAATGAAATAAGAATTTGTTTTTAATTTTTCGAGTTAATAATCATAGAAGGAGTATGGCGGTTCTTAGGCTATATGCCCCGGTCCAAATTTAGAGCTTTTACGACTATGTGGATTTCGCGATTTTTGGCTTCACTTAGCCTGAGTTCAACGTTCAACTATGTTTCAATTTAAATAATTTGAAGTTTGAAAATTTTCAAATAGGCATAGGTAAGCGCTCTCCTCGTTGGACGTCTCTGAGACTCTCTGAACCAGTGCGTCACAATATCAAGCTTTATTCGAAAAAATCGATGCGACGACGAGACTGCTAGCTTTCTTTTTCTGTTGAAGTCGAACAGCTTCGTAGCTTCTTGAACCTCAGTCGGCGTGAAGTGGACCCTACACGACTGTTTGTATTGACAATAATCGTATTGTCAATATATTCTATATGACGTCAATACATCGGTATTGACAATATTTCTGTATTCACATCATCAATATTATTGTCAATACTTGAAAGTATTGACAATATTTCTTGTGGGGCTTGCTTCAACAAACACATTTTCAATCGCTTGCCTCTCTTTCTCCCGTAGTTTCATTGGTCTTTCTTTCAAGCTTCGGTGAAGCGGATGAGTGAAAGAGCAATCAGCAATAATATATATTTAAAGCATTCCTCACGTGAAAACACTTGAATATTACATGTAATATCCGGAGAACTTCAAGATTTGGGCATACTTGCTTTGGTAAACAAACACGTCACATTATATCACATGCTAGATGAATTATTTCTCAACCTGTGTGTGTTGTTAATTTTCTAGGCTGAGCTTTTACTCGCGAGAAGTCGTCAATTGAAGCGTTTGTTTACAACAGGAATTACGCCCAAATCTCAAATCATTCCGGATATGTTTAATTTATATTCCATCCACAAATTTATCTAACAAAAAGTAACGAAAACGGGACATAACGCATATTAAACACATTGAAAGAGCGGTGATGGAGTGTCGGTGAAAGGGATTGAAAGTCATAAGGAGGTTTCATTTCATTTCGATAATCAGCGTTACTTTCATTGAAAGTGATCAGTAAAGCAACGAAGAGAAAATCCACAGCCAACCTTTCGTTCTAAGCGAGCTTATTTTTCATTTTCGTTTCATGCTGATAGGTTAGGTAGGCGTTATAGAAAGTATGCGTTGAACACATTATATGAAAGAAACAAAACTCGAGCTCATTTTAGAGCTTCGAAAATGTAGAACCCTGCTCTGAACCCCTTCGAAGCTCTCTGATCTTCTCCAAACTCTGAAGTTCGCAAATCCTCGCTTAATATAATCGAAATATGCTGAATCACACATATTTTCATTGACTCCTGGGTCCTTTCAGAAGTTCTCTGAGAAGTTCACAGAACTTCAGTGAAATTTTGAATTTCAAAAAGGATCAGTGAATTTCATCAGAGGTGTTCCGGTAACATCAAAAAGATCACCTTAGAGATGTTAAGGATAACATCAGTGATGTTTAGGAAGTAACAAGCATTTCGTGGAAGCTCAGGAAATTCTGGTGAGGTTCAAGAAAGACTCATCCTCAAAAATCATAATGTAGATATATCCTCGGATATATCCATAGAGGTAAGGGCCCATGCATTAATTATGTCACGCTAAATCGAGCAAAAAATTACCCCCTCCCCCCTATCGTGACGTTTTTCCTATACCTAATGCATTGCTTGTTACAAAATCTTAGACCCCCACCCCCCGTTAGAGCGTAACATAATATATGCATCAACCCTAACTTTAAGACTAGTAGGTCCCGAAGAAACGAGCTCCACTTTTTGGTTCAGCTCTGGTACTATCTTCGGTCCCAAGCTAATCGGTGCACCCCTCGAAACATACACTTATAGAATTTCATACATTTTTATTGACGAATTTCCATGTAAAATTCCACATGATTTCCAAGCGACCACACATAAACAGAATCCACCCAGAAGCACATATGAAATGTATGAGTCAAATGATTGTGTGCCTGCTCAAAACTGTTCGAGATTATCATAAATGGTGCTCTGTTCGCACGCTGCAAAAATTATATCGATACAGAACAACACGGTTTCTACCCGAAGCGCTCCGTGTCCACGAACCTGGTGCACTTCACTTCTAACTGTCTGCGATGCATGGATTCAGGATGGCAAGTCGATACTGCGTATATGGATCTAAAAGCTGCATTTGACACTTGACATCTCGTCAACTGCTGTGGATTGGTTCAGATCTTACTTGGTGAATCGCTATGTACATATCAAGATTGGCGCGTTGGAATCGGATGTTTTCTCAAACAACTCGGGAGTCCCGCAAGGCAGTAACCTAGGACCGCTACTATTTTCGATCTTTTTAAACGATGTCGCCTTGCTGATACCATTAGGATGCCGCGTTTTCTATGCAGACGATACGAAAATCTACAAAATTATTAAAAGCCTCTCGGACTGCTGGGATCTCCAGAATATGTTAGGTATTTTTGCTGACTGGTGCTCAAGAAATTTGATGAGTCTAAGCATAGAAAAATGTAACATTATTTCATATCACCGAAAAATTGAACCAATCATGTTTGACTATGTTCTCTACGGACGCTGTCTTGCTCGTGTAGAGCACATAAAGGATCTCGGCGTTACCTTGGACTGCAGACTCACTTTCAGAATCCACTACAATGACATCATCTCCAGAGCTAATCGACAATTGGGCTTTATTTTCAAAATTGCCGACGAGTTTCGTGACCCGCTATGCCTCAGGTCACTCTACTGCTCGCTTGTGCGATCCTTATTGGAGTCAAGTTCAGTTGTTTGGTGCCCTTTCCATGCTAGCTGGATCACTAGAATTGAATCCGTTCAACGCAAGTTTGTGAGATAAGCTCTTCGTTTCCTCAACTGGCGTGACCCAACGAACTTGCCACCGTACGAGGAGCGTTGCCGTCTCCTGGGAATCGAGCCATTAGAGGTGAGACGGACGGTCGCTCAAGCTATGTTCGCTGGAAAGCTGCTTACAGGTGACATTGACTGCCCAACACTGCTGTCACAGCTAAATATGTATGCCCCTGAGAGGTCTCTTCGTCAACGCGACTTTCTGTTTTTGGAACCACGGAGCCCCAGGCGAGTAAGAGAGGTGCCACAGTCGGAAGAAGTGTTAGTTTGTTTACTAAAATGAATCGCCCATTTTGTTATGGCAAGTTTTGCTATAAGAAATGCTCCTCGTGTTTATTAGCGAAATTCACATCAAAGATTGATTAATTGCGTAGGAAATCAGTTTGGCACGGCATTTGTAACCAGCATACACCTTCCGGTCGTATGAAACAGGTCAAAATACTGTCCAAATCCGCAGATAAAAATTTTTGTTTTGAATTTCTGTATAGCAAAATAGTGAACTTTTCGTGAACATTAACGGCAAAGAACTCACCAATACTGGGAGACCGTGAGTTCCTGCCAACCTGTCATAAAACCGTCTTGCACGGAGCCGGAATTATACACAACACGAGCCAATTCGAGCAATCAGCCGGCAATTCAACAACTTTTTTTATATGTTCGACTTCAATGTATCAGCTGACGTGTTTCGTCATCGGCTACTTGGCCTTTTCCGTACCGTTGACCGTAAAGTTTAAGTTTTATTCATTTAGACAGTATTTGTCACTTGAATTTTTCAATAAACAATAAACAACAATAAATGAATAGTATCCCGAATAGAAATTGTAATGTAGAAAACATCAGCAGACATCTTCAATACATTAAATTTTAACGTATATTGCTGTACCCTTAATGTATTCAGACTTCAGTGTGACGTCCAAGTACATAAAAATACATTAGCCTCTAACGTTACATCAGAATCAAACGTCTTGACGATGTAAAATTTGACATCAGAATATATCCAATAACAACAGAACCTAACGTTACATTAGAATCAAACTTCATCACGATGTAATTTGTTGCACGCATAAAACATCAGAATACCTCCAATGACAACAGAACCTAACGTTACATTAGAATCAAACTTCATAACGATGTAATTTGTTGCACGCATAAAACATCAGAATACATCCAATGACAACAGAACCTAACGTTACATAAGAATCAAACTTCATCACGATGTAATTTGTTGCACGCATAAAACATCAGAATACATCCAATGACAACAGAACCTAACGTTACATTAGAATCAAACTTCATCACGATGTAAATTGTTGCACGCATAAAACATTAGAATACATCCTATGACACAACAATAAAAAGTGGCTTGCAGTGCAGTGATGCCTCCTATGCATAGTTTTGTGACATTATCAATTGCAAATAAAATTGAACTCTTTAGAAGAGTGGAAACGCTAATAAAAGTGCACTTAGACGTTGTATCGTCTTGACGCCTTCAGCGCACTTATTCTTCATTCACCAAGGAATAAGTGCGATGAAGACACAACAACAATTTAACGTAAAACCGCACTTTTATTAGTGTTTCCGCATTCATAATCTCATAAATGTGCCCAAATCGCAATCCTCGACGCAATCATATAAAATAGCACATTGCGATTACAAGGTAGAGCTTACCACCATTAACTCTTGCACGACTGACATAGCCTCAAATCACTGAAAGAAATTTTGGCATGCCCTGTGGGCAATGTTTATTTGTAAGTAAAACAAATGCCCTGGTGACGTTGCAGTGCAAGAGTTAATTAGTGTTTTAATTGATTATTATCGTTTCAATTGAAAACCGATTTTACTTTTGTTCTGTACGTTAAACATAACGTTGGCCATAGTGTGCTGTATACCGCATCCGTGTACGAATACAGCACACTATGTCCGACGTTATGTTTAACGTATATACAGAACGTTTTCAACGAGGTTTTCATTTGAAACGATAATATTAATTCCAAGGCAAACGAAGAAAATCATCTGGCCACCCTGCATGCATCTGGTTATAGTCCATTCCTCGGTCCATTCTATGCGCTCGAGTATTGATGGTCCGAATGTGAGGATAACAATAACAAACCAGCATATCTGGCTGAAGCGAAAGTGAGGATAACAAACTTCGCACTTGAAAATGGGATTGCGCAAGTGTGCGTGTTTTGAACGACAGAAAGGTCAATGTCGTTCTCATTTTGAAGTAAAGCTCTATATATCGCTGCTGCATTAGCGTATACCAAAATTATTCAGGATGTAGGTGTCAGATGGACGTTCCATTACAAACCACTGATGTTGACCTGTCAATGACTCGCGTTATTTGGCGTTTATTAGCTGAATCGCAAAAAGAAAACTAGAGTCCCTGAGGCCCTCGGCCTAAAGCCCTACAGTAAAAGTATGGACGACTGTCACCACAAAACTGAAAAAAGCTGTTCCAATCGAGCAAAGCGGTGCATTTTGACGGTTCGATTGGAACAACTTTTGACAGACGTCCATACTTTTACTGTAGGGCTTTACCTCGGCCCATGCAAAGTTTGTTTTGTCCTGAGTCAGCACTACACGGCGAATGAGAATGACCCAAATTTGAGTTTAGTTCACTCATAAATCGCAAAAAGTACAGGAACTCAGTTTTGAGTTAATTTCCCTCTGTTTTTTCCAGAATTTCCAGGTTTTTCCAGGAAAATTTGTCCCAATATTAGAAAAGTAAAGATTGGATTCTGTGGATTTTCGTCAATCCTAATTTTCCGTAAGATTTTTGAGGTTTTCCACAGGAAAACATGAGGCAAATTTACTCATCGCTGCGTTCCTGCACTTTTTGCGATTTTGAGTACACTGTATTCAAATTTGGGTTGATCACATTGGCCGTGTACAGTTTTTTTCGCGGTGTTAAAAGATCGATTTCGATCGAATTAGTCCGGGAAAGTGCCGTTGTGTCCGTCGCGAGTTTTGGTGGCGATTCGGTGTCCGACGTTGCGGTTAATCAGCAAGTTTTCCGCTTGCTGGCTGCTGGTCTCACCCTAGGAAAAGGAAGGCTGTTTTTCAGGTATGTGGGCTGTTTTTGAGGTGAATTAATGTAATGTAATTATGTTTTTTTTTTAGGAAAGTGCACCAGTCCAGAGCCACATACCGGTAGCGAGTCCGAAGCTGGATCCCGGCGGGGAGTTCGAAGTTCTCTTTGCAGGTTAGTGAGTGTGTTTACTGTTTATTTGTTTTGATTGACGAATAAATAAATACTAAAAGCTACGGATCCCGATGACGGGTTCCGTAGGTGGATCCCGATGACGGGTTCCGTAAACGGATCCCGATAACGGGTTCCGTAGACGGATCCCGATGACGGGTTCCATAGACAGATCCCGATGGGGAAACCGAATACGGATCCCGATGGGGAAACCGAATACGGATCCCGATGGGGAAAACAAATACGGATCCCGATGGGTATTCCGTAGACGGATCCCGATGGGGAAACCGAATACGGATCCCGATGGGGAAATCGAATACGGATCCCGATGGGGAAACCAAATACGGATCCCGATGGGGATTCCGTAGACGGATCCCGATGGGGAAACCGAATACGGATCCCGATGGGGAAACCGAATACGGATCCCGAATACGGATCCCGATGGGGAAACCAAATACGGATCCCGATGGGTATTCCGTAGACGGATCCCGATGGGGAAACCGAATACGGATCCCGATGGGGAAACCGAATACGGATCCCGATGGGGAAACCAAATACGGATCCCGATGGGGATTCCGTAGACGGATCCCGATGGGGAAACCGAATACGGATCCCGATGGGGAAACCTAACTTAACTCGCAAACAATATTGCATAAAAGTTCTATAGAATGTATAGAAACGTCAAAGTGATCCGATGTCAGCGCTGCGGCGAGTAGCTCGCGGAACTTAAAATATTCAAATCAACCGTTAAATGCGTGAACGAAGATATACAATGAAATGTTACGTCTGTTTGTCTGTGGTATCATGCTGGTGGTAATAGAGAATTCGTTGTATATGACGCCAATATTCAATAAATGTTCATTTTGGCCTTTTTTGATACTCACAATTTTTAACGGAAAACGCACCGGAACTTGATTTACTCAACACGCACCATACTATAAAATGGTGCTAGATGGTGCTATTTTGAGTAATTGAGCAATTTACTTCTGTTTCCATCATATTTACGATGCAGCATTGATGGAGCCGTGAAATGAAATGAATATATCTTATGAAAGTTCATCTGGAAAAGTCAAAGATGCACATCAGTCTGATCGTAAAAACGTTTTTTTCTTCAATTGGGTTCTTTAATTTTGAAAACTGTATCGTTTTTTATACATCATCTGAAAGAGCTTCGTTTTCGGAGCACATCGATATTTTTTCGAACCCACACACTTTTATCTCGATTTTTAAATCAAGATTTAAAGCAAAATAATAACTTTACTGTTTGACACTAAACAAACAAACTGACAGCTCGCTCTCATACAAAGTAACACCGAGGGGCGCGGTGATTTTTTGAAAATGTAATCGTACTTACTTAAAATAGTTCCAGCACAGACACACAGACGTAACACTTCATCGTGTATCTTCGTTCACGCATTTAACGGTTGATTTGAATATTATCAGTTCCGCGAACTACTCGCCTCAGCGCTGGCATCGGATCACTTTGACGTTTCTATACATTCTATAGAACTTGTATGCAATATTGTTAGCGAGTTAGCGAGCAAGCTTGTTTTCCGCGAGAAGCCAGAGAGATGTCGTTACTGAGGACCTATGTTTTGAGATACTATGTTTTCAAGAAAAACTTTTTCAAAGTGTTACGTCTGTTTGTCTGTGGTTCCAGTGTACCAAAATTGATGAAATTTTGGGTTTGGGTTCCATTTTTAATGCAGCTTACGAATATGCATTTACCTCAATACCCTTAAAGAACCCAATTCGTGTGTTATATTGGAAGGATTTTACGTAGGATTGATGAAAATTATGATTTAATGCTAATTTTCACGAATTTTATATGCAGCCTGTCAACATTATCATAATTATGCAGTGGCAACATTTGCGTTGAGTTTTTGTGGCAATCTCCCAATCAGTGTAGGAAAATCCACGAACCCCTCATTTTATCTATATCAAACTTTGATAGCGAATAAAAAAAAAACACTGGTTATACTAAATGGGGTTCGTTAATCGATTTGCTTGGGACCAATAGGCTAGTCAAGTAGTGAGCCAATTGATCATTTTGTCAAGCTTCTGCATTCATGTTCCATCAGATGTCACAGCTGTTGTTTGCGTTGACATCTATCGGAAACTAGACACAATCTGTTTTCCTATAATTGTTCACAGAGGACACTGCAGTGCAAAACATGTCTGGTACCTCTATATATGCATTTAGATTATTATTCGAAGTCCCTCCTTTTTTACACATTCTGCACACAAAATAGCTCACCCCTCACAGAATTTCCCGCCGAATTTTATGTATGGGGCGGGGCATAAAGTATCTTTTGCGCAGAATATGTAAAAAAAGAAGGGACTTCAAATGTTAAAGCAAATGCATATATAGAGGTACCAGACATGTTTTGTAGTGTCAGGTACACTATTTTGTAATCTGTGAAAGGGAAATCAAAAATCGAGTGTCAACAAAATACATGGCATGTTGAGATATTAAGCTCGTGAGAGAGAATTTCTCTCTCCAATTTGAATTTTTTTTGGCTCTCTGGGGACTGGTAGTAAAGCAGGTAAAATTGTATGGGGAAAAATCATTTTTATTTAATTGTAGCTTGTTGAGCATTAATTTCCTGGAAAAAACTGAACGACAAAGCCCCTGACTAATTTCTTTAGGTTGTCGTTCACTTTTTTTTGACCTGAATATGCACCGGAAGCGAATTATTCGCACTTCTCTCAATTTCTATATGGGGATTTTTATCACTTCCTACCAGCGGAACAGCGCCACCTCTGTGGAAAATGGTTGAGCAAAATGATTAATTTAAAATCGTTAAGGCCGGCGCACAATAGATACGTCACAGACAAACAGACATAACACATTGAATATTTCTCACTGTAAAACATCGTCGCTAAAACATTACCGCCATCTGTTGAATACACTGTGGTGGGTAGTACGCTGAACAGATGGCGGTAGTGTGTAAACGTCAAACGCAAGGGAATTGACTATGCGCGCCACAGGTGGTGGTGCTACCAACTACGATACTTTTAAATGGACCGTTAAATGCTTGTTCGATGAACAACTTGCGAGAGTTATGTCTGTTTGTCTGTGGATACGTTTTCGGGTTTTTTGACAGATAATGCATGGGCTAACTGTCAAAAAACCCAAAAACGTATCTATTGTGCGCCGGCCTTTAGTTTCGTATTGATTGTTGCTTTTAATGCAGGGCTTTAATCCGCCCTACTCAGATCGTGAGTTGTTTCGTTTCTCCGTGACACTGGTTTTCAGAGATGCTAGTAGATTATATTATGAGATGCTAGCAGTTTATTTTTAAATATTCTTATCCACCAGCTCTCGGTTTACCAGAAGTCCTCCCCGAATACTGTCAAAACAGTGTTTACGCTTTTCGGATTGATGTATCCTGATGAACTTTTTCAACTGAACATTAAATTTTTAATTTCCATCAGCTTTAATCGGTACCCTCTAATCGATATGGTATTTTGAAGGTTGATTTTCATTCACACTCGAGCGAATTCCGCGCATCAATAATGGTAAAATTGTGCTGTATTCCGATCTGTCCCAACTCGAGAGCCGGTCGGGGAGTCGACTGTTATCCGTTTCCTTCCGCGGATGCAGCGCTCCGGGGAAAATGGATCGACTTTGTCGGCGCGAATGCGCGCAAGTTTCGCTGGAAAACCAAATACATATGTGCCGAACACTTCCATCAGCTGGAGCTGATAGAGGCGGACGATGGAAGGAGGGAACCGGCTGAAGGAGGTGAGAGTTTGTGGGTTTTGAACGTTCTTGGTCGAAGTTAGGATCGTTGCTTTTTTTGAATTTCAGCTGTCCCAATCGTGTATTCACCGGATGAGGACGAGGAAGACGATTTGATGGAACGGGATGATGTGATGGTATCGGGAAAATCATCGGATCAATCTTCTCAACCGGAGGGATCAACCGCAGTGCGACCGTTGAGAGAGATAGCCGAGCTGCGTTCGTTGTTTTGTCGAATTTGTCTCAAGAAGGGGGATGGTTTGATTCCGCTCAACACAAAACTACACAATGAGAATCTTCTGGATATAATCTACACGATTGCGGGGTTGGCTATCGAGAATGAAGAGGATCTTCCGACGAAGGTTTGCGCCAGCTGCGTTGAAAAGCTCGATTTGGCTTTTAACGTTCGGGTGGAATTTTTACATTGCGAAGAGATTCTGAGGAATTTGATCAAGAACAAGCAGCTGGAGGTTCACTATCAATCTTACGATAATCATCTGATTAATTCGAGAAGCTGGAACGGAACGTACCTGAACAATTTGATGGACAATGTTAAGCAGGATATCGTAGGTTTTTGGTTTTGAACAGCTAGATCAATTTAATAAAACTTTTTGTTATAGACCATTGAACAACCAGGAGTGCTCTTGGATTCGAAAGTAAATGCTACGAAGTCGGTTAAAATCGAGCCGGTTGTGGTAGATTCAGCAGGAGATGAATTGCTGGAAGAAATGGAGGAGGAGCATTTGTATGACGAAGAAGAATTAAACTGTGCTGAAGATATATCAGCTGAACAGGAAGCAGAAGATGTCAAGAATCGTTCACCGCAGGAAAGCAGAGCCAAAAAATTGATAGTAAAGATCGAACCCGATTCGGAAGAAGAGCAGGTTTCCACGACAAAGTATGTCTATTCGTGGAAGGAGTTGTGCAAACCGAAACGCATTCAACAGCCAAAAGAATACAAAATCTCAGAAGAACTGCCGGAACCGGATCTGGTTCCCCATACCTGCTACGTCTGTGATACGGTACACGAAGATGCGGACGCACTTGAGAACCACATTGAGGAGCATGTCCGTCTCTTGCCCTACACTTGCGACCAGTGCAGCACCGAAGAAGTTCCGCAGGTGCTCAAATCTTTGATCAGCCTCAACAAGCATCTCCAGACTCATCAGTTTCCGTACCCCTGCGACTACTGTCCGTTGAGGTACCTGAGCAGACGAGCCTACATTACTCATATGCGCTCTGTCCATGAGGAAGCCGACAAAGACGGATACACTTGCGATGATTGTGGACAGCATTTCGCTCGAAAACGCACGTTCTCCGTTCACTTGTATAAGCACAAGGCCATCAGAGAAGGTGAGTAATCTTTGCGATTAACAATTGGTCTAAATTAACGACTGATCCCCGATTTCCTCCAGGGAAATACAAATGCGAACATTGTGGCAAAGCGTTCAGCGGTCCGGCGCTGCTGAAGCGACATCTCCGGATTCACACAGGCGAGAAGCCGTTTGAGTGCAAAAAGTGCGGCAAAAGGTTCAACCACGAGTCGATTTTCCAAGTGCACAAGCGAACCCACATTGGCGAAAAGGCTCACGTCTGCTCGGAGTGTGGTAAAAAGTTTATCATAGCTACTGAACTGCGGTACCACATGGCCGATCACTTCCCGGACGATCCACGATATCGGACGCAAAAAACCGCCTCATGGGTGCGCTACGATGGCGTCGTTAGCGATGGTTCTGCTCGCTCTGTTCGCAACGCTACGGGTCCAAAGGAACGAATTTGTGAATTTGAAAACTGCGGCTACGTTACCACATCGGCCCAGAAGTGGCACTACCATTGTGCGACTCACGCCAGAAAGTTCCAATGCGAGATCTGCGCGCGGCGTTTCCCCACCAACCAAACACTGGTCAAACATGTCGAAAAGGCCCACGAGGGAAAGGTGGCGGAGAAAACCCGACCCTGTCCGTACTGCCAGAAGATGTTCAGCAGCAACCAGAAACTGCAAGGTCACGTGGACATCCACGAGAACAACCGCCGGCACAAGTGTAGGTTTTGCGACAAAAGTTTTGTGCAGCTGGCAAATTGTATAGCCCACGAGCGGATACACACCGGCGAGCGACCGTACTCTTGTCGGGCATGTCCGTCGGCATTCATCTCATCGTCCGGTCGCAAGAAGCACGAGAAAAAACATCCCGAGCTGGACTAATGCTCATTAAATATTGCTGTAACACAATTAGTTAAAAAATGTTTTATTTTATATATATAACCAGTGATCATCATATTGTGCTCAAATGTCCAAAAGGACTCCAAGGAGCCGAGAATCATTAAACATAATTTTAATTACAATAAAGTATTAATGAAAGAGATAGTTTATGAGTTCTTCTTACTCTCCCTTGGAGGCGATTTGAGTTTAGCGCTTTCACCCGTGCCCTCAACTCCCTTGCTTCTTCCAATTGTGTATTGTATAGTTCACTAGCCCGAATTTGTAGTAGTATTACACACTTGAAAACAGGCGGCTGTTGTTTCTCAGTAGCGCTTGCTTCCTCTCCACTGTTCTTCTTGGCGTCCGGGGACGTCACATCCATCACTACCACCTCTTCGTCCAGGACCTCAACCGCTTTCCCGTTTGGCGATGCACCGACAAACCGACATGACACTTAATTCTGACTTATACCTGAAAATCGTTAACGGCCGATTTAAATGTGCAGTGATCCGAACTGCCAAAACCATAGAATTTTTTGATCTAGATAAAAATACTTTGTACAGAATAAATCAGACACGAAACAATAATTATTTTTATTATTATTCATAACTTTTGCATGCGGGTTCATGGCTTAGCTAAATATTTCCCGCGAACACGGAGCCAAATGTCAGTGTTCTTTGGCCAGAAATTTTATTGTTTTTGCTATGGTTATTCATGTCGGTTTGTCGCTGCGCTGGTGCTTCCAGTCACTACACCACACGGTGTTTCGCGAAAACCCATAATACCCATTTCCGCTAAACGTGCCCCTCTTCATTTAATGGGTAAACTATGGTTTACTCATAAATGCGAGGGGACGAAACTCCCAGATTTATTAAAATTTTATGAAATAATATCTTTATTTTCATGAATCGATTCATATCTTCATAAATCCATTTTTATCGTATTCTCTAAAATTATTAATTTCGACAGTGAGCATGCATAAGGGCGAATACGCGATGATCGATTCTCTTCATCGATTTTCTCTTTGCATTGCTACAGCTAAGCGAAACAATTTTCTAGAATTTGTTCAATGCAGAGTAGTAACAGGTTGTATTGGCTATCAAAAGCAACACCAAACGCACCGAGAAACGTTAAATCTAGCGAGTTATTAACAAAAGAGAAAATCGACGAAGAGAATCGATCATCGCGTATTGGCCCTTATGCATGCTCACTGTCGATATATCGTTTTTATCGATCACATCTCTATCATATCGGGTCACAGCTCTACACGGTAATCAGCGTAAAAAGTGTAAAAATTCACACATTTCGTGAAAAAAGGGGTCTACTCATGCTACCGTGTAACTATCTCATGACAGATTACGAAATTTGAGGAAGTCACGAGAGCAACCGAAAAGCTGGGTTTAGACTAGGCAAGTCAAATGATCAACTCAGTTGAATTCAATTGGCTTGAAAAGTTGAGCCTGGTTCAACTTTTTTCATTTCAAGTGAGTTGATCAAGTCAGTTGAATGACATGGTTTACACGTTCAATTCGCGTTCAAGTCAGCTGAATTCAACTGACTTGATCAATTGACTTGCCCTGTCTAAACCCAGCTTAACGGTCGTTGTCATTTGCGCGACTATTTTAACAGCGCACAGCGCTCTCATTTCAGTTTAGTCACTCTTCTCCACACCGGTCGCTGCTATCGCGGTTATCAATTTACTCGCCGTAGTCCGTACCGGTAGTGAGCATTTTAACATTTCTACGAATAGCAACCTTTCTCACGCGCTGATAAATTTGGTAACGCGCTTCTCACCGAGAAGCCGACTGCTATTTTAGTTTCTCGTATGGCAACCCCCGATACGGTAGCTGCGCTATGATGAGGGCTGCTAAAATGAGTTTAGCAGCGTACCGTTACGGTTGTGCGGAGAGAATGCAAGGTTTGGCAACCCGCAATTTTGTGTTTACATCGAATAACTTTTAATTTGAGCGACTGTCGTCTGCTTCAGCGTCACGGTAAAACGAATGCTTTTTTGACAGTATCGGTAGTCATAATTTGAAAAAAAAATCCTTTGAAATCAAGACAGCCTTCTGTAAAAATATACCGAATAAAACGTGACGTGGTTTCCCAAAGACAGCGTCGTCAGAGAAAAGTGGTTTCAATTCTGTCGGTTTCCTCCCGGTCAAAGCTTGACGAAAATTTCAGCTACATTTCAATTACGATTTAGATTTATACGTGGAATATCGGATAGCGGAAAATTATTAGCAGCTCCGGGTGCAGTTCCTATTTTTGAAATTGTTGCGGATTTGAACGAGGGAACAGAGAATGCAATTTATGATGAAGTAAAAGATTATAATAGGCCCTACACAGAAAAAAAGTGGTTGAATATTATTATATACATCCAAACTGCTGCAACCTGGTCAATCCATCGGTTGTTTAATATAACGTTGTACGATGTACATCGATTTTGCGAACAAAATTACATCCATTGATGTAATATTATATCTGTTTTTTGCTATTACATCATTATTTCATACATCAGCTCGAGCATCAGCTTGAATTACATTGATCGATATTACATTTTTTTTGCTGTGTACTTGATTCTTGACTTGATTCATAATTTACACTTTACGCAAACTTATTTATAATTATTTAAATCTAAAAAAATTAATTTCAACTTCAATCGCTATACTACCACGCTTTTCCGCTTGAAGCGCCCGTGTTTATTTACAGTGCTTGATTGGTACCGCGTTTTGAACTTTGGAACCCCCCGCCACCGACAAACCGACATGACACTTAATTCTGACTTATGCCCGAAAATCGCAAACGGCCGATTTAAATGTGCAGTGATCCGAACTGTCAAAACGATAGGATTTTATTATCAAGATAAAAATAATTTGTCAAGAATAGATCAGCAACGAACCAATTCATAAGTTTTGCATGTTGGTTCATGGCATAGTTCAATATTTACCGCGAAGACGGAGCCAGTTGTTAGTAGTGTGCTGTGGTCAGAAATTTTATTGTTTTTGCTATGGTCATTCATGTCGGTTTGTCGGTGCCCTCACTGGCAACATGCGTACCTTCACTGATATTCCATCGGCATTATGGAAAATTAATTGTTCACGATTGTGTAGCAAACACTAATGCATCGATTCCTCTTATTTGAACTTGATGAACATAGATTTTTCCTCCGCTATGCGGTACTCAACAAACAATTTTAGCTGCAGATTAGCTTATACAGGCAAAAATTAGCTGTATAAGCTAATTTTTGGCTGTATAAGCTAATCTGCAGCTAAAATTGTTAGTTGGGTATGTAGCAATCATCTGAGTGAGATACATGCCCAGCGATTTCACGAAATTCACAATTTCTTCCATTGATGTCAAAAACTTTGCAATGAAGAGGGTTATTTAACAGTCTTACATGTTTTATTAAAAAAATACACTTTTAAAATTACAAGTCGTACACCAAGTTTACACTAAGTTTAATTTTGAAAATGTTCATAGTTGAAACTCGAAATTTGGAAAACTTTTAATTTGATCATGCATTATTTTCATAGCAACAATGTTTGTTCTTCGTGTGTAAAGATTTTATTGGATTTTAACAATAGCTATTATTGTTCTTGTATAATGCATTTTGATTCGGGATTTTCTGGACTGAAAGTTGAAGAACATTCACTTTAGATGTTATTTCAAAAACTTGGGGCTTGACAGAATCGTGGAAGAGTGTATCATTAAATCAAGCTGAACATTGCATTAGGTTCTAAGTAACATTGATCGATTCTCTTCATCGATTTTCTCTTTCGTTAATAACTTGAGCATATAGCTGTTTTTTGTTGTGCTTGCCGTTTCAGATGCTAGATAAAATCTTCTTTTACCGATATGTGTGCTGAAAATACCTGGGAATGTCTTTACATGGTCGTGGGGATGCAAAGAGAGAAAGTCGACGAAGAGAATCTGTCAATGTTACTTAGGACCTAATGCAATGTTCAGCTTGAAATATAAATAAAAATTATAACGATCGATTCAAATATTCCGAGCTGAATCGATTATCAAAATTCGAGGTGTTAATTCTTAGCGTGTACTTGATGCAGAAACCGCCTCGCATCTCCATCATCTTTGACATTCGCTCTAATGTCAACAAATGGCTCATCCAGGTCGCAGTGCTACCAACATCCCGCGCCGAAAAAGTGAAGTTTCCTCTTTCCGGCTTACGCCATTGTCAAACACAGACGTGTAGAATATAAATAAGTGAATATCTTTTTAGTTTTTTACCCGTTAAAATAGTGTAATTTTTTGTAAAATTGCAGTAAATAGCAACAGTTCGTTCCAACCAAGCGGTCCGTCGTGAAAGATAGTTCGTGAGTCGTGCTAAACTAGTGAAAATCGGTGATTTTTCCGGTGTTGATCCTGTCGGCCAGAGCCACCCAGTGAAGGCGGTCCCGTTCGAGGGTTATGTGAAGCCAGTGAGCATTTCACTCGTTCATTTGCTCGCCGACTGTCACAGGCACGTGTCGTTTTTATGTTTGCTTCCTTTGAAATCCTTATGAAATCTATAAGTCCCCGGAAGGATAAATTAGTTGGTGTGATAAAGTGACATTGATTGGATTCGTGCTTGGTTGGAACGGAAATTGTTGCACCGGTGTGAAGTGAGCACGGATTGACCGGTGGAATTCTGGATTTTTGCAGCACCATGTCTGAGATCGAAGCATTCGATAATTTTGAGGCCGAAGAACAGCCGCAGGTGTTCGAACAGGCCCCGGCTGTGCAGCCAGCTGAACTCCCGGACATCAAGCTGTTCGGTCGCTGGAGCAGCGATGACATCCACATTTCGGACATCTCCGTGTCGGATTACATCGCCGTCAAGGAGAAGCATGCCAAATATCTACCCCATTCGGCTGGCCGGTATGCCGCCAAGCGTTTCCGCAAGGCCCAGTGCCCGATTGTGGAGCGTTTGACCAACTCGCTGATGATGAAGGGCCGCAACAACGGCAAGAAGCTGAAGGCCGTCCGCATCGTGCGCCACGCCTTCGAGATCATGCATCTGCTGACCGGTGAGAACCCGCTGCAGATCGTCGTCCAGGCCATCATCAACTCGGGTCCACGTGAAGATTCGACCCGTATCGGTCGTGCCGGTACCGTCCGTCGTCAGGCCGTCGACGTGTCGCCCCTGCGTCGTGTCAACCAGGTACGTTGCTAATCGGATTTCGGTAGAGACAGTACCGATTCTATGCAGGCATATTGGGTGAACTTTCCTCGTGAAAGCATGTTCTCCTTCAATTCCATTGGAATCGGAAATTAACCTCCAAATTGGATGACTGAAGACGCTAGGTTCGGGCTTCTGCCTGTGTGAATCAAGTGTTCTAGTCGTCCAATTACAGCATTGTTCTGCAGTTACAGCACAGTTGTTGGAAGATTAAGTGCATTAATTTCGGCTGTTTTTCGCTCTTAATTTTTAGGCTATCTGGCTGCTGTGTACTGGTGCCCGTGAAGCTGCATTCCGTAACATTAAGACCATCGCCGAATGTTTGGCTGATGAGCTGATCAACGCTGCTAAGGTAGGTGAAATGGTTGAAATTGGTGTTAAATTAATAAACCGTTTAATCAAGCTTCTGAATTCATTTTCCATCGGATGTCACTGCTGTTGTTTGCGATGACATACTGTTCTTGGCATTTTCAAGCTTATTGCGAGCTCTCAAATTAGTGTTCTAGATGCACTTTCACAGTCATTAATTGAGAGCTTTCTAATAGCGAATTCGTTTATTATAGGGGTTGGAACTAGTTCCAACCCAGTGCGTAACCGAACTTTTTGTCAGTGCGAACCTCAACCTGAGCTAGGTTTTAAAAACAAACGAGCAAACTGACGTTTGACAGAAAACAAGCAGACCCAATCTTGATACCCGATCCAGGTTGGAACTGAATAATAAACGAATTCGCTATAAGCCTGCACAATTTTTGCTTTAGTATAAATGTAAAGTACCATCATACTCTGTCCATGGAAGTCGAGACATTTTCCAACCAGCTCCAGCATGGTCTTGCTTTGTAGCTGCGCTTTTACCAACTAAGGTGGCCCCGGTTTGCGGTGACATCTATCGGAAATTACCCATAAACTGTTCTCCGTTAGTTCTTCACAGAGGAGAGTGCAGTCAAAAATCTCTTTCACAGACTACAAAATCGAGCCTGACAATGCAAAACATGTCTAGGGTATAATTCGCCCCCTTCAAGAAAAACGATTTTTTTGTACCCTTCAATTAACGGTGTAATCACGTTGATCCGTTCAATTGGAAGCGGCCGTTAGCATAGAAGTTAGGAAACATATTTCGACAACACCCAATGGTTCTTCAACAATGATCGTATGCTCTACACTAAAAGTATAGTATGCCACACAACGAGTTTGTGACATGTCCCAGAGTGTCAATATTAGATTTGTCAGATTGGAATAAATATCTTTTTAAATATGCTTAGGGGAAACGCTCCCATAATTGCGGTACGTTAGAAGCGAGGTTAGAAGCGTTTGGTTCCTATAGTTGTGCATGGAGACTCCATATACAACTATCCAGCTTTCCATACTCGTTAATGGCGGCCTGTTTGCATGAATAAATCGGTCTGCCTGACGTATACATGGTAGACAGGAACGGAAAATCGTGTTATAAGCAGAACGACAAGAGCAGATGATAGCATTAAAAACATGGCTGCCAGCCAGGCCCCTGAAATTGGTGTATCCTTCACTGTGCTTTTTGACACTATCTGGATGTTCGAATTTCGACACCTCCCTTTCCCTCTCCCAGGAACAGAAGAAAATGGAACAACATACGCCCTCCAGTTAGTGTCAAAAACCACGGTAAAGGATACATTTCTAGATAGAGCTGGAATTAGCTCGTAACAGCCTTTGTAAACAATGACTTCTCTCGATGATTTGTAGGAATTTAAGCCACGCCTACATAAAGCAACATTTTTTTTATATTTTTATTAAGGAGACTTTCAGCCCTAGGTTGGTTCGTCTCCGGAGCATAAAGCAACATATCCATCGAGTAGGGAAAGACTATTTGCCAAGGAGAGAGATGGCTTTCAAGAAATCATCGAGAGAAGTCATTGTTTACAAAAAGCTGTTTCGTCCTAATTCCAGCTCTATCTAGATTTATTCATACAAACAGGCCGCGATTACCAAACATGGAAAGCTGGATACACAGGAGTGGAACTTCGGATCAGAAAGTGGCTCCACTTGTCATTTGCGAACACTAGCGCATCTAGCGGTAGAAGGCATCTTCTGGCTGCAGTTAAGATAGGCAGCATTCTATGATAGTGTGAGTGCACATAGAAAGCCCGTGTGGAACACAGCAGAAAAACGAACCACTTTTGATTCACTGATTTGTTTGCACTTCCCCTTCTGTTCTGTGCTGGATTGGAACCTAACGCTTCTAACGTACCGCAACTATAGGAGCGTTTACCCTACCAGAATACGTCATTCAAAATTACATCAAAGGCATGTTTTTCAGAATTTTGTTCCGAATATTTATTTGCGGCACTTGCAGGAAGTGTCTTCTGACTGTTTCCGGGAGTTTCTTTAAACTTTCCCCGAACGCTCCTCCCGACTTCCTCCAAAATAACATTGACTTTCTGCTAGAATTACCTTCCGTCTTCTTTCAAAGGTTTTTGCAGACCAGCCAGCCCCGATGATTCTTTTCCCGTCTTATCCCGGTATTTTGTTTCGTATTTTCGTGAATGTTCTTTCCAACTTTAATTGATTTGCTCTTCCTATATACTTCCCACACCCAAATGTTTTCCCATCGGGTGTAAATTAAATTTTTTAAATCATACCGTGGTCCCGCTAATCTGAACGACACTTCGCTCAAATTAACAGGGTTAATTTTTAATTTGAGCTACTAGTAACCCTATAAGCATATGAAAAACGTGTTTCTGGTAGCCTTATTTACTGTTTTATTTTGATTCTGCGTTCCGTTTCACAGTGTCCCATTTCGCATTTCTCTATTCTATGCGCTAAATGACGTTCGAGCCATTTTTAATTTGCACGGTGTGCAGATTAGCGGGGTTAAAATTAAAAGGTGTTTAGATTAAAAACGGTCAGAAAATCGGGGGTTCAGGAACTAGCATCTTTTTTTTAAATCGAAGCGAATTCCTGGGACTTACGAAACGTTACTTTTCGTTAATTTCTCAGGAATAGATTCTCGACATGACCCAGGTAGGAACCACTAATTGGAAGCTAAATTGAGCTCTGTCCTTGATAATCAATCTGTTTAGAAAAACTGTTTTCTTAATAAGTAAACAATTGTAAATCTTACTGTTCTTTAAAACTGTTCGATTTTGGAATGGTGCTTTACTCTACCTGGTGGTGGTGTTTGTTTGCTTGGGCGGGCTAAAGGCCCACGCACATTAGATCCGGATCGGACACGTTGCGGCAAAGTGACTGTTAAATCTATTGTCTAACTGTCAAATTTACGTTAACGCAACGCAAACGGATCTAATGTGGGAGGGCCCCTAATAAGAGTTTCGACAATTTGAGGTTTGAATCTTTGCTTACAAAAGCAGATATGGTTATTTGAAAATTAACTCTTGAAGTGTTTTATGTCAATATTTAGTAATACGTTTCAAAATGCATTTTCGAGAACACCTGTGAAAAATAGTTTCTGTCGCTTTTTGCCATGTTTTTTTTTTCTCCACGAAAATTATCTTGAATATTCCGGGAATTTCCTATTTTTCACGTAACGTTTACCGGAATTGCACGTAGTCGATCAAAATTCAGCTTCGATTATCTACGTAATTATTCAGTTAAATAAGACCTGATTTCCACGTACTGCTTACGTGAAATCGGGGTGAAAACTACTGGAAAACTGGTAACTTTTACGTGCTATTCCGTTTTGTTTAAACTGCTTTTCACGTAATTTGTACGTAATATTAATTACTGTTTGCAGACTCAAAATGCTGATGCCACCGTCTGAAATTATAAAATTAGAAAAAGGCTACATACCTATAATCACGAATAAATTAATGTAAATGAATCAAATATTGGGCGATAAATATTTGAAGTAAGCTACTGGGAAATTTTGAATTTTTGAGGTGTTATTCCACCACGCTTGGTGGCGCCATATTGACCTTTTTTTTGCGTACCTGAAAATCACGTAAATCTCGTTTCGCGGAAATAGCGAAGTCCCAAACACACAAACACAAATACACTAAATCTGTTTACGTGAATATACGGTCGATTTCACCAACATTTTTAGACGACATGACGTGTAATGCAGGTCAAAGTTACTAACGACACGTAACATTTGAGATTTTGTAAATACAGATCAGTTCCGTGATATTTCACGTAAATCGGACGTGAGGATTTTTTAGAGTGTCGGTAGTTTGAAAAAAGGCCAGTGGGTGGCCACTAGGGTGGGTCAACGTAACAACCCCCTGCTCCCCACAGCTTTTTCGTATTGAGGTTCCCATATGTGCCATATTTGAACGAATTGCGGGAAAGCTTTAAATTTTGTTTGGAAAAATGAATGGGAAACAAACCAAAAATGTTCAATAGCTTCCAAAATTTGCTCAATTTTTACTAAATGTGGGGGAGTGATCTTGAGAAAACTTTTCATAACAACTTCGTCGAAGACCGCACATCGGTTAGACTTCTATGCAAAAAAGGTATTATTTTTTGTTTATAACCATGTGCTCCGCGTATACCTATTAGCGTGCATATAAGCTTGTAGGTATGCGCAGAGCACCAGGCCAACAGTAAAAAAATAATAAAATTTTCCACAGAAGTCGAATCGATTTGCGTTCTTTGACGAAGTTGTGTTCTGTATAGTCTCAATCCAAGTTGCATGTTTGTTAAAAATCGAGTGATGTTTTAAACTTTAACAAACAAATGAGTAGTTGTGTTACGTTTCTCATACATTATATACAAATGCTCTCCCGCAAATCCAGATAATAAACGAATTCGTTCAGTTACTGGGGCCATCAATACGAACCGAAAGAGCTGTCCGGAGCCGAAGGCTGTGGTCCTCCATATAAACTTGACTCACCCTAGTGGCCACTCTGATAATAGTACAAGAATTACTCGAGTGGTTCTTTGATTGTTGTTTCATGAAACAATGCTTTTCGTCATACAAATATTCTAACCGCATAATCCGTCCAGTTACTTGTAAACGTTGACCACAGTCCCCTCCGGTCAATGTTCGTTTCTGCTGGACCAGATCAAAGATGATAATCTGCAAAGGAATCCGACCACATTCGGATTTCTTTCTCGCAAAATCAGCGATAATCCATTTCCTACATCAGTTCACATGATCACTGTAAGCCAAACCCGACCACTAACAGCAACGAATGCATCCTTCTCCATATGTCCATTACAGGGTTCCTCCAACTCGTACGCCATCAAGAAGAAGGACGAACTGGAACGTGTCGCCAAGTCCAACCGATAAGCCAGACGGGGAATGCGTGCGTGCGCGTGTGGTGCGGTGGTGCGGCTGGTACCGACCGTTCGGCCGGTATTCTGCCCAGCCACCGTCGCTGTTAATTTAATGGAAACAACCAACAGCTACTCTCTTCTCTCTGAATTGTCGAATCGCCATCACCATCCTGGCTGGTTCCTTCCGTTGTGTTTGCGCTATATTACCATCTGAAAACAATATGTTATTGAAAACTTCTGCTGATGTCCATTCTTTGAAATAGGCACTCAGTTGCGCACCGTTGAACGTGAATAAAAAAGCTAAAAAAGTGAAGATAAAAATTGAAGATCTCGATTGGTTTTGTCGTTTTTTTTTCTTCTGGAGAACGTACGTTTTTTTTGGGGTTATTGGGGTTATTTTTTAGAGTATTTGCAGGTGCTACGATCGTGGAATGGAACGGATTCGCTCGACAGATGATTGACAATGGAAATCTAGACGAGGCTTGCTTGACGTGCCACTGCAGATGGTAAGTTTCAATGCATTAACTACAATTTTAATGGGTGGGAGGGCATACTGACCACTATACTATCGAGGAATTATTACTTTATTTGGGTGATCGCCTTCAAATCATGTAGACAAATCTAGCGTTCAGAATCATAAAAGCCTAACTGCGACGATCGATTCTCTTAATCGATTTTCTGTTTTTTAATGTCTGCTTCATTTAACTCGACAGTGAGCATGCATAAGGGCGAATACGCGATGATCGATTCTCTTCATCGATTTTCTCTTTGCATTGCTACAGCTAAGCGAAACAATTTTCTAGAATGTGTTCAATGCAGAGTTGTAACAGGTTGTATTGGCTATCAAAAGCAACAGCAAACGCACCGAGAAACGTTAAATCTAGCGAGTTATTAACAAAAGAGAAAACCGATGAAGAGAATCGGTCATCGCGTATAGGCCCTTATGAATGCTCACTGTCGAACTGTGGTAATGCGAAGAGAAAATCGATGCAGAGAATCGATCATCGCAGTTAGGCTCTTATGATTCGGAACGTGTTGCAATTCCATACTTTTGTCTACAAGATTTAAGGGCGACACCTATTCGGTGTGTGAATGAATGCGAAGAGTCGTTTGTCACTGCTAATCCTTGCTTGCTTGCCTCAGTACTTGTGACGTGACAGAGGCAACAAAACAAACTACTTTTCCCCATTCATAATTCAGACACCCAGTCCGTCCAGTTACTTGTAAATGTTGACCATAGTCTCCATCGGTCAACGTTCGTTTCAGCTGGACCAGATCAAAGATGATATATTCTGCAAAGATATTCGACCACATTCGGATTTCTTTCTCGCAAAATCAGCAACAATCTTTCACGTTCAATAATTTAGTCCCCAAAGTGGAACGAATATTTGTAACTAAAATTTGTTTTCTTTTGCCATTCCTTATTTTCAGATTGCAGCCTGGAGCGAACTTCCCCCAAAAGGTGAGTTTAGTTTAGCGTTAAGTAAACTGTGATAGAAGCACGGTCCAAATTACTTAGTATGCTTTTTCCAATTTCAATTCGATTAGGCATTGGAAATTTGGACCAGATCAATGTTCTCAGGTATCTTGGAGTCTCGAGTTAATTTGTGACTCTGCATCGCACGGTGTAACGACATTTTCACACACTCAATCTTCTATGCAATGTTTTTCAGAAAGTTTAAAACTTCGACTAACTTACACTTAATTTTTTTCAGATTTGACGATCTACATGCGAACCCACGAAAGGCATCCCGACTACTGTTAAATGTAAGTTTCGATAATTTAACAAAACCGAAGTCAACTGTCTTTGCTGAAATTTCCCGCTCGATTTCCCAAGAGCGAGAAACCAATAAAGGACATAGAGCATACTTGCTTACAGTTGAAATTTTTCGCAGCATTTAAGTTCATATGAGTTGCTTTCTTGCTTTTCACTTGAAGTACATTAGCTTACTTCCGTTCGAAAGTTTTGACGAGTATCTCCATTTATTAAATGTTGATTATTTTTTGCAATCTTTCAGATGACGATTCTTCTTTGTGGACATTGTGTTAGGAACTTGGAATAATTTTCTTTAATGGTAAGTTGATTTCCCTACTAAACGGCTCTAAGTTAGTCCTTCATGACACAGTAATAGCTCCTGTCTGTGGTACTATTCTGACGCTGAAAGGACAATAGTAAATTTAGGGTATATTCTTCTTGGGAGCTAGTCACCTGCCTGGATTAGATCCCTTATGGGTTTTACCTACAACATTAATTCAATATCTACAGTACAGAGCACCCCCTAACTCACATGTTTCGCCTCATTACAGTTACCGCCCAAGCTGCCCGTAAGGATTGCGTTAACAATCAACTTGAAATCCAATAGGTAAGCAGCTGTTTAAAGCTTTATAATTCTTCCAATTTGATATGTCAAGGCAAACCATTTGGACTGGATTTTGCTGGTATCAAGTTCGAAAGGACGCCTGCGACTAGAGCAACTCTATCGGGTGTGAACCTTCATCATTTGTCTTGAAATCCTTCGGACAAATGCCTGAATTCATTCACCGACACTTGCTCCCGTTCGGGAAACGAAAATCGTTGTGCGATATTGTGCTAACAGAAGTCGATTGTCTCATTGTTTTCAGGTCTAATTTTGGAAAACGCGAAACGTCCTAAGGGGGGAGAATTGCATCTTCAAACTCAAGGTAAGTTCGAATTCGGATTATGGTTTAACCTATTCAAGTCCGTCCACCTGCCTTATTGGTGTTACACCAATGTCTGGTCAAATCAATCCGTTTGGCTGGACGATTTCGGTGGACCAGAACAATAGTTGGTCACTTTGCAGGGTATTATAAGGTCAATTTTAAATACCCATCACAAGGCTAATAACAGTTTTTTTATATTTATTCAATTTGCTTATTTTCTGATCTATTACCCACCAATCTGACGAATCTTTGTTTGTTTGATTTTTACAGAACATGGACAAGACATCGCCTCTTGCGAGGTGCTCAGATCGTTCATCAAAACTAAAAGGTATGTTTCGATTGAAAATTTATTATTAGTATTCGAAAGGTGGTTTGTCAACAGTTTGACAAATAAGTCCCGGCTGATGGTCTTCGCTCATAAAATAAATAACAATCAGTGGAAAATATCAATGTTAATATCACATAATTTTAATGTGATCTCATAATTGGATATTGCACATGAACTCACATAGAAAGTATTATGTTATGTGATATTCTGATAAAATTAATTAATTTTGTTATTGGAAAAATATTATGTGTTATCAATAGAAACTAGGTGAGTACTTTTTACAGTGTACGTCCTATCCTCATTACATATCACTCTATGGGAAGAAATTTCTTTGAAATTTGATTTATACACTGCAAAAAATCATCACGTTAAATCCATGTGAAATACCCTGATTCCAAACACAAATTTTAAAATTCAAAGTTTTGGAGGATTCCAACTAAAAAAATATGGATCTCATAATTTTAAAATTAAAGATACCTATAGGGTAGAGCGCTACTTCGTCGTAATCGCCCATTTCCGTTCTATCGATCAGAAAAGATCAATAATATCAATGACTTCACCGTTTACAAATCAAAAATAGGTTTGCTTCGATGCGTTAGTTCACTAGTTACAACATAAATCCTGTTAGAGCGCTTTGTATGAATATTTACGCTCATTGTTCTCAAAACAAAAGAAGCGCTCCTAGCGAATCCCCTTTTTCTACGTTTATCCGTAGGACGAAGAAAATCTAATGGCGTTTCAATGCGTTTGGACGGAATTGAAACTCGTAGAACGAATTTAGAATCAAGAAGCAGTATTAGATTTTAAACAATATCTCAACAATTTGTGACTCTTTATCAAATCTAACGGTAAGTATGGAAAGGTGAATAAATTTAGAAGTCATCTTTGACAGAAATATTCCATTTTTAATTAAAACTCGTTCAGAATTGAGAGGTAAAGTGCGCGTTGTGCTTAGTAGGACGGAAATTAGATCAAAAACCCTACGAGACCGGATGGAATTCGATTTTGAAATCTGTGTTAGGGAAAGCGCTTTTTGCAGGAAATCGATGATAGTTTTGATCACCATTGCAACAGTTGGACATTTGTGTTATTTTCAATAGTGACCTATTGAAAATTGATAAGCTTTCATTTTAGCAGATTCGTAGAAAAAATTCCAATCGGTTGGCTTGTTTAGAATTAAAATCCATCCGCTATTTACAGAGTTAAAAGTTATCAAAACCTGACCATTTTTCGTAACGCGGTCGAATTTAGTTTTTTTTTTTTTTAATTGCACCCCAATATGCTGCCGAAAGACGTAATCCTACGTCGAAAATCCTAGACCGAACCGAGAATCAAACCCAGCCACCTCCATCTTGGTCTTGCTTTGTAGTAAGCACCTTTACCGACCGAGCCTAATCCTCTTGATTGTTATTTCTACATATTTATTAAAAACTGTTCATTTCACCAAATTTCAGTGGATCAGATCTAAACGAACGTTGACAAACCACCTCTCTCCTTAGTTTCACATGATGATCTATGGATTTTATATGTACCGCTCCAGGCTGAAAGAACACATGTTGTTTTCCATTAACTGACAGTTATCCTAATTTCGTGATCCCAGAAACATAATTCAGTATGCAAATAGCTAATCACAAACCCTGTTTTTCATTTATATTCTTTCAGGATTCCTCAGTGCCTTGGCTATGGTGGTCAAGTTGGAGAACGAAATCGATACATAAAAGGTAATTATTAAAAAAAAATTCAACGCAATTCAAAATTAAACTAAATTGGTTGAAAGATGAGGTTTCGACATTGCAAAAAATCTTCACATTATTACGTGAAGGTTCCAAACTGAAATTTGATAGTTTTACTCAAAATTAAATTTAATGAAAATTCTAAACGAACATTTCAGACAGTAGACTTGTGACCCACACCATTCCATGTATAATCTAACGTTTGCCAGTTAGTTTTTGGCCACTCCTTGAGTCCTTGAAAATGATCAAAAACGAATCGAAGCGTCTGACGAAGTCGATGATCCTTTCAAAAACTGAAGAGGCAATCCCTAATTTTAAAACATGATCGACATGATGACTTTTATCGAAGACAACAAATCAAGAAGACTGGCAACTTTGCCAGAATTCCAAGCGACAGATACAATGGAACCTGGGAAAACATGAGGCAAATTTACTCATCGCTGAGTTCCTGCACCTTATGTGATTTATGAGTTGACTAAACTCAAATTTGGGTCGTTCTCATTCGCCGTGTAGCTTTAATAAAGAATTAAAAAAAAAATCGCCGTGTTGCGGTAGAAAACGAATCAAGTTAATTGATTCTTTGATCGACAAATGGACATAATCAATTTAAGAATTCCATAAGGCATGATCTATGGATCTGGACAATTTTGATTTCATAAGACTGATGAATTCCATAAACACGACTTATGAATAATTATCGTTGTACATTAGGTGATTCTTAGACGTCTTTAGTCTGTTCTATTTCTCAAGCGTTGATAGAGCCCCAATCCAATTTGCTCCATTTATAATATTTTTTAAGTTTGATAAACTGACTTATGAATTTCATTGTTCTGACTTATGAATTATGGTCCTTAGGCAGGGCTGGTAGCAGGTCACGTTTTAGTGACTTGGTCACTATTTTGAAGCCAGTCACTAAAAAGTCACTTTTTACACCAAAAAGTCACTAATGTCACTATTTCCCTAAAAATAGTCACTAAGTCACTTTTTCACTACTAAAAAATATCAACAAAATGTTTAAATTGAGTACTTGGCTCTAAGAAAGTCTACAGTTAGTTTTAACAAAATATACATAACTGTTAAAAAATTTGAAAATTTTACCCAGGGTGACCAATGAACCACAAAACTTTAGAACACCAGGAAAACTATTGGAAAATACCTACAATTTCGATTGAAAATCCCCGAGGAAAATATACCTCGTTTCCCAGAAAATAAATTGTAAACCTTGGAAACTTTCCAAAGGTATTTGTCTGTGATAGATTTTCATAAATCTTTCGAGGATGATTAAAAATTTCAAAAAATCCAAATCAAATTTTAAGAGAATTTTAAAGGATTCTAGGGATGACACCAAGATATATCAGAGAAGAATACCAAATAATAGACTACGAAAGTCTCGTGTAAAATTAAGTGCTCTGAGGCCGATTTCTTCTTCTCCGCTCAAATCTTAAGCCAGGTTTACCTATATAGTTAAACTTGGCTTAACACATACGAGCGTCGCTTTTGATTATTGTTTAAATTATTTTAGACGCAAAATTCAGCTCCGATACAATTTTGGAAATAATTCTAATATAATGAAAGTGCATTTTAACGAGAGTTCTGAGAAGAAATCTATGATGATTGGATGAGGATTCTAGGTCCAATTCTAATAAGAATTCAAAATTGGTTCTGAAATTTTGCTTAAGGGGGCTCTGATGAAATTTCCTTGAAAATCCCGTGAACTCCAAAAATGGTCTGCGGATAGAGAAAAAAAAAAGAATTCTGGGGTGATTTCTGACGATACTTCTAAGAGTTCGACATAAATTCCGAGAAGAATTCCAATGGAATCGAACTTTGAGGGTTCAATCTCAAAGGAATTATGAGAAGAGTTTCAAAGTTTGTGATGGATTCTGAGGAAATACTGAGGGGATTCTAAGGAGAATACGAATTGAATTTCCAATTGAATGCAAGGGAGAAGTCCAAGATTATTCTAAGCAGAAATTTATGAAATTTCCAGTTCCATGACATAAACAGTTTATTTCAATATAAAACCGTATAAATGGTTACTTCTTTAGTATTTACAAGTCACTATTTGGTCACTATTTCCGAAATTTTAGTCACTAAAGTCACTACTATGATATCGCATCAGCACTACCAACCCTGTCCATAGGTCAAACTTATGATTTTCATAATAAATCCTTGTGGTGAAAAATCATAAGTGGTTCTTAAGGAATTCTTAACTTTATTTGTCTCAGTGTACCTTTCCTAGATTTGACGTTTAATCGACTGTCTGTTCGTTGACTATCCATTCTATCAAGTTTCAGTGGGCTCATGCTTACGTTGACAAACCACCTCTCTCTCCGGTTTCACATGATGATCTATGGATTTTATATGTACCGCTCCAGGCTGAAAGAACACGTGTTGTTTTCCACTAACTGACAGTTTACCCTATTTCGAGACCCCAGACACATAATCCAGTATGCAAATAACTAATCACAAACCCTGTTTCCATTTCTATTGTTTCAGGATTCTTCAGTTCCCCTTTTCTACCATATGATCAATGTGAGATACGAAACCGATATTCAAAAGGTAATTATTCAAATCATTCCACACAGTTTGATTAAGGAAAATGTTTGCATCTCTTCATTTCACGTGATGATATCTATGATATTTAGAACAATTGATGTACCGCTCCAGGCTGAACGTTCACATGTTGTTAGTTCTAATCTGAAACTTGAAAGATGCAATCGTGACCACAAATGGTTCCTTCGGCACAATGTCTAATGTTGTCAAATTTCTTCTAAATTTCAGATGATGAACTGTGAACTCATTGGTCGGAACTCCAGAATTACCGAAAAAAAAAATGGTAAGTTCGCCCTTGGACCGCTACTACATCCCTGTTTTTACCAATGATGATCACATCATTTTCAGTTATCCCTGTCTTAGGAATAATGCTGACCCTTTTTTATTCTGAAACTTTTTCGACTAAGAAATTGCGTTCCATGTCGATCTTCTTGTTATTAAATCGAAATTTGATTCTTTTTTTTTCAGAACCTTAATCATCTGACTGTGAGTACGTTAGCTAAGCTATTAGCATGAGGTCGGTCATCATTCGTGAACGATAAAAGGTAAGCAACATCTTTGAAACTTCAGTGAATCTATTCGATCGAAAGAAGCTCTCAATGATGATTTAAAACACAATATACGCAAATGGGGACAGAATTTGAATGTTGTTGAAACTTTAGTTACCCAGACTTGCCCTATCTGATTCTATGAGGTTAAAAAAGGACGGACAACTGTTTAAAAAAAAACTGTGCAGTTACTGAAAAAGGGACAAACAAAAATTGTCTCGAAATTTGTATCAAATGCTGAGAAAGAATTGATTCAGTGTGTAACTTAAATTTTCGCTTGGATTTGTTTCTATGATGATGATTTTCAATTTAGATGTGATAAACAGAATCTACAATTACAAAGCGTTGTCGTGATTACTTCTTGGTAGATTTAGCCACAAAAATTAAGGTTTGTCTTAATGCACTGCAATAAATAGCAACCTTTTTATTGGTTGAGTTTTATAATAAATGTGAAACATGTTCCGTCCTTTTTGGCCTTTGCAATCCCTGCCGTGTAGTTAAAAGCAATAAGCCATGCTTGTAGGTTCTAATCAAGTTTTTTCCTCGATTTTCAGGTTTGAGAAATCCTGTATTGATCAACTGATCGAAGGTGTACGACTTAAGGTAAGTGTTTTTTTTTTCAATCAACAATATGCTGAGCTCCACTCCTCTTTAATGATGACACTTGAATATTGCATAAATATAGTGTTGAATAAAATATTCGATTGGTCTTACTGAATTACGTTTGAGGTCATTCAAAGTCATTGAGGGGAAACAAAGCGAATACCGTTCTAACTTGCCTTAATTTTCTCTTATTTCACAGACGGGTCCTTTTCACCGGAAGCAGTGTTGTTAAATTCTCCCAAGGTAAGTTAACAAGATCCGTTTATTTTATATTGTACAAAACCACAACCACTTTCCAATGATGATTTAAAACACAATATACGCAAATGGGGACAGAATTTGAATGTTGTTGAAACTTTAGTTACCCAGACTTGCCCTATCTGATCACGTTTTGCCTGGAAGTGATCAATCATATCTCAATGTGACGCTCAACTCTAATCAAATCTCTTGTTCTATTTTATTCCAGTGTGGAGCTGCTCTTAGTGCCGGCCAAAATTGCCATCGCTTCGTGTTCTGAATGAAAAGGTAAGTTTCTGTTGCATAAGAGCGATTAATCCTTAAGCCGTCCATCCTAATGTGGATGCGGTTAGATTCTGAACTGCATTTGCTTCGCTGTTGGACTAGAGTAAATTACTTTATTATTCTGGTGATTGGATACACATTATTTTGTCCTCTCACCGTGGAAACTACTGTTACAGTTCCTCTATCTCTCTCACACACACAACATGCAATACTTTAGTGATAGTTTCCAAAATACTTACAACGATCTTCCTTTCTCATTTTTTCAGATATTTTCGAACCTCAGACTCACTGAAAATGGATCCACTAGTCGAAAAGTAAGTGTCAATTCCTACACTTTTCAATCGAAGCGCAAAGTCTCAACACAGACCGGTAATTCCGTCGAGATCCTCGACTATATGGAGTTCACCGTCCTTCTGTGAGACAATAGCAATTCGTAGCTCCATCAACAGTGTGACGGAACGCTTCGGTGCTGCTTCACTGTCAGTTTTCGGTTGCTAACGACATTTTATGTTTGCGCTTGAATTTTGACCGCGTTTCTGGTTATCACAAAAACTAACGAAACATTCCGTTTCCTTTTTTACAGGTGCTTCAGCCGGAGAAAGTTTACAGTTGGGCCGGAACGTCGGCGAAGAAGCACACGTCGTTTTTGGAAAGGTAGGTTGCTCTCTTCACTTGTCCGTTTTATTCAGTTTGGTCCTCTACTAGTCAATCACTGTACGTGAACCGCAAGAAGCGATCTAGTTCAGTGATCTCCGATGTGGACAAAAGTAAAGGGTGCACTAATAAAAGAGCTATTCCCCTCGCTTCTGGGATGGCTCTTTACTCGGTGCATCTACATTTCCTCACATGTTCAAACATTAACCTAAGCCAGTTTAGTGATGAGATAAATAATCGTAAGTTTTGGTTGGTTCTTTTCAGAAACTACCATCTTCTGGAAGTCCGCTGACGTGGTGATTTATCCGAAGGTAAGTTTTCTTATTGCCGCTAAAGGTCTATTTTTACCGAAAGTTTCCGGAGTTTTGGGATCACCTACTTCTTTTAAGTTCCTCAGAGTTCAAGAAGCTCACAAAGCACCAACTTGTACCTGGAGGTCTTAGAGTTTAAAACGCTCCCGGAGTACAAACCAGGAATGTCGGACCCTAGTTTCACGAGAATTCTGTAAGTTTCTAGAGTTGTGATATTCCAGGCTTCATCATTTCGACGTCCATCCTAATGTGGATGCGGTTAGATTCTGAACTGCATTTGCTTCGCTGTTGGACTAGAGTAAATAACTTTATTATTCTGATGATTGGATATTTCATTCAAGTCCCTTCATCGTGGAAACTATTGTTACAGATCTTTCAAAACACCTCCCTGTTCCTATAAAATCCTAAAAGTTTAAAGATTACCAACAACTCAAAACAGAATTCTTGGAATGTTAGGGACCAGACCAGTGTGCTAGAAACGAGAGCTTTTGAAACTCTAATAACTCAAGCAGGAACTGCAAGAACTCTCGGAACTTCCGCTACTCCACAAACCAGGGGAGAAAACTTTCGGATATTCCGATAGTTTGGGAGCTTTACCAGTTCCTAGATAACTTCGGGTACTTTTACACGGCGAATGAGAACGACCTAAATTTGAGTTTTGTTCACTCATAATCGCCAAAAGTGCAGGAACTCAGCGATGAGTTAATTTGCGTCATGATTTCCTGTGGAAAACTTCAAAAATCTGCCGGAAAATGAGGAAAATTGACGAAAATTTAACTCAGTCTAGGAGTAGTACCAATAGTTATCCCAATCTTTACTTTTCTTATATTTGGGAAGTTTTTCCTGGACAACCCCTGGAAAAAAACATGAGGCAAATTTACTCATCGCTGAGTGCACTTAATGTGATTTTTGTGTTAACTATACTCAAATTTGTTCTCATTCGCCGTGTCTTCAGCAACCCTTGCAAATTCTAGGGAACTCCAATATAGTGAAAATTCTCACGAACTCCTGAGAACTCCGAAGAAATTCCGATACTACAAAAACTTCTGTATCTTTAGCTTTTACCTTCAGAATTCCAAGAGCTTCTCCAAAAAAACTCAGTATTTCTGAGAAGGCTTCCACGACTACAATAATGTTCAACTTTTGGGACACTTAAGATTTTTTTGGAATTCCAGCAAACCTTTTTTTGGAAACTGAAATTGAATTCTGATACTCTACCTTCGATTTCGCTCCTTCGTGTAGCGGTTCTCGAATTTCAGTTGATATTGGCTTCTGATGGCATAGACGATAGAGCTCAGCATTCAAGATTCAGTTGGGAAGCCATCCATTTACAGTGCTTCGACAAATCAGGGTTGATTTCAAAATGTTTCGTAAATTCGCGAAGGCCTTTCGCGCTGGTTCTTCGTCATTAGTGTGCCTATCAGGCATACCAAAAGTACCGCCTCATGACAGTATTCCAACGGCTGTCGCTTTCTTTTTCCTATGACAGCCTTGAGATTGATTCCGTTGCCGTCTTGAGCAGTACACGACAGCTCGTTCTTAGTCATGTATTTTGTTCGTTCGGCTATGACAGCCTCGGATGGTCAATCGTAACGTTCCTCGTACATACAACAAGCAGTCAGTCAAACTACCAGCCGAAGCTCGTTCGGTTGCTATCACGTTCGTGCTGCCCATTGCTAAATTTTCATCCGATATTTTTTAAAAACGCGCGGTCTCCGGCGACAAATATAAGCCTCCCGACACGAACCGGACTTCTACCAAACCCCAACCCGATGTTGACCCGACATAAACGCAGAATTGACCCGGCATTTGGTCGACATCGACCATAAATTGACCTTACATTGATCTGATATCGGGCCGACATATCTGTTCGGGATCATTCTTCTGGGTTTCTTCCATACTCCACTGCCGTATATCAATTGTATATAATGTCTCGTGACAGCCACTTGCGTAAGCTGAGGGATGTCGTCGGTTTGTGAAGGCTGTTATGACGACAGAAACATTGAGAACCTGGTCATAAAGAAATGTATAAATACAGCCCATTCGGTTCACTACGTTCCAAGCACGATGATTTTAGCAAAGCGGGGTATAGATGCGACTGTTCTAATACAGCTTTCATTCGTTCGTGCGTGCGCTGTTGCCAATACACTTCGAATTCAGATCTTAACGGACGGTAGCAAGCAGTAGTAAAGTACACAAAGCAACAGTCTATTCAGGTATAAACCAACTGTCGCGAGGAGGCTGTACGATTTGGAAGCCTGGTGCCTATGTCGCTCTTGATTTTACCGTCCGTCGTTATCTGGCTGCCAAGATGTTGGAAAACGCAATAACTAGAAACATTTGGAAATGCAGCGTTCTATCCAAGGAGGTCTAAATGCCCGGCGCGGCGTTCACCCCCCCCCCCCCCTCCAGGAGAATAATACTCTGCTGTGTCACTCACTATAAACGACGACGAGAATTCTGGTTGATCCTACCAGTAATATACGCTTGCCTCAAAGGTTAAGCCATGCATATCTTGTTAGATTTTACTGTTAAAACTACCTTTACTCTGAGAATTTTCAAAACAAAAATTATAACTCCCTGAACTGCTCGAACTCTCAGAAATCTACGGATTTATGAACTTCAAGACACACAATAGACTTGATGATTTAACCATTATTTTGTAAATGGTCACACCACTGTTGAGGTTCTCAGCTCAGTGAATTTTGCTGTTTTTCGCTCTAGTAAAGTAAAAGTAAATGGTAGTAAGTCTGCTACCATTTGGCTTGAAATAGTTGACTTTCAGGAAAAATCAGTTGTTGAGCTCTGTTACTTAGGTCCCTTTGACAGTGGACGTTTCCATCTTGTTCAATAAATTTCGATTGTATTTGAAAATTAAAATCACTGATGTTGTGGCAGGCCGAAAAGATCTCCATGGAATGGAATGTCTCATATTCGTATTCGTAAGGTACTCTGAACGTCCCTAGAGACCCTCTGAATTTTTGAATGTGGACCTCAGATATGACCCTATTATGTAAGTCGAGTCGAGCGTCACTTCTGGTCAATGGTTTATTTTGATATTACAGAAGTGTACAGTGTACGACTCGAATTACATAGTAGGGCCCATAGGCTAGATACGGTATTACCTAGCCAATGGTCGAGGGCCATACTTTCGGGATGGAAATTTTTCTCTTCCCTGGGCTTAGAGTATCATCGTGCTCGATACACACAGCTCTCTATAACTGTGGAAGTGCATCTAGAACACTAAGTTTAGAGCAGGTGAAAGCTCGTTTAAGATCGTCAAATTCAGGAAGAAGAACCCTCTGAATTTGCATTGCAAGTCCAGTGCATTTAATTTAGGAAGTCCTCTGGTTATTTTTATTTTTGATCTCTGCAGTTACTACCAGAGCCCACAGAGATTGTTCGACAGGATCTCCATGGGTTTGTCGCCTAAGTTCCTTGAGCTACCGTGGAGGTTCATTGAATTTGCTGTGAGAATCCTTTGGATTTTCCCTAAAGATTTCACTTAGAACCTCCTGGATTATTTTTTGGAGATCGTGGATTTAACTTCGGTGTCCCCTGGATTTAACTTGCCAATCTCAGAGTCGGTTGAGGTGTTATTTTCTGCTAAATTCTTTGGACCTGATTTTGATTTCCTTTTTCGGCTTAACTTAAAGGTTCTCTATACGCCCTAAATATCCCATGAACTTACCCTGAAGGTCGTCTGGATTTATTCTAAAAATGCACTAGTTCAGCATACAACACATTAGCTTGAAGGTTGTCCGAATTAACCCTAGAGACCCTCTGAATTTGTGAATGTGGGCCTCAGATAGCTTTGGCACGGTTAGAAATTATCTCTGAGTTAAGAGTATCGTTGTGATTGACACACAATATACAATTACATGCATTGGTTGTCATAGAAAGATCTCTATTATTGTGTAAGTGCATCTAGAACACTAAGTTGAGAGCAGGCGAACATTTTTTGAATATATCTGTAGTTGCTACCAGAGCACACAGAGATTGGTCGAAATAATCTCTATGGGTTTGTCTCCTAAGTTCCTTAGGCTACCGTGGAGGTTCTGCAAACTTGCTCTGAGAAGCCTTTGAATTTTCCATAGAGATTCAACTTAGAACACCCTGGACTCTTGTATCTGGACATGCAGAGATTGGTCGAGACGATCTCCATTGGTTTGTCTGTTAAATTGTTTGAACCTTAAATCGATTTCCTACTGTGCTTATCTTAAAGTGTCTCTGTACGTCCTCTAAACTTAATCTGTAGACTACCTGAAGGCCCTCTGGACTTGTTCTGAAAGATTTCTAGTTTTATAGAAAAAATTCTATGAGGTGCTTTCGTTCTCTTGATTTGCCCTAGATACTCTTGCTACCAGAGCCACTAGAAATTGATCGAAACGATCTCCATGGGATTGTCTTATTAGTTCTGGTTCACTGGATTCTGAACTTGTTATGAAATACCTCTGGATTTGTCCTGGAGATTGTTCAGATTTTTTATAGGGCCCTTTTGAGCTTGCACTGAAAGCTGAATGAATTCAACTTCGATGTCCGTCCCCTAGATTTTAATCTTCAATCTCAAAGATCGGTCGAGGTGATCTTCTCTGCTAAATTCTTTGAGCCTGATTTTGATTTCCTTTTGCTCCCTTGAGAGGCCCTCTGGACTTGCTCTGAAAGATGTCTAGTCCTGCCCAGAAAATTATTTGAAAGTGCTCTTGATTTGTCCTGGCGGTGGGTCGGATTTGCCACTAAAATTTCGGCAGTGAATTTTATTTGGAAATCCTTTTGGACTTTTTTATAAAAATCTCAGGGCTTTCAACAAGAATGCTTTTTAATTTTGAAGTTCCGTTTGCTTGCTACCAGAGCATTCAGAGCAGTCAAGTTCTTTGGACTTGATTTCGAACTCCTTCTGGGCTTATCTTCGAGGTTCTCAGAACGTGCCTAGACTTTTTCCGATGATCCTCTGGACTTACCCTGGTGGTTGTCTGGACTTTCTAAGAAAACCCTCTTCATGTCCTGGAGGTATTCCAGATTTAGCCTAAGGGATCCTCTGAATTTGCACTGGAAGTCCTTTGGGTTTTTTTTCACATGGACTTGCTACATAAATACTCCGAAATTGATACCATTCAAACTTGCCCTAACCTGTCCTCTTGAAGAATCTCTGGACTTGACTCTGAAGTTCTGCAGAGCTGATTTCCGAAGCTTTCGCCAGTTTTTATTAATGAGTATTTACGAAACGCATAGATCAGTACAGGCTTACTGTTCGTTTTACTTTTATTCTTCTTGATATGAATAAAAGAGATATCAATGAATGGATGCCAATACAAACCCGAGGGTGGGGAAAAAAAACCGTGAAAAATCCACTGTCTGTTGTGCTCTCGCAAATTGCAATAGTAGTGTTCGTCATGAATGATGACAGGCTAGGATATTGTGTTCAATTATTTACATCCTGTCGGATTGTGAAACAATCTATGTTTGTAGCTTACGTGGTGTGGGAGCAACTCATTATTGTCAGCGGTGAAATAATTTCACAATTTTTCCCTACACACAAACCCTTTAATTCTAAGACTTCTATTGCTTTCGTACTAATGATAAATTTTTATTCTGATTTCAGATTACTGCTTCAGCTCAATGGAGTACCGCCCACGTAGTGTAGAAGGAAATTTTGGATCCCTGGATTCGAAACGAAGCTGCTGCAGTTTCCTGATCGGATTGTTAAACTGCCAAGGTGAGAATACTAAACTTTTTATCCAAACTAACTCGACAATCGCCGCCGTTCTTTTTCCGTGATGAAACTATTTTACTTTAGAACATTGATGTACCGCTCCAGGCTGAAAGTTTATATGTTGTTAGTTCTAATCTGAGTCGAGTAAACTTATTCACACATCAAGCAACAGTTTCCTAGTTGGATCCCAATGGTTTCGTTTCTTTTCGTTCTTCATTTCACAGGTACAAGACGCCGTGTCTCGTGAAAATCTGATTAAGGTAGGTGTAAACTAAATGAAACAATTCAAATTGGTTGTTGTCGATTTACATGCAAAACGAGCTCATTTTTTTATTTAAATGATGAATTAGAATTATTCAGTTATCCCTGTCTTAGGAAATAGTGCTGATAGATATTCGTACTGACATTCGACCCAAAACAACCCCAATTATTGACTTCAAAAAATCCTTTTTCATACTAAAGGTGATGTTATTTTTGTTTACAGTTCGTGTTTTGCTTCTTCCATCGATTTGATCCGCAGAATGAGATGTGTTCATTTTGAGTAGCTACATCAAACATCAGGTAAGTTAACCGGAATACTCTCCGTCTTCTGTGAAGCAGTGTTGTAGCCATCTTGAATTTTTAGAAGATCTATCCATATTTGACGAGTGTATTGAGCAGTTGATTGGTTGCTCTTCATACTGACTAAACTATGGTAGACTATCACTTGGCACTAGTGCATCGTTTCTTTCGCTTGTTGATCAATCGAAAATGCTGCATTGTGCGTACACTGTCACTGCTTCATCGAGCTAGTTCTTAATACCAATTTCTTCGATTCATCCGTCTAATAGAGAAAATTTATTTACTTACAGCCCTCTCAGCTGGAAAATCTACGACTGTCAATCGCCCTTTATCCATTCATTGAGGTAAGTTAGTGTTTTTGACACCATGCATATCCATTCAACGTCCTGTTTTAGTCAGTCGTGCAATTTGGCTAGTGAGCATAGTTGCACGATCTCCGTTATGGACGAAATCAGTTGGCTTTCAAATCCTATCCTTTCTAGATCATTTCATTGATCTGGAAGTCAATCTTGAAGCAACATTTGCCCTGTTTCGTTTACCTGTTCCATAATTGTTTGCTCTGTATCTTCTCTTGCAGATTTTTTTTCCTAGAAAGAAGGAACGTCAGCAAGTGTCTCGTTCAAGAGGTAGGTTATATTCCATCACTACTCACAACAGCAACAAAAATGTCCTGACTAGAGCCACTCGACTGTATCATAACGCAAGGTCAAGTGGTCTCGAGATGGACGAGATTATGAATCCTTGGACACTCCTGTCGGATGATTTTGACTTCTACGGTCACTTCATCTTGGATGCTTTGGCAACATATTATTACATTCTTCTTTAAACCACTCAATCAATGAGCTCTTCGATTCTCAAAGTTTCCCTTCTCTCTTGCTTCCAGATAACTTTGGACAACCCGTGGGAACCTTACCAAGAATGATGGGCGGCTAGCAACGGTAAGTTAGCAATGAAAATTCCCAATCTTTATAGTGTGTTTTTCAATGACGATTAAAACTCTCAATCACCTTACCTACATTACTTGAGAATTCATGAAAAGATTGATTATCTGAGTCTGCATTATCGAAAAAATCGTTTCCCTGCTCGTGTAACATGGAATTCTAATTCCGTTGTTTCTTTTTCTTACAGAAGACATTCGTTTTAGTATGCTGGAATGACAACAAGTCAACTAACGTTTCTTAAGGTAAGTTAAAAAAAATGTGTTTCGTCTAATAAGTTCAACTTTTTCAATGATGAGAAAAAATCAACATTACCTTACCTACATTAGTTGAACAACATGAAAAGTCGTAATATTCTGAGTCCAAATTTGAATAAAGCCATCTAAAGTCAGTCTATCCAATGTGCATCTAACAAGAGTATTTTGTTTCCATTTTTATTTGCAGGTCAGGTAAGTGACAATCACTGTTCACAAAGGGACTCAGTTGTTGCCGCTCTAGCATCACCGCATCGTGAAAGTAATAATGCAACAAGTGAAAGATGCAAATTCAAAGCATGTAAATAAATTGCTTTCAAAATACATTCATTCGTTGGTTTTGGTCATTATAGAAAGAACATTTCTGGGGAGTTGTGTCCAAAAGACAGAGGATCTCAAAGTCAGGTTCATAAGTCAAATTACGACGATTCAACATGATTGTTTATTGTTTATTGTTGTTTTACATCAACAGGCTGGATGAAGCCTCAATGATTTTAACCTTATCAACTGTGGTAAAAAAAAATACATTCAAGCATGGTCATAACATAAAAAAACATTAAAAATATATCTTATAGTCAATCCCCCCTATTCTGCGAGTCACGTGACTCTCTCTCACCGGTGAGGTGATTTACATGGAGAGTCACCTCACACGAGGTGACAATTGTCACCTCACCGGTGACAGAGAGTCACGTGACTCGCAGAATAAGGGGGAATATCTTAACTCCTGCCGGCGAAAAACAGAAGAAAACATTCGACGAAGCGCATCACGGGAGAGATGAAAGTCGAAAACAGATGCAACTCTGTTGAATGTTCTCTGCAGTCCGCAAATCGCACCGTACGCTCCATAATTTGTGCGACGTAGAGGCAGTCTTAGCATAAGGTTATTACGAAGCGGTCGGGGTTGAACATTCAGGTCAATTTGTCTCAGGATAGCCTCACAATCTGTCCTTCCTTGTAGGATATCGGCCACGGTTAGGGCTCTGTTTGTTTCTCTTCTAGTCCGGAGAAGTTCTAGGTCGATAAGTTCCCGAGTAGGTGAGAATAGCAAACCAATAGCAAGTTTTGCTATTACAAATAGGATATCAGAACATCTCAATTTGTTATTAGTTTGATTGAAATAAGAGTTAAAATATCAAAAATAATAACGGAAACCGTTCGGGAGAAAAACTAAATAATAGCAAATCTTGTTATTGCAATATCAAACTAAGAACAGAAAAATCAAAAAAGTCCAAAACATATTTAGCTATTATTAAGATATTAAGAACTAATCAATTGCTAAATGTGATATTAACTAATAAGAACTAATTAAGAATAAATTCAGTTGTTCGGATTGAATAACAAAATAATAGCAGCTTTAGTTATTCTTCTTAGAGAGCTTAATAATAGTATTTTTTCGGTGGAGAATCAGTTGTACTGATAATAATGATTGAATTCAACAATTCGGCAAAGCTTTTTTTATTTGTGATAATAATAACGATAAAATCAACATGACATAAAAACGTAACTTTCTAAAAAAAACAAACAATGGCTGAACAAAATAGATTTGAAGTGTTGGTAATATATTGAAATGTTTTTAATAATATTGTTTACATTGCTGGCCAGCAAATGCACCCCAAAAAAATATGCCATAATATTTATTCATATGAACTAACAGATATTATTAAAGTAATGCGAGTCAACGACACAATTCGTCAATGTATAAATATATGCATGAAAATGAACGATCGATCATTGCAGTTTATTTCTAAATGTAAAATCCATACACAAATTGATTGATTTATGGGTCCACATTTCAAGTATTTGTGGTATTTATATTACGTAAGTCTTTAAAATCTGTCGATCATATACAAAGTACAAAATAAAAATAAATACCTATCATTAAAATAAAAAAAAAAATAAAAATTTCTGAAACATTGAAATGGAAAAAAAAATGTTCACCTAACGATTAAAAGTAGAGTCTAAAAATGGAAAAGAATATTAATATGATACCAATAGCAAAATATGATACAATATCATAAATTGTTGTTGAGTTTTTCTTTGACTGTTTTATGACTCAAAATTTTAATATCATGAAAATAACAAATTTTGATGTGATATCATATTTTGTTATTAGATTGTTATTATGTGTTATGGGTAAATAACATAATAATATCAAGATAAGCTATGATAGTAAAATTTGCAATTGGTTAGTTCTTGGTTTGCTATTCTCATCTACTCGGGTTGACAACGGCTTTCGTAACTTGGTAATCGAAACGGATCGTTCCAAGGCAATCTACGCAACGCAAAACGAAGAAAGCGACGTTGAACAGATTCAATTCTCTCGGCACCGTTGTTGTAGTTTGGGTTCCAAACCGCTGAACAATACTCAAGCGTCGATCGAACAAGCGAACAATAGAGAGATTTCAGACAGTAGATATCAGTGAAGTTTTTAGGTGGGCGTTGGCCAAATTTGGATTTTTCAGATATAATCCTAAATAGGACCTAGATTATTTAATACTCTAGTAACCTCAAGTCCGTGCTCTGTCACAATGTTTCATTGTGATTAATCAACACTCAAAGGGGTAAAATATCAAATTTGGGGTGAATTTGAAAGAAAGGGAACTTGGAGTGTAGAACGCACTGCCCACTGGACGATTCTGAAGCCTGGCCAAGTGAGTGGGGTATGGGTTTATTTGATTGAACGTCATTTCCAATGTATATATTGATACATTCAAACCATTGGCATTTGAGATAAGACAGAGATAGGATGCGGAGGGCCCGCTTAGGGGAAGCGTAACCCATGTTATGGTTTCCATTTATTAAATAGTTCAGATAGGCTGGAAATGACATGTTCATAGTGAGAAAATGTACCATATGGGGCCCGTTCACTGATCAAAATCAGATTCACATCGTCAGACCCTGCCCAAGAATAAGGGGATTGACGATGACTTGTCAAGTTTTATTTTGAATTTGCGTTTTGCATTTAATACTCTAGTAAATCTCGCGTCCGTGCTCATTCACAACAGTGTGAGGTGTCAATACTCACTGGGTCATATGTCTTAGACCAGTTCCAGATTAGTTTGCTATTAATATCTTCTGCATCGCAGAAGATTTAGATTCGCGATAGATTCCTAAATATGGGTTCTCTTTTCCGACCATAATAGTGTGAGGGAAGGGGGTGAGTTCTGGATCAACAGTGGAGGGGGGCCCATCGGTTTTTGTGGGCAAACCGTCCAAAGCCCATTCCTCACGGATCGGGGACTGCTCACGCAGGCCAACACCATCTTCGTGTAGGTGGAAGTTTTCCCTATCCGATGATGGTGTTGGTTTGCGTGGGTGGCCTTCGCTTTGTGAGTGGGGGGCTTTGGAGCGGTTTGTTTACAAATGCTGATGGGCCCTTTTCTATGGTTGATCTAGAGTTAAACGTTGCGATATGAGAGCGAATAGAGGCAAATAAATAGGGAAGACAACACCATGACCCAAATAAGTAACCAATGCATGCGGCTCACACTTAACTTGTTCTATTTCTTTCTTTCTTCCTATCATGTACTAATATTAACTGCCTGAGGACAAATGGGAACACGACCAGAAGATCAATAGGAGAAAAAGAAAATTCGAACAAGAAAAGAAGAATTAAACTTGCACCGGCAAGAGGAAGCAGACAGAAAGGATCATGCCGGTTGGAGACAGCCAATGTATACTGGACGAAGCTTGTATCTAGGAAAAGTCGTATGTGCAGGAAACCGTAAGTAGGATAATAATCGTAAAAGGTGTGTGCTTGCTTGATAAGATCCTAACTTTACTTTAAATACACGGTAGGAATCGAATATCCATTTATGATTAAGGTTTTGCCCATTTTTCAGTGGGAGTGGCAATACTCATTGATGAGTGATTTATCGTACCCATTTATTAGTAACTGTTAGCAGCTAATGATTAATTGATTTACCTATTTTAGAATTACCTATACTTCACATCAGAACCTCATTTCCTTCAATTACTACTCCGTCGCAGCACACACCTTATATGGATCGCTAACCTTTATTTAGTTTCAGCATTTTCGACATTATAATCAAAAGGTGAGTTTTAAAAGTATAATTACCATGCATATAGATAAGTTAATGTACCAGAACCTGGACGGACACGAGCCTACCCAGGGGAGGACCCGGATACGACCACCCATGTGTGTCTAGAGTATCGCACGAGCTGACGAGTGCAACGGGAAGGACAGTAGGTGTATAGACTAGGGGGTTGGTCCCTAGATAAGCCTTCTTAGCGGAAGGCACAGCCTATGCACTGAACAATTACAATTAGTAGATATCAGTGAAGTTTTTAGCTATCCTAAAAATGAACCCTAAAGTTCTTGACGCCTTATCAACAACATATGCAATGTGTTGCTTGAATGAAAGCTGCGAATCCAAGATCACACCCAAGTCTTTCACCTGATTCACGCGTTCGATTGTCGAGCCAAGCAGGTCATAGCTAAATATTATCGGTTGTTGTTTTCGTGAGAACGTAATAGCGGAGCATTTGGCTGGGTTCACTACCATTCTGTTTAACATGCACCAACTAGCGAATACATTCACTTGACGTTGAAGAAAGAATGATATTTTAGGAGTCTTGCAGAAGAAGCCAGAATACTTAATATAATTGTGGGTGGTCTAAAATTATCCCAATTTGCTTACCAAAGTCCTCTGAATATGTCTCTGAATTAATCCTGGAAGCTTACCGCACGTACTTCCGAAGATGTCTACTCAACTACCTCTCGACGTCCTGTAGATGTTTATAGGAATTTTCTATTATTCCCTATTCCTCTATTATTATTTTTTAAACAGCTCAGTCCTTGAACCTTTATTATCGAGGTTAATTTCACTAGCCCACCGGGTATTCTTGTAAGCACACAGAGCTTAACCCTGAATCCTGAATATGCCTGAAGCATTCAAAGTCCTATGAATCCAAGCAAAAATGTAGGATGGTTGAGTCAGTAGTAGAGGAACTAAGACAATTTATTAAAATATGAATATACGATATGCATTGTATTTTTATACGTCTATATATAGGTTTCAATCTCTACTAGACAAATATTACATTAGGGGTATTTACAAAGCGCATCGTACATGCGTAAACTTCGATTGCACTCCAATGGACCCTGGTGTTTTTACGATAGTGTATATGTTTACGATGCGCATAGTGAAAATCCCTATTGTATACTCTTATATAATAATGATTGTGATTGTGTAATATAGAAGGGGGTCAGGGCCAGGTCTCCTATGCTTTTAGGCACCGTACATGCTATACCGATTCTGTGACACTACCCCGAATGTCACTACCCCGAATGTCCTACTACCCCGAATGACCATTACCCCGAATACCATACTACCCCGAATGACCATAACCCCGAAATTAAGACAAACGGAAGAACAGCATATGATCAAAAGATGGGTAAATTTTTTAGAAGAAAATTTTCTTTTGTAGTTCAAACTGAATACAAATGA